AAACTATAATATTAAATATTGAGTATAATGAATTTTCGAAAAATGTTGGTTTATATATTGATGCCACTGTTCATTATTTAAAATATCTCATTCTACCTAAAAATACATCTTTATTTATATTTCATTATCTTAATTGTAACTTAATATGCCAGCATTCGAATAACAATAAATTTTAAATTTATTTTTATCTTTAAGTAAAGAAAATTCAATTAGATGCAATCAAGTTATCCAATATCTGTCAATAGTCACATGTTGATATTTCAATAGTGGTTCAAGATAAAGGGAAAAAGCACTTTTGCAATTGGATAATTAAACTAGATCTAAATAATCTATCACATTTACATATCTAAGTTGACATTGTCTAGCCGAATACATTTACTAATTACACTCCATTATTTGCTTCAATCAAAATTTGCACACTCTGTTATTATGTGCAAAAATGCAATTTACTCCATGTTTATCTTTCAAATAAAAGAAAACAACATTTCATATACCAAACATCTACAAAAATTCATTAAAATTATCACTGAGGGAGTAAAATTTTTTTGGAAATTAAAAGTTTATTAAAATCAGAAAAACTAAATCTGGTGTATTAGAAATAACAAAAGAAAAAAAATTAGTTAAAATATATTCTGATGCAATTTTACATACATTCATATGATTTTAAATTTATTTCTCATTACAATTGATAGATTTTGGATAAAATAAAATAGAAATTAATAAAATATTGTAATTCTACACTATAATAAATTTAATTAAGATTTATATTGATATTATGTTTCATGACAATGTAAGGTTGTTAAAGAAACACAACTCTAGGATTATTACCAATCTTTTTGCTTGAAGTTTAGGTATCACTTTTTCAGGTTCTGACTTGTTGTCAAATATTTAACTTGTTACATACTCTAGCTTTTATTTGGAAAAATAATTATTTATAAAAATATTCTATTTAACTTCATACGAATAATTTTGAACATTACAGCCCATATGTGAAGGGTATCCGGATTGGTTGTTCAGGTCCATTATATGGTGCTGAAATAGCTGGAGCTAGAATCTGTAGCAAAACTATGAACGGAAGCTAGCAATCCAGAACCACGAAAAAAGGTACTATAATAAAAAATAAAAAATCATTTAAACAAAATAAATTTTTATGAATAGATGATTTAATTTCTGAAATGTTAATAATATGCTTAAAATTAAATGAAAAAAATATGTTCATATATAAGATGATTTATTTAGTGTATTTAATAAATTTTATGTCTTTTAGATTTATGAAGTATTAAAATATTTTTTGCAAGTTGTTTGAAAAAACTAAAATATCTGTTTACGATGTAAATTTTGCAGTATTGATCATTTTTTCTTGATAAATAAATAGCAAAAGAAAGTTTCAGCAAACAAAACAAGATCAAATCGTTCTTGAAATGATCGATAGATTTCAAATTATATGAACAATATGTAAAATAATATACATAAATATGTACACAGAAGATAAATAAATTCAATATTTGATAAATTTTAATGCATGATGTCATTGAAAATATTTTTCTTATAATCAGAATTATGATATATACAAGTCTAAATTTACATTCTGACATAATATTCTGACGTAATCCTGTCATTTGTCTTACAATTGAACAATATCAGTATCTTTTATGTAATTTCAATAAGATTTGAACATTAATATGTGATTATCATTATCGAAGTACTAATACTCTTATTCAAAGTTCCAACATTGCTGCCATTTCAAGTACATTATTCAAAATAATATTTACTCGCTTACTAATGATATTGAATGTTATTCTTTTTTTATCAATTTTTTTTAATAAATTATATTCAATAAAAAAGTTACAAATTATTCTGACTTATCTTCACATAAAGTTTTTTTGTTACCTCTATTTAATCGTTTAGTCTTATGTATTTGAACATATATATGTGATTATCACTATCAAAGTACTAAAAAATCTTATTCAAAGTTCAAAATGTTGCAGCCATTTCAAGGAGATCATTACAAATAATAAGTACTAATCTCCTAATGATAATTAATTTTTTATTATTTTGATAAATTTATTTAATAAATTATATTTAAAAAAAATTACAACTATTTCTGACTTATCTTCACATGAAGTTGTTTTTTTGCCTCTATTTAATCTTTTTGTCTTGTGTATTCATTCATATTACAAAGTAATGCATGCATCATTTTACATTGTTACCAAAATTTAACTAAATTTGGAAAAAAATCGCTATTGACAATGTCTAGCTCAATAAGTTATGATCTATATATAGATCTTGATTGATATGTTCATATAATATATTGACTATGTAATCATACAAACAATTTCATGAAAAGGTAAGGATAATTGATGAATCCAATAACAGATTGTTATTTATATTTATATTTTTTGTTATAATGAACACTTAACAAACATTTAATTTGGTATTTTTAAAATTAAATCAAATTATCAAAAATAAAAAAATCTATAAAAACATCAATCTAATGTTGATACAGGTTTTTGAAGCAGATGTGGAACATTAGTCAGCATTTTTTAGTGATTTATACGGTTTGATTTCATATGAATTTTTAAAAAAATTAATATTTTTAATCTCAAATTGAATAAAAAAATTTACAAATTTTGTCATACCGAAGTAGATATAATTTGGAGATGTAGACACATATGACTTTTAAAATTCCAATATGTTTTACAGTAGAACCTATATAAATTTATACTCCATAAATTTATAACCTCCAAAAATTTATCAAATTGTGCGGTTGATGTGCTTTCCTAGCTACATTTGTACGACTATGATCGACTAAAGAAACTTGTAATGGTTGTCTGCTTAAGCTTTTGTTTACATTTGTTTGTTGGCTGCTTAAGTATCTGACGTGGGTTAGGGATTTTCCTGGGTTAAGTTGTTTACATTTTGAGAAGTTTTCTACACAGTCCAACTGTATACAGTACGCCAGGATACAGTGCCCTACACACCCCATTACAATACCACAGCCAATACACACGGAACCTGGGTATCAAACAACTTCTATGTCTTTTCGAGGTCCTGCATTCCTTGCCCTAACCTTCCATACCTTTCTGCAACCTTCCGGATGGTTCTGAGACCAATTAAGCAAAATTAAATGAATCAAATTTAATAAACTCTAGAAACTTATCACCTCTATAAACTTATCAAAAAGTGCCGGTCCCAGCTTGATAAGATTATAGAAGTTCTACTGTACTAAAGCGTGAATAAAAAATTATAACCTATGTACGATCATAAAAATCAAGTCATAATCCACACAAGATGAAGATAGATGATAATGGACTGATTATAAGTACAATTTTTTTACAAGTCGCTTTGGTTAAAGATTTTTTATCCATTTTAATAACACATAATTAAAAAATTTATATATGATGATACTTGTCATGTCATTAATACAGTAGAATTTAAGATTTGTTTGCTAGAAGATTATGGATAATTCTATTGAATTTTTCAAATTTTGTGTGATTGAAACGAACTTTTGTTTCTTTTAATAGTGATATGTCACAAATAAATGAAATAATAATAGTAATAATGATATGTCACAAAGAGATTAATAAACATTTTGAGTTTCAAAATAGATCATTATGAAACTTAAAATAATATTCAATTCATGAATAAATCATGTGTATGAACTTGCCACAATCTTATTATGTTCACACAAAACAAAGAATAAAATTATCTAGATTTGAGTTAAGCTTTGATTTGATTTGACTAGTGCAGTTTGATGCTAAGGCAAAAAGTCAAATCTGAAGTTTCGATGTTGTGCATAGAGTAACTTTAGTTCTTTAGAACATCATAATGTTTTGGAAAGTATTAAATTCATAAACTTAAATCTACTCAAGTGTGAATAACCTAAACCCTTCACATGTGTGATTATAAAATTAATTTCTTGTATCTTTGCATGTTACTACTTCAAATAAAATACATTTTTAGTATCTAAAAAAATCTATATTCTTGTACAAGCAGAAAGTCACGATAAATATTTTTCCATAACTATTGAAGTTCAACAAACGAATTTCGAGTGTTGTGCAGAAAAATTTCCAAAAAATTATCTAATGTGTAGTTTAAGAGAGTTAAAGTTGGGGTATACTAAATTATATTAATTGATAAGTCAAAATCTTAGCATTAGTAAGATAAGATGTATTGGTATTTTATCTTTGAAGACTAATTTTTTTTCAAAAAAGCATATATATATATAATTTTGATTTTATCGATGATAAAAAATACTTCAAAATGTTCAATTTAATTTCCTTTTGATGAATTAAATATATACTTATCTTTCAAAGAAATTTAGAAATCGATTATTTTCATTATGGCAATGGTAACGATTTTCTAGTTTTGATCCTAAGCAACTTTCAAATTTTTATCGAATTAATTTGATAAAATTATCAAAGACTACTCAGTTTCCTATATTTAAATTTATTTTTTGTATCAATAAAAAATCAAAATCATAAAATGGTAAACTAATTCTATATAATTTATTTCAAAACTCAAATATTAAGTATCAAAAATACCAATAATATGTTAATTTTATTTCACAAAAATTAGAACATAGACAAAAAGTTGCATCTTTTTTAAAGTTTGAAACTATTGCAACACTTTTTATGTACTAATTTGTAATGTAATTACGATTCGCTAAATAACCTTATTTTCTATTAAAATCAACATAACGCTGAATTTGAAATTGTTTATATTAATCTGAATAAGTATCAATTAAATTTTCGTTTATATTTCTATTGGAAAGTAACTACTCTGCATCTTTTTTACGATATTATTCAGTATGCATTCATACTTTAAAAACATACGTTTTCGTTTTTTAATATATCTAGTGTTCAGTTTGAGATAAAACCCATACACTGATGTCACATTTTTCATAGAAGTTAACTCGACGGTTAGAAACGTCAGCAGTATACTTTGTGTCTTCCACATTGTGAAATATAGTACTATACATCTGAAACTATTCGTTTCAAAACAAATTCATGATTATTACAACTTTTATTCCCAAAAGATACATACATAAAGTTTAAAATTTTCTTGTTTCGGTCTCTAAGTAAGTCATAAACAATATGCATTGCTACTTCTTGAGGTAGCTGTACGTCTGGTCTAGAATAAACTCTTCAGTATTTTGAGTCGTGCAGTCAGACCAGATCGAGGCTTCGAGCATCACTACTAATACAAGTTACTGTACTTTCAAATCTATTACCAGAATTTCCTACGTGCACCACAATTGCATGAAAGCAACCCTCTCATATCATCACTCGGAATAGTGTTCAGTGGGTTATTTCGAATTGGAACTTAAATCAGATATACCTGCGCTACACTCCGTAAGATCGATGAAACTTCGGCATTAAGAACTGGACTTCGGCTTATTCGAAACACCAACGAATGAGTTAGATGCTCCCAACTTCCCAACTAAACGCCTTCGTCTTGAACATCACTAGACCATATACACCGGTACGATCGTGTAGGAGATTGATACGAGTTCGAAATCCATACATGCAGAACGTCGAAACTTGGTTTCACACAGGCCGAAAAATGGAAGCAAAGCTGAACTACCTCACTAGTCGTCACAAGTCCCACGATTTTTACCGTCCGACTAAAATGTGCACCTTCGTACCTTAAGACATTGCAGTTCCCCTTCCAACACCAAGGCAGTGGAGGAACAACCAACTCACCAAGTCTGCTTTTGTTGTTAAACCATATTTCTGCAAGATTCTACGCGTATGACAAAATCGGAGATTTTTTCTTCTCCATTTCCATTCCATAACTTCTAAAATTGACCTCGTTCTTTATATCTGCAACAAATTTCGAACCACATTAACTCATTCCAACCCTTCCGAGATGCAATAAGAACAATGAACCTCATACAGATAGATGCTTTACGTACTCATGTTTGCTAAGGTTCGCATGTATGCTCCTGAAGATGGACATACCACATGAAAGAGAGAAGCAGACATTTGACCCGCATTTTACTGACAATATGACATATTGAGGTCTATCAAGCGTTCTAATTGCGTTACATCCAAGATTATGCTCAAACCTAAACAAGTCTCGTGACGTACCACCAAAATCTGACTCAATCCTATAACTAACCCTCCTCCCTGCTTCTACAGAAATGTGAAGAACAAAACGCGCAAGTATGCTTCTTTGGTGTACATCTTATTAGTAGAGTGAAAGTTTCTCTCGACATGTACTACACTTCAATTATCTGCTTTTACAACCTGCTCAAACTATTCGAAACAAAAGGACTACAAGGAGTGCGTGTAATTGTACGAACAACCGTCACACGCCGAGGACAGTATACAAAGAACGTGTACAGGCCGAAATTGGGTTAGTGAGTATTGGTAAGTTGTAACAAAGTGTAAAACCACTATGAATGATAACATTTAAAATCAGGTTCTAAGTCAATAATGATGAAAACTCCTTCCTTCGACTGGCCCAAATAGGGAACTTCTATAAAAAATAGAATTGAGGTGTACCTTTGACTATCTTTACAGATTCCAATTATATAGCCATTTTTTAACTTACATCAACCACAACGTTGCTTCATCAACCATTAGGTCCACCTTATTGAAGCTTTAAGAATATCTAACCATACTACACCCTTTCCTTCATTTTTCATGTCGTTTGTGAAGGCCAAAGGGTTAGGACAAGGAATGTACCGAATTTGCAGCACAAACTCAACCGAGGGATCCCAAGGAGGAAAATTGAAGCGCGTAACCAACTTAAATATAGGTCTCAAACTATCAGCCTAAGCCTGTTGTACTTGTTTCTCATACCGCTTGGCTTTTTCTCCACTTTTGTGATCGTAGTATTCCACTACTGCAGCACCAGCTAAAGCTGCAAGGGTGAGCGCCTGTGCGTGTAACCTGTAAATACAGAGTAAGAACGTTAGGACATCCATTAAAAAGAAGAATGAAAAGTCCCGAGAGAATGTTGTGTCGTATTGCTGATGAAAAAACCAAGAACAGCCAGCTTATACAAAGGATGACTTTCCTGCCAGGAATCAATAATTGCAGACAATTTTAAGATAATGTTAACCATAAACGCTGTCCCCGGTTTTCTCTTCTTTCATTTACACGCATGAAGACTGAACTGGTACGCGATGGACTTCCATAGTTCTGAAGATTTTGGTTGCGCTATTATGAAATAGCTCCTTTGCCTAACGTCTTCCCACGAGAAACTTACTAAAAAACTTCAATTCCTACCTTGCATGTATCACTTTTACACTTGTTTTCATATTGGGATTCGAGAAGTTATAAGCCAACGAGCCAGCGACAGAGGTTGCCCACAATGAACCTGCATCACCCGAACCATTGATCAGTTTATCTACAAATCCTGACAAAAGTCATTACCAGAAGTCAAACCAAGCACTGACACTGAAAAAAACTGAATGGTATCAGTAATTTCATTACAAGACTTCCACCCAATGGAGACGCCCTTATCAGAAAGGTACTTTCAAAGCTAAAAAGGCTCAAAGAATCTGGGTTCATACCTATATAGTAGAGCTCTACTAAGGCGCAAATGAAAAGTATTTGAAAAGTATCGACTACATGGTGCGACAAGTCACGGTACGACCTCCGTTCAACAAAAAACTACTACACTAAAAACTCGTTTTCCAGGAGGATTTCTGACATCAAAGAAAAAGAGTGACTAGCGCTTCTCTTCTCCGTATCATGCTTTAGAGTAGAGAACATGAATTTGGAAATGATGCTAAAAAACAGAAAGCATGAGGGAAAAAACCACAAAATTTAATTCGACCTCTGATTTGCAGCTTAAAACGATAATAACGCCCAAAGTTGACTCTGCTTTCTGGGTATAAATTGTATCACCCCGGAAGCGAAGGAAGCAGATCGAATCATAATCTAGAGTTCGACATTCTGCATGGGCGATCTAGACCCAAAAAAGGAAAAGGCGAAGACAATGCTCCCAGAAACGAACATCGTTCTGGGCCTTAGGTTGAGGAACAACAATCCCCCATGCACTAATATCAATTGGCTATATACTAATCACAACTGCTTCTAAGCTGTCAACTAATCGGAATCCAGGAAGACCCTGAAAAAAGTCTCTCGCCTTCGCCCTTACAACATATTTCCTAAAATTTCACCAGTCGTTTCGGGTCCAGATTATGAGTGTGACAGCTAACTTGCAATAATGAGCCCTAAATAACAACCAGAACACCTTACATCCAGTGAACTCCGTCACGAGACAGAAAATTTACGACCTACGAGACTTGGAAATCAGGTAGCAGGGAGATCCGACTCCTTACCGACAGCCCTCAGCTTGTGCTCCACGAACCAGTGTCTCATCTGAGCCAGAGTACCCTCTTCCGCCATATTTCCAATCCGAATAACAGAATTCCTCGCTCAACGACGACTCACACCAACGATGGCAAAACTTCAGCAACAGCGCCTGCGACTCGCGGAAAGAAGTACTCACTCTTCAAATGATCTCCTCCTCCTCCTCCTGCTCCTCCTCTTCCCCTCTCCTCTCGACACGCGAAACGATCTTCTTCTCGCAGCTAGTCCTCAAATTGTCCGCCTGCACACTCCGCAGATATCTAACCACAGCAGTATATGTCCTAACGACGAATTGAAGAGACAGGCTGCTGTCCCCTTGCACACACGGCAAAGAATGGCGAGAATCGGGGACGAAGGCCACCGGACACGATCCCTCCCCGGGGGGGTCCAAGGCGGGGCGGGGGTAGTAGGTCCGCCGCTCGCTTTCTAAAAACGCCCACGCTGGCGGGGCTGCTGCCTGCATGGACGCGACCGGCCCGGCCCTGCTGGCGCCGCTGCCTGCGTCAGCCGATCGCGTCACCATGCCACTTTGCGGAGCTCCTTCCTGCCGTTCTTCCATGGGCCCCACTTGCCCTCTACGCAGTTGAGCACCTCGACGCATGCAGTCAGTCCGACTGCAGAAACTGCGCAACCCGGTCGCTTATTCCATACATATTATTCCTTCGGCATATGCTTTAGGCGGGGAGAGACGTCCGAGATTATTATCCAGCCATACACAACGTAGTCGGGGAGCTTTCTCGGATTTTAGGCTATACGTTTTACTCTAATTTTTGTTAGTCGCTGTCTCTCTGGCTCCTGGCCGTCGTAACCGTGCGGTGTCTACCGTGGATTATGCTGCAGGTGGGTTCTCAATGGGGACGTAACTATATATGACGGTGTTACATGCCTTGTGATGGGCCACCCACTGGTTCTAGTTGGTCTTTTCTTGCTCTTTTGCTCGGTGCTCCTCGTTCTATTGACTCGCACAGACTGAGGAATATGCATGACCTGTGAACAAGACTGCGGCTGCTGCAAGCAACATCATTTCAGTCCGCCCCGAATAATCTTTATTAAAGTCATTTTTCTGGCTAGTTCTTTATGGAGATATTACCGACATGTATGTACATTGTACTTTCTTACTTTCTTTTCATGATTTTCATTTCTGAGTTTCACACAAAGTATGAAATGCAGAAATGAGATTAGCTTTACCCCTCTAATTGGAATGGTACAACTACCAATAATTATGCTCGTTCTCCACCACCGTCTATTTGTAATAAACATATTAAGATACCCTCTGGAGACTCATATGATTACCTTAAACTCTTACTTAAATAAGTACGTGATGAGTTAATCACTGATGATTCCTAATCCAAGAGAGATGAAATCGTAACTTTCACACATTGTACCGAACTTGTCTTCTACATTCTTCTTACGAAGAATGTAGATTTTTTGAGAAATATCAATTAATTTTTAATTATTGGAATTAAAAATACTATAACATCCACATGAAAATTCCTAAATTTCCATAATCATGTATCAAATCTATAAAATATATAAAATGAGTTTATATATAATTATTATAACCATTTGCACAAAAAAAATATAAAAAATGATAACTTCAATTTTTTTTTTTGTGATGATTGTCATATCTTTAACTATAAAATTTGTTTCAGGTTTTGCTTGTAATAAGAACTTTGATTGTAGTAATAATCGTGACTGACAATGTATTCAAGTAGCCATGTGGGCGATTTTAGATAATAAACATTTCAAATTCCAAACTCTAATGGTGTGATTATGTATGTAGCAAAATTTTGTTTCGAACATATGTGGTCGACAAAAAAGTCGGAACAATATATGATATATGAATGTTGAAAAAAAAATAAAAATTTAAAATCATTCACAGGATTGCTCTTCCTAAACTCGCAGCACCAGATTTCAGGAATACTTTGCAGAGACTTACATCAGAATTCGACGCTTGTAAACGACTATGCGACCCCTGATCACAAGGACAGGGCACTAGCACCTTTTCCTCGACTCTACAAACTGGATCTAGCGTAGGGCATGACTGCCCCAAAGTCAAAGAAATTGCACATCTTTGGACCCCGATTGCAGGAGATTCATCTGATATTGTGGGAACTGCGTGGTTAGCATATTCTGCCTTGGAGCCGGGTCTAGCGTTTTGAGAATAAAGTTTCTTCCTTCGATGTCCACTAAATCAATTGCTAATTTTGAGAAAATCTAAATCAGAAAACTGGAGAAGTATAACACCAGATTGTTTTGTATGTATATGTCTGAAATTAAGTTGCATAGAAAAAATAGAGTGTCAAAAAGGTGAACTTTAATCTTCCGAATAATGATTGTTGTGATAAGTATCATGAAAGAATGGTATACTAGTATGGCTTTAAAAATCACTCAAGTTGGAATCAAAAGAGTAATTGTAGATCTGGTTTATATTACTTGTCATATTATACATGAATTTAATTTATTAAACTCAGCAAAATGATTAATATGATTATTTGCATCAAACTGTAATAATAAAAATTCCTCATTTGATCTCATAGAGAAAATTGTTATCAAAAGAAAACATATATTTTATTACAAGAGATGAAGGAAACATAAACAATAAAAACAATGCATTTTCCATTCAAATACATTAAATGATTTATCCCTTTTAACAATACATACATGAATCTTGAACTTTTCTTGCTTTGTCAACATCTAATATTAGAAAAATTAATTATGTTGTGTGGTTCAAAATTTAAGGTTTCAATAAAGCTACATCATGCTTCATAAAATAAGAATTTGCAGTTTTAAACAAAAAAATGATTGATAAGAATCATGTTGAAAGATAAAGAATAATTAAAAATCTAATAAAAAATTGAAAACAAGAAAAAAAGCATTAAATAATTTATTGCAACAACTAAAGCTGAATAATCACATCAAGTTTTATTAATTTACTGTATTATAGAATCAAATTAAATTTAGTATGCTAAATACATCAAATGAAATTAAGTTTGGTCGAATCATAAAATAATCATTTTTTGAAGTATGTGGAGATGAATTTAAGAGAAAAAATTTAACATCATATTTAATGCAAAAAAAATTTAGTAATTTAAAACATTCAAAAAATTTCAATCTAGAAGATTTCTAAAGTTTCAAAGAAATATGTAATAAATATTCATATTTTTCCAAGAAAAAAATTATATTTAAATTTATTTCAACGGATTTTGGCCCTTTAAAACAAATCTGATAAATTTGAATATAAAGTTTTATTTGAAATAATTTAAAATTAGGAATTTTATTAATATATATATATATATATATATATTAAAATATAAAATTTATTTTTTAAACATTTTTTAATATGATTTTTATCAAAGATAAAATCAACATAATCTTTTTTCAGAAAAATTAAGCAAAAAACTATGATAATTCTATTCTGAATATAGCTGATAAATTATTCAAAACAAAGATCAACATGTTCAAATTTTATATTAATGTTATTTCGGACAATACTAGCTAAGATAATCAGACAATTATAGGAAAAATCACTTACATAGTATTACCAGAACGTTTAAAACGTTTGATACGGTGAAACCTTGCTTACCATTTTAAATATGGAGTGATTGTTGATGTTAACTCTTATTTTGGGTTAACCTTTGTATTTAACTAGTAACCTTTTGGACTTGGTAATATATATCCCAGTAATCTTATCACTTTATTACACAATGTTTTGCCTTCCCATCTCGTAGCCCTTAGTGGTGAACCCCAGTATATCGTGTGTATATATTTTTTGTCACTTTGTGTGTATATTTTTTGTCACTTTATTTGATATAAAGAGGAGCACCTGTAGATATGAAGTAGGTTATTGTTGATGTATGAGCTAATTCATCCATTCTATAAAATCGTGACATTGATACATAGAATGAAGATGGTATTGCATTGATGTTGGAAGAAGTATAACCTTCTTCTTAAAAGAAAGCTCAAGCTTCGATTAATAAACTTGAATGCAATGCTTCTATGGATCGTGAGATGCAATCGCTCATTGAGAATAAGACTTGGGAATTAGTTTCTAGGTATCAGACATTGATTGATTGCGAGTGGATGTACAAACTGAAGAACAATCCAACAAGTGACAAGGAAAAAATTTTCAAAGCCAGATTGGATGTTAGAGGTTTCACACAGTAGAAATGAGTGGTATACAAAAAAGTTTTCTCAACGGTAACAAAATATGTTACAATTTGTTTATATGTGCACTCACTACAATATTAAATGTTGTTATAGATGAGATGGACGTGATTACAGTTTTTCACTCTGGTTATTTAGAGAAGTAAATCTACATGAAACAACTAGTTGGCTTTGAGGTGAAAGGTCAAAAGAAGTTGGTTTGTAGATTGCTGAAATCACTATATGGACTGAAGCAAGTAGAACAAGCATTTTGATGAGTTCTTGAAGTCACAAGGATTTTCACGGAGTGTGTATGATTTATGTATACATATGAAAAGACGAAGGATGAAATTTTCAATATTATTATTCTAGTACTCTATGTAGATGACATGTTCATTTTGGCAAAAAACCAATTTGACGTTGATAAATGCAAGAGTTAATTGAAGGATTTGAGTAAGTCAAAGAATGTATTAGTCATGGATATTCATAAAAATTTTGAAAAGAATAAATTATGTTTGAATTAGGGCAAGTATATTTGTAATATACTTGACAGGTTCAACATTAACGATTCTAAAAGATTATGGATTCCTTGTACATCACATTTCAAACTTTTTGTAGCTCAATCTCCTACCGATGTATTTGAATTTGAAAGATTGTTATGTGTTATCTATGGATAAACTGAGAGCAGTCTCATGTATTTGATGTTGTGCACTAATCTTGATATTGCTCTAGCAATATCCAAAGTAAGCAAATATATTTGTCAAATTCATAGAAGATTCATTGGAAAGTAATGAAATGGATTTTCATATATATGAAGAGTATCTATGGATTATGACTTATTGTTTAATGGTTTAATAAACAATGCCAACTTCTTGTTAAGTTACATTGATGCTGACTATGTATAGGACTCGAACAAGATACTCTGTGATAATATACTGTTTTTTTATCATATTTTCAACAACACAAAAATATCATGTTTAATACTTATTAATTTTTTCATACATATTAAGGTTTAAACTCCTATCACGACTGATGAGTGTCTTGTAAATGAAATTTACTCTTATGTTATCATACCATAATCATTTTAAACTTGTCAACTGTCGTTTATTACTAATAAAAGAATTTTTGTGTTTACGGTTTTGATTATATCAGATACTATGCTATAACTTATAACACATACATACTATATTCAAAGCATCACATTTTATTTTTTGGAATTAAAAAGCTTGATAATTTTCAAAGTAAAAATAAAAATGCAGAAATTTTTTTAATCAAAACTTCAAAAAAATGTACAAAATTATTTTATACTTTGGATATGCTAATGTTAATCAAGATTTTATTTCAAATATCTAGTTTTTGCATTGATTGCAAATACGTTGCAAATATTTATATTATTTTTTCTCAAAATTCATAATAATTGTTTGATATAAAAAATTTAAAAATATGTGGCCAATGTATCTATTTTTTAATGTGTTTCTGCTTAATGTACACTTTAATCACACTACAAATTTTTGATATATGATACATAGGCGTAGTTTGTGACATTACCAAATCATTAATGTTTGAATTTGTAACAACATTTTCAAATAATAATTATTATACATAATAGTTTGATTTATATGTTTGTCAATTTAAATTTTAGATATAAATTTTTTAGAGTATAATATAAATGACATTTACAACATAATTTGATCAGCTTGACAGTTTTGATACCTTCATTACTTCAAATCATTAATCTCCTGAGATTGTGAACATATGCAAAGAATTTTGAAAAATGATTAATTTTTTCCATGACTTTTATATTATGAAGTGTTAAAGTTTGTAGAATCATAGAATATGACATTCTTTTTAATGATCAATTGAAATAAAATATTCTTAATTTATTTCGATTAAAAATTTTTATTCAATATTTAGTTATATTCAATCTGGTATTATTTTGCACTATGAATGTTCACTTAATTTCTTTCCGGAACAAAAATTTAACAAACACTTTGACACATTTTGGTTGGATATATCTCAACAATACATTAGCATTTTTCAAATTTTATTCTATTTTCTTCATACTAATAAGGTTGAATGTTGATTGATACATGCATAAATGTTACTTAGGATGAATACGATATTACATTCGATGTAACATGCGTTCACATAACTTGACATTCATTTAGAGTGCAAAAGATGATGTGATCGATAAATTGACATATTATTCACTTAGGCATGCAAATAAAACCCTATAATTCATACATTATTGAGATGTGTTGCAGCATACAAGTTTTAAATTAAGTATATACTTTGTTCAATAGTATGAAAATAGTACTGTAGATAAGATGATGATATGTAATAAATGTGATATAGTTTTTTAGAATAGAAATCCCATCTTTTCGTATAGATGAGAAGTGTGTAGCTATAACCATAACTACAATTACTATTACTAACAATTGCTAGCTATTTTCCATACTACATTTTGCAAGAAATGTTTTTGGATCTTTCAACATTGTACTTAGATATAATCATGGATGCAATTTCACAAGTGTGTGAAGAAAGTGCACAGAGTCTCTAACATGTGATGAGATATTATTTTGGAATTTTGCAATATTAGTTTGTGTGTTTTGGTTGCTTTACGAAGATCATTTTCTTGTTCTATATTTAGAAATGAGTACATTAGGTGATGCAACATTTGATATGTGCATGATGTTTACTAACATGTAGTAACTGAATATTACTGTCATATTATGTTTCTCCTTCAGATTTTACGTCATAAACATGTTGTTATCTTTAGATGCAACTTTGTTCACACAACAATATTAATAAACAAGTATGGGAAAAAAATAAAAGGTGTACCTTTCAAATGATAATAATCTTTTGCAAACCTTGTTAAGTGCAGTAAACTTGGATGTCTTTGAGTCGATGTGTCATATCCATCATTTGGTTTATCGTTGTAAAGCTTGATGATTTTTTTTCCTAGTCTTTGAGTTATGCTCAATTCTCATCAGTTTTAGGATGTAGTGAACTTCATCATAAATTCCACATTGATTTTCACATGTTTGTGAAAAATTGTGATAGCGGATGTAATATCACTTTTTTGCACTTAATCCTTGTATTTTTTCTTTGTTATGTAGAGAGCTTACTAATGCAGTGATCAATCATGTTAGACGTTATTTCCTTTAATAACTTATTGGTTTTTCATTAGAGTTTGATGGAGTCCCTCTCATCATTTTGAATTATAACCTTTTGATTCTCATATTTTGGCAATATTACCTACCTATTATCTATTTTCTTACATAGCTTGGTGCACCGTGTATTTGATATGCTAGAAAATCTATGGGCGATAAGTTATCAGACCGTTAATGAACATGGTGGTTTGAAAGGAGTAACTGAACGTACACTGACAGAAGAGCAAAGAAAAATGCAACCAAGACAATCAATGGCTCCCAATTGGTGCTTTTGTTGGTTCAGTTGTAAATTCCTCCTGCAAAGTCTGTCATGTCATTGTCCCTCTGGAGCAGGCCGCGTGGTCAACCCCATATCTGCCAGCGCATTCCATGACTTGGCAAATAGCTGACATGTCCACCGGTGGCTCCTCCAAGTGTCACCGAACTGCATGGCAATTCCGAAAACGACAACGAGCTCCAGTTCATGACAGTGTCGTCGCCCTCGAGCGGGCTTCTGACACTCCCGCCAAGCCCCGGCCCACAATCTACTACAAACTACTCCACCTCTACTTTGGAGGGCTGGAGAACAACGACTGAATGAGCTATCTTCTGCAAGAAACCCTTCTCCGTGTATGCTTTAGGAATTATGATATTACTGGAAGACCCCAACGCTCCCAACCCGATGAAGTGAATGGCTTCCACACTCACAAATAGTTCTTATTCCTGCTCTAAATATAGTGGAGGTTGCCCTTCAGCTTACCGAGCTCCAGAAGTTCAATCAGCTTGCTTGTGGATTTAGCTGCTGAGTAAGCCTGATATTGAATCATGATAGCTGGAAGTCTAGGAGAGAGGGAGAGGGAGAGGGGTTAAGAGCTCGGTAGAGCTGATAGAATTGCAGCAGCAGGAGTACAAATCTCAAGCTCAGTCTGCGCATTTGGAACTCGCTCGTTAGTCTTCACTCCGCAGACCATTTTGAGAGGATAGACCGGTCAGCCGATCGGCTTCATATTTGTGAGTTGAGAGTGATAGCAGCTGAACGTTGGTAGTAAGGAAGGCAGTGCCAACAGACCGTCTGTAGTGCATTTGGAATCTTAGAGATCGGTCAAGATGAGGGTACAACCGCTGACAGAGTCCTTGTGGTTAGAAGCACATGGAGATGCTGACTCGTTTATGGCACATGGAGGTGGAATGGCAATCGCTCTTGGGACTCTTCTCGCAGTTCTGTCCGCTGTTGCCAATGGTACCTTCACCATATTTTCTAAAACCGGCGCCGTTCGGAGAGCTCGAGTGGATCCAGTCGTCTTCAACCTATGGGCATGGTATGTTCGTCTCTCATCGTCCGCATGCTTAATAAACTCACTCACCGCTCTGTCCCCTTAGCTACTTATAGGCTTGTCAGAGAACCATTTTCCGAATCAAGTTCAAAGCTTGTTCTATCTGCCGAATGTATTAATCTTCAACTTTATATTTCCATAAGTACTTCGAATCATCGAACTATAACTGGAATTTGTCGGTTAGAGTTTTCGTAGTAGGGAGGAGGATGGTATCATATGATACTGTGATCATGGTGTACCTTTCTGTCGCCCATTCGGTTTTGGATTGTCTGTCACAACCCTTTTTCTGATAGAATGTTGAGAAGGAGAATTTTGCCTGTCAGTCTGGATAGATCCAAGTAGTACTTTTCCATCCGTGGGAACACAAAGGTGGACCATATGTTTCATGTTTCATCTGTCTTCTATATATGAAGGAGGACACTGTCAAGTGACGTTGAAACCTGGTGGAGTTTTTCTTGTCAGTACTCTCAACCGCACAGTTAGTAGAGATCCAAGATACAGGAGCTAGAATGGAGATGGTAGATTAGAGGACATGAGCCAACCATCAGCAACACGATTTGAAGTCCAGAAACTACTGCAGAAGAACAAAGTTAATAAATGAAGGGACAACATCAATATACTCCTAAAATTGCATCCTTACAGAGGTCTAATACGTAACGTGGTTGGTAAGGAAGTCCGTTTCTCAAATAAGCTGGTTGGAAAGTTGTGATGGCTCACATGATTGGATTCTCTATATGAAAAAGTTTTAGGATCGTCAATTCTTGCTCCTCCGAAGGTCGATAATATGTTGACTTGGCTCTTTGATTTGTTGGTTGGATCAGTGTTGGGATCGTTCTCAGCAGTCTGCTCACCTTGGTGATGTACAAGTTTGTGTGGTCATACATGGGCCTCATCAGTGGGCTGCTGTTCGTACTCTCAGCCTCTAACTCTTACAGAGCAGTCCGGCTGATAGGTGTCTCAGGTAAGCTGACAATCCCCGACGTGTAGTTTCAATTAGCCTATATTTTTTTTTTTTGGGTCTTTCATCATTTTGCGAAAACATTGATTCACTTGGGCTGATTCAATTTCTCCCTCATGTATGTCTTCTTCTACAGCTCCTCAAAGAACACCTAATATATGAAGTAGTGAGCTTAGTTAGAGTGTACAGGACACTTAAGGTAGCTCGTCAATCGGGTGAAGCCACGGAAAGTGAACTTCACTCGTCATTTACGTGTCCTAGCTGTCTCTTCGTACATATACAGTTTCTACATGTAAAGTTTTTTTCACTAATTAGGCTTTCTTACTGGACGCAGTTGGGACGGGAATTTGGTGCGGTACGGCAGTTCTTGGTAAGTTAGACTCAATGCATAACAAACTACTGTTTGGTTAGCTTTCCATGATGAGGCACAACCCGGAGAGAAGTCATACTAGTTTTGGATAATATTGATTAACATGACGTTGTTGATACTGGTGTTGTGCAGTTTCATTTGTTGCCGGATTGGTGTTTGATCCTAATGGAGCATTGAAGAGCAAACTTTGGGCTCTCGTTGCCATAATCATTATCATGATCGGAATCGGTACTTACCATCATCCATTTCCTGAGATCCGGTTAGCTTAGTTCTGGTTTTGGAATGTCGGTAGGCCTCTCTAGTGACCTCCACCCTGCTTCAATCTTACCAGGTTCAGTCTCATGGTGAATATAATTGTATAGAACCTGTCACAAATTCAGAAGTCTACATCAATACTTCAAAGAGAAACATATGCACTTCTCAACATGAGACGTTACTTACAGTTGCTACGATGGCATTTGCTTGCATTCAGTCGGCGTGGCATACGCTGGACATGTGGGGAGGGTTGCTGCTGGCCACGAGGAGAATCTCGACACTTTGCTTCAACATGTAACAATTTCTTTTACTTCATTTATGCAAAATTCACCATCCTATACATTTTCCGTCTAGAATTTGTGGCTTCGGTGCTGATTTGCAATCTCCTCAAACCTGCAGCCAGTAACAGGTGAACAGAGATCTGGTACTTTTTCAACTGGAGTGTTTACTGCTATCTTTGCCGGTCTGGCGGGTGGTCTCATCATGGTATGCTTTCAGTCCCATTGTACTTCTGTGAAGGACGTAAAAATTACCTTGAAGCAAGTAGACAGAGCTTCTCGATGAAGCTGTTGTGGTATCGAGGTGATGTCGTCTCGAGTTCCTGACTCCGAGAGATCAATTATGTAGGAGTCTCTCCGAGTTCCCCTGTAAGTGGTATCATTTCTAACATTTCAATGCATCGCATCGCAGATTCCTCTAACAAGAGCGAGTGCAGAAGCTCAGGTACCACCTCCAAGTCTAATTTTCAAAAGCTCTGGCCTTGCAAGCATTGTAACATTGTTGAAGAGCCCGTTTCCTTTGGAAGCCGGATGTTTGTGGTCGAATGCAGTCAGCTCGGTGTGGCACAAAAAGCTGATGCCGCTGTGTATCTTTTTCAGGGTATCCCCTACCTGCCTTCCTTCGCAATCGGTGTGGCTATCTTCGCACCGATCGTGACTGCGATCCCGTACGTGACCCGCGTAGATCGTGAGATGCCCAACCTCGCACCTGCGGCAGCTGCTCTTCCCGGAATCGTCTCAGGAATCGTCTGGAACATAGGTATGCACTTTACAACAAAGTTACACACAGCAGCAGCATTGTGACAAGTAGCGTAGCCGAAGGTGAGGCAATGTTTGACAGTAAAAGTGCAGGAGATCTTATCGTGCTCATCGTCTCTTCGCAGGGAACGTGTTCAGCATTCTCGCCATAGGCTACATCAGCTACTCCATCGCCTACCCCATGTAAGTGCTGGCAATGTGTTGAAATACACAAGCGTCGCTAGCGTTGCCTACCAGCGAACAGTCGAGATGCTCTGTTTCGTTCCAATCCCCAACGCACTTGGAAGCTGCTATGCAACAAAATCTGATGATGAGTCCGATGAAAAGTTGATAAAGCTTTCGCATGATATCTGCAGTTCACGGGCAGGCAATCGGATCCTCTCCTAACTTTCTGCTCCTCCTCTTGGCTTGTGCGCAGCATGCAATGCGGAATTTTAGTTGCCGGACTTTGGGGAATGCTTTTGTTCGAAGAAATTCAAGGCTCCTCGTCAACGGCCTACTGGATCTCAGGCGCGATCATCATCGTGGGAGTTGCTATACTGGCCCTTGCTCGCTGAAAAGTTTGGATAACTTCGGAATCCACCACCGATGTTGAGTGATGTCCTGTATACGTAAAAATTTGTGTAAAGACAACCGACCATATTCTCTAGCACACTGTAGTTATAGAATGAGCTGATGCTTTGGGCAAATATGTGTAAATTTTTTTTCGGTCTGTATCTCCCTCCAGTTTGATAAATGAAGTGCATTGTCAACAAGACTACAGTTTTCCTACCGCCTTAGCTTTGGGACGCCCATCCTTACACGTAAGAACATGTAGGTCGTCTTTCGTGATTGATCAGAGCAAATTTTGATGAAAAATTTTGAGCAAATTGAATTGTCGTCTCATGGTTCCGTCCTGTATCGTCTTCTTCTGTTCTGTACCTTCTCATCTTAGAATCACAGTGACCAAGCATGATAATACGTGCAAATTGAATGCTAAGTGACTGTATGATACTGCTGTTACAGTCGAAGTTTGGCCCAATAAGCTTCTATGCATCTCATTTTCTCAACAAGAAATGATGATGAATATTGTTAGATATTTTAATTTCCTTCGGCTGTCTTTGACGTATGAGGAGAAATGTACAGTTCTATCGTTGTGGCAGGCTGAGGATATTGTAAACATTTCCAGACGGTTCGAAAGATGGAGCTATTCATTATGTAGCTTCCTTACCGCTGGTTATGTTTACTTAGTTATTTTGCCCACCTTGCCACTAAATTCGCATATTTTAGGAAAGCGAGAAACGAAGGAGGAATAGAAGTAAAAACCCACAATACTTTCAAAATATGCGCAAATATGCAGAAAAAAATTGAGATTTATAAAGTTTAAACAGATACATAACTAAACACGTCAAAATGCAGAAAATATTCAATAAAATAAAAAAAAAAAATGTACATATAGAGTATAAAATGAAAGTTTACACTACTACCCAACCTTAAACAAAATGTATGTACAATAAAAGACGTAAACAATTCGCAGCCAAACTTCGAAAATTGATTATTATAAAATATGCCAATAAAACCGGATCAATGCTTGAACACTCACTACCATTCTACCACTAAAACTCTAGAAACTGACCATGACAAATGTTAGGCCACGTACACGATAGAGACAAATTCCCGGGCCGTATCCTGAAACTGAGCATAGTCTATAGTTATAGAAACAATATTTGAAATCGATGTAAGTGAAGAATTTGTGATGCAAGTTCAGGAACATTCTCTTCGGACAGCCTTCCATGCACAGCATGCATAAATCTCGGGCTCCATGTGCGGAAACTTTGTAGAGATAGTTTGCTCTTGGAGTTTGAACGCATGCCGGTGTGATCAAATTTGCAATGAAGCTTCTAGTTTAAAATACTTTCTATATGCTAACATGCATGGTAGAAAATAGTGGCCTGTTAAAAAACCTCTTCTGGATAATGAACTAGTTAAGTACTTTCTTCCAGCAGAAAGTTTGTTTGGTTCCCCCAAGACAGGAATGTAACTGAACGTCTTAACATTTGCACCACCATGCATGAAGGCCAGTCGTCGAGTCTACGGCGTCCATCGCATTATGATATACCTTTTGGTACTCGATTCCATAAACAGATGTGGACAGAAAAGTCATGTGCCGACATTACAGTCCCTGTAATTTTCTGTCCTCATTCCAATAGAACGTAAGTGCTACCACGCTGTCCACAAAGCAACTGCCATTCTAACTGAAGAGACATTTACAGTCTGATTGGATCTTCAGCAGAACATCTCAACTGATTGCAGTGTAGAAGAATCATGTTTCGATCGCTCCAGTAGACACATTCCCACAGCACTGGAACTGACACAAAAACTGGGACGATAAAACTGGAACAAAAACCCCGAACATTTGAATCGGAGATCTCCTTGGCAATCGGATGTTCCAATGTCCAAGGACCCGGAACAGTGTGCGGCCACTTCCAGACCTCTGCAGTGAATTTAGGGGTTAAAATCTTATTCGAGCACTAATTCCGCAATTGCATGTCCGTACAGTACCCTCTCTATGTGGGCAGCGGGAGTGGAGGGCGGATAAAAGAAGCAGACACTAGTTTGAGCAATGAAACTGAATCCAACAAACAGAATCCTCAAAGCACCACGGAATAAAGACGGAGCAAACAGTGTAACCGCCAGCACCATGTGTGCAAGTTCATGTTCATACGTCGACTTCAGTACTTCATGCTGCGTTCCCACAAGGCCTCCTCTGTCATTCCGAAGGTCGGGCAAAATCACACGAGTCTTTGATACTCCATCATCCGGCAGTGGAAAGGCAAATTAAGTACATATCAAGTGGCTCCCTGACCCGTCTAGAACGAATATCTGAGTACTTGAATAAAGAATTGCCAGTGGCTTGGGATTTCGTTCGAATGTTTCCATAGCGTGACACACTCCCACTTGGTATACGTTTCCAACAGTGAGGTCGTAGAACCAACAACAGTATCATTCATTGACACGGCAGACATACGCACGAAACAGTTAGCAGCGCAATGATGAACACCTGGGACATGATGAATGTTTGGAAAGCTCCAACGATCAAATACTAGCCTGCCCCAAAGATTGATGACCTGAGAATAAGTTGTCCACGATCAGATTTAATTAATCAGTACCTGAGGTAAAGTAAGAATCAAATGATTGGATGACAACAGATGAGTTATAGAGTATGGCAGTATGGCTCATACAATATGCATATTTTATCACCAGACTTCTGTCTCCACTTATAGAAGTCGAGGCACGAATATGGAAGAACGTGATGGGTGAGTGAGATATGAAGGTACAGTATATTCTATTCAGTTCGAGACAACTAGCAAAACAAGGGACGCGCTTGACATCTTTCAGGTTGATGTCATGGTACGATCACAGGTGACTGGAGGGTTTGTTATTGCTGAGAACTCATGGAAAGTGGCACGTGATAGAGTTGGTGCACACTTGATCGGTCGAGAAGAGGTGAAGTTCTGGCGATGGCTCATGTGTGCCGACAGACAGCCTCATCGCAAGATTAGCAGCTTTCATGATTGTTCCCACTCGCTCGGATTGGAAGTGAACATTTACGTCCATCATCTGTAGCAGCCAACAAGTTGCAATATTCGGACAAATCTGCTCGGCACAAGGCATGGGGTTAGTAGGCGAAACCGCAATCAGTTCATGCATTGAGTTCGGAGGTTGACTGTGTCTCTAGCCTCATACTTCGGCTGGCGCAACGGCTCGTACGTGCTAGAGCGATTCGCGCCATGAAAGCATGCCAAAGTAGCTCATGATAACAGGCCTCGGACAGGTATTTGACTTTTGGTGAAGTATGGTCGAGGTGGTGGCATGACGGAACTGTGTTCCATCCAACTGTGCTCGCCCGACGTTGAGCTCGGTTCGCAAACTCGTAATGCATCGATGTTACGTCTGGGAGCATAATTTGCCTTAGATTTTGTTTCGTTGTGGAGATTCGATTTGTCGTTGTTCCCGAGCTCCGTTTGTTGATGCAATCTGAATCCAGCACAGTAGCGTTTGTAAGTTGTCCACTCGTCTCATTTTATCATGCTTCCGAGCTGATCGATGGATGTGCACCGGTATGGCACCGATGATCGGAATGTGATTGTTCAAAGTCCACGGGGTGGGGGACCACAACAGGGCCAGGGAGATTGGGATTATGAGGAAAGTCAAATGTCATGCATGTTCGACCTGATGTGCTACAAGTTGCATACTTAATTAAGGATACAACGTAAAATAAAGAAAAGATAGGACACTCCATCCAGTCCTCCGAGTATGAAACGAAAAGTGTAACATGGGGCTACCTCCAATAACATCAAATGTCGAATCATATCCAAACAATATGGGTAAAAAGTTTTACATAACACCAGCATCCGGCCTAACTTATTATAACATGGTTGCTATATTCTCCGGTGAATATAATGTAATGTTCACTCTAGAACAATGGAAACATATTGCTTATATGCATGGTTAAACCCTAGTAGTAGCATAAATGGTCGTAAACACTAAGAGTGCATGCAGAGTATGGTAGAAATTGTACTTCTATTAAACAAAACTATAAAGTTCTAAATCAGAGAGGGAAAAGAAGGGAGTTCATTTATTACCTCAAGGCTAAAAAACATTAACTCGCGTAAACGGCTTAAACTTATGTTCAAGGATAAACCTGTTTACAATCACACACCATAAAATAATGAACCTGCTAAAAGTGAGGAACTAGCCAAATCTGGTAGAGTGTAGTTTACTCCACGCATAGCAGCACTGTCTCTTAACAAAAAAAATCAGCAAAGACATTTGCTGACGATACTATAATCAAGGAATCTCAAGACTAGTGTGAATGAAGTAATTTAAGAGAAATACAGTTAGATATGTGAACGAGCAATACTTGTAATACAAAGAGAATGTAAAGCCATATGGCAACTCTCCACAAAATCCTTAGACCCTACCTGTAAAACTTATGATGTGTAAACCGTTGAGAGATTGTAATGTAGAAATCAGGATGAATACACTGAAGTTTACCATAATAGCCTTCAACATATTGGTGAATCTGTTGAAGGATATTATGGTATATTATGGAACACAACGCATCCAATCATCAGAGTTCTATGGCACTGGCCAAGAGAGTATTCCCAAAGGAGGTTTGTCCATGTCAGTCCCAAAGAAAGGTAGTCTACGGGAGGATCAGAATGTCAATGGGCGAAGCTTGACAGATTGAGGAATGAGAATAAAATACTCGGGGACTTTATTAAGCCAGAGCCTCCGTCCCAGTTATTGATGCCGTTGATGGAGGAGGTTGTAGACATGGAGAACTGCCGTCCTAACTTGGCCTTTCGCCCATTATAAAACTGTTAGCCCCTGGGATCCGGAGTGATCGCACAACAAGCGAGAGAATGTGTGTGGAAGAGAGTGAGATCGTACTCAAAGTGCCTCGCATGACGTCCACTCTCGATTATAGAGCCCGCGCGTTCGAGACCTTGCAGCGAGTAGAGCAGCAGGGAGTTCGATCATAGGAACAATCTCAGGAAAACAACGACAGCTGCAGACGGGCTGACGATGAAGATGGAGAAGCTGGAGGAATCGTGCCAGCGTTGGGATAGGCTTCTCAAAGAGATCACTTCTGATCCGCCCTGCAAGTTCGATTTGGTGCAGTTGTGGACATTGTCTTGTGAGCAAAACAAGTTGGAAGAGTTGCCTGCAGCAGACGTAGAAGATGGGGAAGAGTTCACGAAGGCCAAGGCAGTCCAGACGAACCTGCTACGAGCAATCGGGAGTTGCAAAGCTGTCGAGGAGCTTTTAATCCGAGACGCATCTTATGGTCGCTATGGCGCTGGATTCAATGTCCTTACGCCCATCGAGTGGGAGTTATTTTTCTCCAAACTTCAGGCCAATCCCAATCTGCGGTCGGTGGTCATCGAGGGAAGCGAGTCTTTCTACAAAATAGTCATCCCTCACTTCACTGCGTACATTGCTGGTAGTACAACCCTCGAGAATCTCCGCATTGGCGAGCTGCTTCGCCAGGTCAATGTCATTCCCAAATCAAGGATATGTCGCTTGGATGAAGAAACGGTCCAAGCACTCTCAGATGCTCTCATCAAGAGCAAAAGCCTAGAGTTTCTTCAAATAGGATCCTTGGAAGTAGCGAGCATTCACATACTTTTGAAGGCCTTGACTGGATCTCCTCGGAACCAATCTATAAAGGTCCTGGAGATAGACGAGTTCGTTGGGTGGTTGGGATATGCTTTGCCTAATCTTCTGGTGTCGGAGAATTGCACACTGAAGGAGATTGTGCTGAACGTCTTGACCTGCTCGGAGCTCGATGTCGAGCAATGCAGTGCAATTGGATGCTCTTTGCTGCAAACGACTTCTCTCGAGAGGTTCACCCTGGTCACCGACCTGCGAAGTGAAGTCGACTTAGTGCCCACTTATAATGTGCAGAATGCGATGGATGTCATGGACGAGCTGGTGAAGGCCAGCCGAGGAAGCTCGATACTCAAGTTCGATTTGTGTATCTTGCGCGATTACATGGATGTCCATCTGACTAGTTGGCTCGTGAAAGCGTTGAATCGATACTCTAACTTGGATCGGCTTCAACTCACGACGTCCAGGGTCGCTGGCTTCGAAATGCATGAGCTCTTTCCGATATTCGAAGCCATGAAGTCCAATTTCTTCCTGCAATGTCTCAGCATCAAGAGCATCAGCGCAGAAGGTGGTTGGAAGCACCTCACCGAATGCTTGCAGCTCAATACGAATCTCAAAAGGTTGTCTTTTGAGGACTGCTCCATCCTCGACGACGAGAGCTTCAAGTCTCTGATGGAGCTACTGCAAGTGAACATCTACCTCGAAGACATTGACTTCGGAAGTTCCTACTCGCGTTCTGACGGACGCGCTGCATTGGTGAAAGAAGCGTTGAGACGCAACAAAGCTTACAGGTTCAACATCCAGACGCTCTCAAATGCCGGACTCGCATTCAATGGTCCTAAATCAGGCCGTCTATTTTTGTGCGGAAGTCCTCATGGAGGTATGAGAAAATCACCCGTAGCATGCTTTGGTTTCTAGCTTGAGCTATGTTTTTGACCCAACTCTCAGTTCTCGCACTGACATTCTTCGCAGCTCGGAATGAAATTGAAGGATTCAAATTCATGTGCACATTTGCAGTCATTTGTTTTTGAGAGTGGTCGAAGTCGATTTCATTCTGTACTGATTGCTGCTCTGGGAGCAAACCTGCACGAAACCTGTACGAGTTCGAGCACATTGCTACCAGTCATGTGCACCTATGTGCACGAATGAGTTGCATATGTCAGCTGCATCAAGTCGACGAATGAAATTGAAGGATTCATATTCATGTGCACATTTGCAGTCATTTGTTTTTGAGAGTGGTCGAAGGCGATTTCATTCTTTACTGATTGCTGCTCTGGGAGCAAACCTGCACGAAACCTGTACAGTTCGAGCACATTGCTACCAGTCATGTGCACCTATGTGCACGAATGAGTTGCATATGTCAGCTGCATCAAGTCGACGAATGAAATTGAAGGATTCATATTCATGTGCACATTTGCAGTCATTTGGTTTTGAGAGTGGTCGAAGGCGATTTCATTCTTTACTGATTGCTGCTCTGGGAGCAAACCTGCACGAAACCTGTACGAGTTCGAGCACATTGCTACCAGTCATGTGCACCTATGTGCACGAATGAGTTGCATATGTCAGCTGCATCAAGTCGGCGATTCCATGATGAAGGATGATTGTCTCTCACGCTCACAATAACCCGAGAGAACTGCGATGTGACAGGGAAGACAAGACTGAGAATGACCATGATGAAGACCCGAAGTAAGAAGAGCTGGTTGAGGAAGGTCGTATCCGGCACCAAGAAAACCAAGGGCGTCGAGGTGGAGATGCTGAGGGACGATGAAGACATGCAAGTCTCGATATGGGATTTGGCAGGCCAATGGATCTTTCGCGCTCTGCAAGACCTGATATTCCCGAGGGCGAGTCAGACCTGCCTGTTCGTGTTCGTGTTCAGCCCTCTCGATGACAACCAGGATAAGATGAAGCCTGATCTTGGACAAGCTTTGCGGTCTGAGCTGACATCATGGTTGAGGTTCGTGGCTTCCAACTCGCAAATCACGGGCCATTGCGTTCCACATGTGCTCGTGGTCATGACTCATAAGGACAAGATGGACAACCAGGAATCCGGCTGGGCCAAATTCATCGTCAACGATCTGCAAGAAAAATTCAAGGGCGTGCTGGATCTACATGGAGGTGAAGAGCTGTACTACGTGGATGCTCATGCTACCAAAGAGGTGCAGCCCTTGACCGAGCACATTCTTCGATTGTTCGAAGAATCGCTGCAACGCAGGACCTCCATGGTTCCTTGGGTGTGCTCGCAGCTGGTTTCCAAACTGGCCAAGCGTCCCGTCGAGATAGTGAACTGTCCTGTGTGGGGAATCGACACACTGTACTCCTTCTTCTCGCAGGAGATCAGGATCTTGCAAGCGGGATCCTTCGACCTGCGAGTGAAATCCGAGCGAACTGTTCTGGAAGCCGTGGCGTTGTACATGCACGATGTAGGAAGCATAGTTATCATCCCCAATTCCGATATGGTGGTGGTCGACGTCAACTGGCTCACTCACAAGTTTCTCGGCCGACTCATCTGCCAAGGTCATAATTTCCACGTCAAAGACGGAAGCGCGCACTTGAGCCCTGATGGTTTCGTGGCCCAGTTCGAGCTCCAAGAAATTCTTCTGAAACTCTGGACCAAGCATCGTCGACAGGGCATCACCTTCGACATCAGGGTTCTCGAAGACCTCCTCATCAAGCTCGACCTGTGCTACCTCGTTACCAGTAAGAAGGGAGAGACGCGTTTCTTCATTCCCAGCCTCTTCGGTAAAGGCGAGAGCAAGCAACTGGTAGGAGCAACTTCCCAGCATTCTCTCGAATGGACTGCACCGCAGTCTCCAGCAGCAGATTGGGGCCATTTTGGTTTCCGCCTGCAATGTCATGACAAGGAAAGGACCTTGTTGACTTCAGCAGTTTTTCCACGGTTCCAGGTGCGCACATATCTTTGTGACATATTTTATTACAAATGCTTCAGCAGTCTGTTTGAGAGAGGGCCGTCTAGTCGAACCACTAAATCAAGGAACTGATCGGGTTGGTGACAATTGGAACTGCAGATTCACTTGCGCAACAGAATGATTTCGATTGGCCTCGAGATGATCCAGGAACAATTCGATTGTGCTCACGATTACATCAAGATACACGTGAACGGCTGCTTCATCATCGTAGAGAGGGGTGGAGTTTCTGGGGATCACGTGGACATACTGGTGAGGTTCTCCAAGGTCAAGCAACGGGAGCGAGCGGCGGCCATGTCATTCGTCCGAGACAATCTCCTGGAGGAGTTCCGAGCATACTGCGCGTCCCCGAAAGGCTGTCCTGGAGTGGCCCTATCCATGGCGATAATCCGGCCCGAGTGTGTGAAGAAATTGACACCGCATTTGCACAGGACTTCCAACCAGGTCGTTCTGGTGGAGGAGTTGAAGAGGGAGTTCGCAGAAAGCGTCGAGCGCAACTTGCAGCACGCAGAGCTCGATGGCAAGCAGTGGGGACATGACAACTTCCTGCTCGACTATCAGCATACGTGGCCCAGAGTACCGCAGGCGAGCCTGCTCCCCCACTCCGAGCCTGCGATCGAGCTCTTGGAAAGAAGGGAACTGGAGGAGGTCGTGAAGGCTGTCCGAAAACGGAGAGAAACCAGCCTTCAGGAATTACGTCAAGTCGTGGAAACTCTGGATGCAAATTTAGGTGATACCAAATCGTCGGAAAAGACTGTCGTCGCTCCGGCAAACTCGGACGAAGGAAGCCTCGAGATATCGCTCAACGAAAGAGATGCCGAGCTGGTGAACTTGATCATGTTCCAACTGGACAAGCAGCACGGCGTGGATGATGGTCTGAGCTCTTTGGAAGACCAGGTCCAGGGGATTCGTAAGGACCTGGCGAGGATCCTATCGATCCAGCGAGAGATGCGCTGCAACTTGATGCAAATCATGTCGAAGGTGGATCGGATGATTTGCTACACGGATGCACTGAAGAAGGCCAAAATGCCCCGACGCCCCTTCTTGACGTTGGAGGACATGGGCATCCGAAAGAGGTTGGGCATGGCTGTGCAGTTCGGGACTCCGGTTCGCCTGCACCTTCTGTGCGAATCTCAAGCGGGACCACATATCATCGAAAAGCAACCAGGCTGGGGGGTATGCGTGACGAAGGAGAACAAGGAGTGGCTGCGTCTGATCTCCGTGAATTCGTTGAGGATAGCGTGGTACTTGATGAAAAGCGGAGTGCAACTCATCCATACGGGGCAGCAGCAGGTCAAGGAACCGGAGCTCTCTGAGCTCGGAATTGGATCCAAAGGTGCCTTGACGGTCACCGATGTCACGCTGGATTCCCTCAAGGCTCGTGACAGCATGCCTCTGGTGCCGGGTGATGAAATGACGAGTGAAGCGTGGACTTTTTTGAAGAACTGTCTGGCTGCGAAATTCGACTACGCGAACGATTTCAAGCTCCATCTGGTGAAATACCGAGCGCCCACCGGATCCATAAACGACTCACATGCTTGGCTCTGTGCAAATTGTTTGAGCAGAGGCCAGCGGAATGGTATTTTGAGTAAAGTCGGGCAAGATCAGCTTGCAAATTGAGAAGTAGGCTAGCCACCGACTCCCATGGTACATAACCGAAACTCCGAGCACATTAGAGCTAGAGAGATCAGCAGCCCAGCACGACTTCCGCATTACCATACATAGAAAGACATGTACAGATCTTTTACAATTCGAATTGTGTACAGTTCACTACCATCTGGTGTCTGTTCGTCTTTCTACCGCTTCTGTGATTGCACCTCATGATGACAACCGGCCGTGACCCACGACCATGTAGGCTGCATCGCATGAACAATTGCGTTGTATCGTCAGATGATTGAGAATGGACGAGATGGACGCCGTTCAGACTTGGTTGCAACGTCGTTCTGTCTCTTACGAAACTCGAGGTGTTCCGCACTGTCAGCATCTAAGCAGAGAGAGGCCTGAGCTTGAACAAGCTCAGGCCTCTCTCACATCCAGATGGTCGACTGAAGTCAAAGTACAAATCAAGCCACCGGAACAAAATCAGCGGTCACCAAAACGTCTGCTCCATCGAACATTCTGTCCGATCGAGACCATCACTACAGTCTCAAGTTCATAGGTGGGATTTTGTATTGGATACTTGGTGACCCTCATAGGAAAACGGATTGCTTTCAAAAGATTAAAGATTGGATATCATTAGGATCTCTTCTAATATAATCCGATCCTTTATCATGTGAATATGATCACATCATTAATTAATAATTTTATCTCCGTCTGTAACCACAATTTATTACCTGTTTCGTTCCTATTTTTGCAAGATGACAATAAGTTCAAAGTTGCAGGGGTGCTGGAAGAGGAACACCCCCTAATCCTCAATTTTGTCAAATTGAATTGTCAACATCCACCTTCTCTCCTTGAATCGTGGTGTAATAAATGGACTTTCAACTGACATGGGCATAACGCTATTATCTAATCTGCCTCTTTCAAAGAAGAAACCCCCAGTCCATAATTTCAAGCATCCATGGAAAGATATTAAGTGGATCTGAATTTCTTTCATATTCTAAAAAGTAACGTGAGAATAAAGACATGCCAAAGGAATAACCAATAGCTAGCCCTGGTACCTGGCTCTCACGGCTTTCTCACGTTAGACTGAAGATCATCTTGAGGCTAATGGTTTATGAGGAAACGCCATCACAAGGTATGAAGTACTCTCGCATTATCTCTTATAGAAATGAAAAAATTAAATACAGATACACATATATATATATCTATATATCTATATATATACTTACTGTAGAATTTACTTAAGTGAACGAATGGGAGTGTTGACATAACCCGGTGATCAAAGAAGATAAATTAATAGTCCGTGGAGTTGTGAAAAAGGTTGATGACATGAAAGATTCTCAGTGAGGTTATGTAGCTCCAGCATGGAAGCGGATACTGAAGTTCCGTGTGATGGACACCGAGACACAAAGTCCAAAACCAAGTCGGCGAGCGTGACCAACCAACAACATTGCATCACCATAGCTCATAACCACATGAAGTAATTTCGCCCGAACATTCCTCACTAGGACAATCGGAGGCCCTCCGTAGACCATACGTATAGAGTAGAGGGTATCAGAGTACTCAAGCTTCACCTGCCCGATGATTGTTTTTTAATAGAATAAAGAAGAAGTGGCTGTTGACTCTCGGGTCTCCGGGTCAGACATTTGTCCAATCAGGAATTTGGCTTCATTCCCAAGTTCAAGCTACCATAGAATCGCAGGTAAACAGTATCCAATCCGGTACTTCGCCTGCCATTTGCTGCTTCCAGGTTCAGTGCCTTCGGCCATTTGATCTGAATCAGCTCACGATTACTGAGGACTAGGAGGATTTTAGCAGACTTCTGCTAATTTAACTGCGACACTCGATATGGCGGTCCTCAAAAGCAGCTTTTACTCGGAAAAGAGCGAGGAGAAGCTGCATATCGGCATCCTCCACGACAAACGCGTCCTTGAAAAACTTGGACGCGTTTGTCGAGAGTTGCCCACGGAAAGCACCCCCATCCATCCCCAGAAGTAGCAGCCGCCTCGGTGGTTTTTTTTCCCGACGTTGTTGAGCTGATTACTACCCGACCTGCTGTCTTTGCTAGACCTCTTGCACATGTGGACGATCGAGTTTCTGTGTTAATGCCTTCAAGTGGAGTGAGTCATGTGTCTTTGCTGCTGCCAAAGTTCTGAATTGGTCAATTCATCCGGTGAATCGTGGTATCTAATCGGGTCGTAAGCTCTGAATTTGAAGTGGGAAAGTGAGATGGAATCCAGTGAGGTTTTTGTTGCTTGCAGACTTGCCTGAACCTGGCCGTCCCAAGTCCTTGCAGTAAGAAGATTACGGACAGACACAAGTAACACCCACATCTCAGTCCGGATATTCGCACAAACTATGCACAGCAGTGAACAGAGCTCGTGTTGTCTTCTTGAGTCTGAGGACTTGATCATCTCAGTTTCGAAATGTGCTCGAATTTCTTCCAGGAACTCAGAACTCGAAACATTCGAAATAGAAAAGTGTTCTGCATGCTTGGATTGATCTGAGTGGAGCGGGATCTGAATCGATATGGAAAGGAAGAGAAATGGGTTATCTTCTAAATATCTATGTTGCTTGCCGTGCAATCTACGGTCGACCAAGGTTGGAATCAGAGAATTTTCAGGTACTGTGTCCCCTCAAATCCTCCTGCTCACTTGAGCTGTGGGTGCCCCACAATACTTTGGGTTCGTGATGTCGTGAAGTGTGTTGCTGTGCGTGCCGAAGGACCGAGTTGCATTTGCAGCAGCGCGCAATCTAAGCTGAGGTCCAAGTCATTGTCTTTTGATGTCTGTTGTTTAAGGTTTGATCGCAAACTCCAGTCAGCTCAAACCCGCCAGATGTTTTACGCTGAAGGAGATTAAGCAGGCCACAAATAACTTCAACCAGCGGACTATTCTCGATAGTCCGGATAATGCCGAATTTACCGTAAGCTGCTTACCTAGGTGCTTTTGAGCTGCTTGTACTTCGTGCGACATGAAATCTCATGATATGTGGAAGATGTAGGATAAGAGCTCTGTGTGTCAACAAGGATCTTGGGATAGAATGCATGGACTTGTACTTTACATTTTCTGAGCCCGTCGCTCGTTCCTGCCGAATGAAGGTATACAAGGGGACCCTCAGTAGCGGAGAGATTGTCAGAGTACGGAGAAGTTCCACTATGGGGATCAACATGAAGAGCAAGATGGAAAAGGAGTTGGAGCTACTGTCATGCCTTTATCACAGGAACGTCGTTTGCCTGGTGGGCGTCTGCTTCAGCAAGGACGACCACCTGCTCGTATATGAGCATCTTCCCAACGGAACCCTAAGTGATCACCTCCACGGTCATTCTCTTCTCACTTCAACCCGGTCTTTCTGGACAGTGTGATACCTCAGGTATACAGAATGACATGGCTACGGGTTAAGATACTGTCGTAGTGATGCAGCAATGATCTTTGTCCTCCACTGATCAGCGCGTGGATTGCTTCGAGGAATTCCGCTTGTCTCAGAACCGATTAGTCCCGATGAAAAGCATGCACGAGGCAAACTGAAGACAGAAGAAGCTTACTTCGTTTCTTGAAATACTTCGTTTTAGATTACTTCTTTTGCAAGTAAGGTCCGTATGGATTACTAGTTGCTCCAGCTGTTTGATTTCCCCTTCATGCCGATGCTCTGTATCTCATGAATAAGTTTGTTGTTCAGATAAAACCAAACTTCCACTTCCACTGGAAGTAAGATTGGATATTGCTATATGCATTGCCAAAGGTCTTGCACATCTGCATGGGCATATTTCGCCACCCATAATCCACCGAAACGTCAAGTCATCCAGCATACTCCTCGGCAACAAGTTCGTGGCCAAACTGTCGGAATTTGGTCTGTGGAAGCAAATGGATGATGAAGTGCTTGAAGGTACAAGATCGACAGAGGTAAGACATGACGACACCCTTCCATTAGACACTGCAAGCAGGTAACTGTGTTCTTCAAATACGATCGGAAATCCAGAGATCTCACTTCGCTGACACCAGATGTTGTGGATCGGCTGCAGGGTTATATGCCTCCCGAGTATTATAAGGCGAGGAAGTACACAAACTTGTCGGATGTGTATGGTCTTGGAGTGGTTCTGCTCGAGCTTCTCACGGGGGAGAAAGCATGTGACCTCGAACGTCATGCTCACAACGAGGAAGCCCTGCTCGTGCGGAGAATATGGTCAGCACTAAGGCGTGGTGGCTGGGAGGCACTTCAATCAAAATTGGATCCGTTTATCAGGTATCACCCCAAACAAAACCTGATACAAAACCTGGTCAATACAGCACTTTACTGTACTGAGGAATTGGAAACCGATCGTCCAGACTCGAAAAGTCTCGTGGAAATCCTTGAAAATCTGCGAACGTTTTCTTAGCTCAACCCTTCAAGCCAGCGAGTTCCAGAGTCTCGCTACCACGCATCCAGCATAATGGCGGCTGTCGAAAGCGGTCTTCCATACATGCCGAGTTGCTGAAAAATTGCGCGATACATCCCCGAGGCTAATCCCGTTAATGAACGAGTAGACCACTTGCAATACGGGGATTTGGAACTCGTCCTCGTCGGACGGCATTGATTGCATGATTTCTCATTCGTAACTAGGCTCATCACGCAATTTTGTACCTGGAGGATTCGGCGTGAGAAACGCGCACCTGCTACTGTGTACTAGTTTCATGCTTAGAGTGTCTCTTTTACCTGCCTCACATAGCATCATATAGCTGACAGAGTGTGGAAGCATCAACAAATCTGGAGTTTATTTGAGATCATATGCTTGTATGAAATTAGCTTTTCTCGACGAACAACCGACGTAAGAATTTTTCATACAAGAATGGACGAAAGCACGTTGTCCGTTGTTACTTAGAATTTTTTGTCTGTTCCAAAAATTAGAATGTTGCATCCCCTGGGGAATTCGTAGTTAATTTTGCAGAACTATCAGCTGGATATCGGCAGCGACATATACAAAACTAACCCATTCTTCATCCAGCTGATTCACCTCTGGCCTTTAAGAGTGCTGGATGCCGGTGTTCTGTTTCCTTCGATAAAGTGAACGAGAACGATGACCAGTGATTACTGTTTGACTGCTCAATCCAGACAGAGCTATCGCATCAGGAGTAACAGTTGATGATCGGGGTTAGATTCAACCTCCTGGTGACCAGATCTGTTTTAGTAAGAGGCCAGCATACATAGACATAGACATACAGCCGCCCATCTTCATGACACATTTTGTAATCTTGTAAAACAACTTATTTGCAATAAACTTTGTGAAATATATAGCTGTATCTTTATAAGTACACCCGCTCAATTCAGGAATATCATCCGAAGTTTGTATGTTCATCAGTAATCTCGTTGATTCCATTGATCTGTATGGGAATGTTCCCTGATCAGCGAATTCACACTGGAGCTGTAACGGGAACTACGAGGAAGATAGAGGACATACCAGGTCGCAGAACAGAATCCGCTTTGTGAAAAGCTCAGTGTCATAGATAAAAGCAATTAGATGCCTTCTGCACTTGAAGCACGTAAAAGAGACAGTCCTGATCTTTCTGTAGCAAGGGCTTTCTGTAACGGACGAAGAAAACATTTAAGCTTCGTGTAATTGCTTTCCACTCCTAGACGAGTTCTTTCCAGGTCCGGGAGAGTTATTATTTCCCTTCTGGGCAGCTAATTACGGTCAGATGAATATTCCCAGATAGATTGAACCTGAAGGAAACAGAAAAAAACCGATGCTAAGTTCGAGTCACTGCATAATACAGTGTTCGGTCACCTCCATCCGAAGATTTCACTAAACGGCTCACTCCACAGCCCAAAACTACTCTAAAAATGGCCTCCGTAGTTCGCGTCTAAAACGCGTGACTGCACTCCGTAGGTAGGCTCAATCCCCAAACCGGAACCATATGTTCTCATGAACATGAATCCAGACCATCTGCTCACACAGTTCAGCAAATATACAAACGCTTTTACTCAGAAGTTCCTCCTCATATTATTTAATGGCGAGGCGTGAAATTTCTTCTAGGATTTCAGAAATGAAGCTCAGGTCTTGGGAATGGAGAGCAAAAGAAGCATATTGTTGGTGGTAAGAAGAGTAGATAGTACGGTACTCCCGTGCAGTTCTCAATCAATGAGTCCCAATGCAAAGTAGACATGCCTACTCGGTGCAGGTCATGTAAGACATGCCCAAACACAGCAGAAATCTGCAGGCGGTTCAAGTAGCAAATACTCTTCAGCCTATGTGGCCTGTTTTCAAAGTTTGAGTTTGCAGCTTGCCTCATCATTGATGTCGTTGAGAAAGTACTTTTTTTGCATGTTTGAAATCTAAGTTACGATTTTCTAGTCATTTCCAAATAATGGCTGGTGCCAACACCATGCCGGGAGTGGTGCTTAAGAACATCTGACCAAGGATCTAATCTATGTGGGTCTTTGATGCTCTTCATTGAGAGAAAAAAAAAATCAAAAAAATCCACCAGATTATGAACCAGATACTTCGATGATACTAGCGTTTGAAACTTTCAGAAATGGTCCAGCCGTGCCATGGCAAGACTGAGTATCTGGATTCTCGGATTTTAAGCCACGTTAATTTACCTCAGCATATCCGTTTTGAAAATGAACATCACACGCTGCTGGGAAGAGGATATACCGCAACTGGCAGTTTATGATCTGGCCACCTTGTCCTGGATGGGCAATTGCCCTCAAGTATTTGAACGCTTGTACTACCCAAAGTCAACGAGATGTGAAAGTACCGAATATATCATTAGAAAACGAACGCATTTATGGAGGCCAGAAATCTTACGGCTATGTGCTTCTCGAGCCATAAAGACTTGTGAGGCGCCTGGTTGAAATGTGTCGGATTTATATGAAGAAGGGCATCAGAGTTTACTTGATTGTAGAGATTCCAAGGCTGCGCGGTATAACATGGTGAAACCCAGCAGGACTTGCGAGACATATTTCTTGTCTGGTTTCTGGAGTGCAAGGAGTTCTTCGGTGCACCAGGCCAACTTCAAGGAGCGATGCAATGTTTGACAAGCAACCTTGCCGATACTTGCGATGTTTCATGGAACACGTGTTCTGCTATGTTTTAATGGAAAGTAGAATGCTATTGCGTCCTACAGAGCAAGCTGTGAGCCTCATATAAATCCATGTGATCCAGCCATTTTATAGAATTGTCAGATTGCAATAGGCCCAATCATGGTAGCACTCTCGAGTCCGGGACAGACGACTCCACTTGAAGAAGCGGACATTGCGAGAGGTGAGTTGGTGCGAGGGTAATGCTCAAAAGTCAGCGTGATTACGTTCTCAGGATCATGGACGACTAGACACAATGCTCCAAACAAGGTATTTTTGTAATGGAATTATGGATGTGAAAACTGGAAACACGGTAGCCCACGATCCTTGACAGTAACGTTCCCGCTAATGGGAATCCCATATTTGTATGAGAAGTGTATCCTTTGCACCTTGAAGTTCGACCATCGAGATGAGCTTTTCATGAGCAAGCAGCTCCAAGAACAGCAGTTTACTTCCAGAACAGGTACTCACAGATTTGTTCCAATAGTCTTTGTCGTCCTTCCACACCAACCTGTTTTTGGACCGAACCCGTCAATCTCGAGGATATATAGAATCTCCAGCTCATCTGCAGCAGAAAGCTCTCCTTGAGTCCATGAGACCATCTATGCTATCCTCCCCTCCAGTCCACAATCATGCTGTTCTGAAACTCCAAATTCACATCTCTTTCCGTCTGCCCCACGCACAATCGACCTGCTGCTGTTACAATTCTCAAGGACTATAAGGAAGGAATTAGAGGCCAACTGTTTCGAGGATTACAAAAGCCAGTGCCACATGTCTGCCAGAATAATTTACACTCTTCTGAACTAAATGTTCTTCGGTAAGTTGTGAAATTTTCAAGAAATGAAAGCCGACCCGGGGAGGAGAAGCCACGATGTACGAATGCCTCGGACGGAAACATAATGAACTTCATTATGTTGCCAGAATCTGCATCGAGCTTGTTGGTTTCGAACTCTCTATGAGTATTTAATGAAAAAAATATAGCGACCAGCCTCCAATGGGGCGGTTTCGTGAATCAAATCTTTCAGCAATGGCTACATCGAGACGCAAAAATCAAAGAGCTTTCTATCCCAAGTTCAGCTTGGTTATTAAAGCTTATGAAATTATCCTGTTGAGAACTCTCAGAATGGAAGGAAAAGAAACAAGACGCCTGCATCGAGGTGCTGTAAAGATTCGACTAATTGACTCATTGATTGTGTACAACTTTTCTAATCCGCAATGGATCTAGAACCGAAGGCTGGAGCTCGACGAATACAAGCAGACATGTTTTGTGACTCGACGACTTCCAATCATTCCCTCTGAGAACTGCTTTTCAGAGAGAGCACGACAAGTCCGCCCGGTCTTGCCAAAGTATCTTAGCTGGAAACAGGCCGACAACCTCGAGGTTGTGGTCAAGCTGTCTAGCGTCTGTAATAAAACCTCCGTACACACGGTCGGAAGGACGAAATTCTAGTACTGATAGACGTCCGGATTTACGTGATAGAACGGGACAAGCCTAGACGAAGAGTTGTTCGAAAATCAGTGTTCTCTTTGATTGAGGTTACTTTACTGTAACAAGAAGTATCTTATATACAGATCTGTATATAAGATATATAATATCCGAAGTCTCGGTTCACTCTACCGAGACTTGGGTAATGTGAACATGACTCGCTCAGTCAGTGTCTGAGTTTATTATATACTTCTAGAGAGGGGTGGGAGATCCCACATCATGCTTCAGTGAGCCTATTTTCTAACATTTATGCCGGTTTCTGAGATCGAGCTCGATCTCAGTCGGCGAGCGTTACTTACCCAAAAATACATTAATACATTTTCGAACATACGTTCATCTTAGGGGTCCATTTGTCAATTTTTCAAGGTTTATAAATTGGCGGAAAGTGACCGTCTTCAGAATGTCCGACATCATCTAGGCTGATGATGTCGGAACTCAATTCGTCAATTATGGGGCAACCACTGCAACAACTCTTCGGAGCTCGAAATATCGTCACAGTAGCGAAGGAACAGAAATTGTGTACTCTGCTCCGGAGTCTCACACGCAGATAGAGTGGACATGACATCACGCTTATTCGCTCGACTGCGACTACGACGTCCAATAACTCGAACTCGAAGGCTTGCCAGCCGACAGCTCAGACGGACTCGTCCAGCCATGGAAATCCCTCAGGTTCGAAAGAACACAATTTCTACGCCTCCGCTCGTTCGGCAAGCATGCAAGCAAGAAACGCTCTGCTGCACCTGAGCCAAAAGGTGCTGCTATGTCGGCTGATGACATAAGCCCGCCGCCAGCACAGCAGATCCAAGAAACCTCGGTGTGGCTGCTGATGCGTCCGGCCATGGCATCTCAACGAGCACAACAGATAAAGAGAGAGGTCTGACATCGCTGTCCCCCTCCTGTCTCTCGGCTGCGGCAGTGCTTCTTGCACCTGCTTTCTTCAATCTGATCCTCACTTACCTACAGGATCGATCCGTTTCTTAATGCAGATTCTGAATCAACCTCTCGATTCTAAATCAACCAGATGACTAATCGACCTCGTCGATGCTCGGGCCAACGAGCAAGCAGGGCAGATCGGCTCTGCCTGGTGTGTCTACGATCCTCCGGCATTACCGTGAAAGATCTCGATGCGCCGGAGGCTGGTAGGAAGAGGCTATGCGACACGAGTGGGTGATTATGTTAGGCGGAAGAGATGCGCTGAGAGATCACGAACCACAGTGAGCAGAGCAAACGCGATCGGGCCCGTTTAGCACGAGCTCATGATTACGGCGGTCCGAGGCCAAGGCCGAGGAATAATGCCCGAGGAAATCAATGCTCATGTGCGGACAGGAAGAAAATCCCATGACGCCGCCTCGGCGTATATATATGACGGCTTTGAATGCTGCAGCAGCTGCATCACCGCCTCCGCTCGCCACCACTCGAGGCCAGAAGACAAGTGGCGACCTGAGACCTCGAGGCCTCGCCCATGCTGAAGAATGGGCCGCACTCCGCTCATCCTCTTTCTCAGTCTCAGTCTCAGTCTCGGCCTCCATGTCTGGGCGGAGCTGGCGCAAGCGCAGGATGCTGCCGAGTCCGGAAGCTGGGAGCTGCTGGTGGAGAACGCAGGAATCTCGTCCATGCACACGGCGGTGACGCGATTCGGGACGGTGATCCTGCTGGACCGCACTAACATCGGGGCCTCGCAGATCCAGCTCGCCGACGGCCGATGCAGGATCAATCCGAGCGAGCTGCAGCTGCAGACGGACTGCAGCGCGCACTCGGTGGAATTCACGCCCGGCGCCAACACTTTGCGCCCGCTCTTCATCTTCACCGACACCTGGTGCTCGTCGGGCCAGTTCCAGGCCGACGGCACGCTCGTCCAGACGGGCGGCGACAACGACGGGTTCCAGAAGGTGCGCTACTTCGCGCCCTGCGCCGACGGATCCTGCGACTGGGTCGAGTCGGACGGCGACGTGCTCCAGGACGGCCGCTGGTACGCCTCCAACGCCCTGCTCCCGGACAACCGGCAGATCGTCGTCGGCGGCCGAGGCATGTCGACGCTCGAGTTCCTGCCCGCCCGCCCGGCCGAGGGCGCGCTCTACTCGGCCTTCCTCGATCAGACGCGCGACGCCCAGAACGACAACCTGTATCCGTACGTGCATCTTCTGCCCGACGACACGCTCTTCATCTTCGCCAACCGCGACTCCATCATCTACGACTACAAGAGCGACACCGTCGTCCGGACCCTGCCCCAGATTCCGGGCGAGCCCCGCAACTATCCGTCGGCCGGCTCGTCCGTCATGCTGCCCCTCGTGGCCAGCGACGGCTTCCGCGAGGTCGAGATCCTCGTCTGCGGCGGCTCCGCGCAGGGTGCCTACCAGAACGTCGCGGCCCAGTACCCGGCGTCGCAGACCTGCGGGCGCATCGCGCTGAGCGCCGACGACCCGCAGTGGGTCATGGAGGACATGCCGATCCGGAGGACCATGGGCGACATGCTCATTCTCCCCAGCCGCGACGTCCTTATCATCAACGGCGCCGAGAATGGGTCGCAGGGCTGGGGCGCTGCGTCCAATCCCGTCTTCAATCCCGTCTTGTACAGTCCCAGCGCCGAGCCCGGCGCCCGGTTCGCGCTCCTGGCGCCCACCACCGTCCCGCGCCTGTACCACTCGTCGGCCAACCTGCTGCCGGACGGGCGCATTCTCGTCGCCGGCAGCAACACGCACCAGTTCTACACCTTCTCCGGCACGGAATTCCCCACCGAGCTCCGCATCGAGGCCTTCTCGCCGCCGTACCTCAACGCCGCCTTCCGCACCATGCGACCCGTGATCGAGACTTCCCCCGAGGACGTGGCCTACGGCGACAATTTCCAATTGCTGATCCGTCTTCAGGAGCCTGTGCAGCCCGAGAAGCTCATGGAGATCAGCTTGCTCAGCTCGCCTTTCACCACGCACTCGTATTCCATGGGGCTCAGGGCTCTGAGACTCGACGTCACCAACGTCCAGGACCTCGGTGATCAGATGTGGCAGTACACTGTCGCTGCTCCTCCCAGCGCTGTCATCGCTCCTTCGGCTTACTACATGCTCTTCGCTGTTTTCTCCCAGATTCCCAGTGTAGCGGTCTGGGTCCGTGTCGGTTAGTTCGTAATTGACTTGTTTGCATCCTCGCGTCGGCTTCGGTCTGCCCCGGTGTGGGTGAATGAGTGAAGCCTTTACAGATTACCGAGCGCGAGGCTGCATTCGATCCTTAGCAATTATACTTGACTCATTCAAGCATCTCGATCACAAGATTCATGCAAACAACTTTGCACAATGTAAAATTTATGCGGGGCCGCGATTCTATATTCAATTGTATATGACATTGTTTATCTCAGTTCTTCTCCTTTGAGTCTTCTTCTCATGGCTTCGTTGCAGCTCCGATGCTTATTCTACGAATATAATTAAGGCCGGCTTGTCCGCAGGCATCACCGTATTCCATCCCTCTCTGCAAACGTGTGAATCTACCTTTGTGTCAGGCTGATTCGGCACTCATGCTTCTCGTTGGTTAATAGCTGCAGCAAGAGGTTCGGACTTTTACATCCATGCTTTTGTACTTGAATGCTGGAAAGCAAGTCTTCATCAGACAGAAGCTTTTCTGCACAGTGGTAAATTCTCTGGCAGACTGTACTTCTCTCATAAGAGAAGTACAGTCTTCTCCCTATATAATGACAGGGTCATGATTCATCAGCCTGCTCGTTCCAACTACGGTGGACGATTTTGAGAATGCGTTTTTTCAACCAGTCATCAGTGACAAAAATTAGATAATTCCAATAAACACCAGAATATAAAACAGCACTTGAGCTTTCTAATCAGATCAACTGAAAGAATCCACAAGGACAAGGAAAACGCACAGTTCAATTTGTTCTTCTGTGGAATGTTGGAAAATACCGATGACGATATGAAGCCCGTACATAGAAGACAGAGTAGGAGACGAATGCTTCTGTCTGGGCTAGCTTGTGAACGGGCTCTCTGAAGCAGGGCCGAGACCGCAGAGTTTCATAAAAGTACCTAGATGTGCAGGATTCTTTTTTCCGGTACATCCTCCGAGGAGGCACATTGCTCAATCGGGATCATCCAGCTTTTGCATGACCAATTCCAGTGGGTACGATGGTTTGCGGTAAAGACCTTGAGGGTCGTCACATGACTCTGGAGAAAGCAGATATCTTCACCCACGAGAAATGGGGGAGCGATGGCGGTGATGCTGAAAAGGTGGTCTCAGAAAACCATGTGTATGAGACTTTTAATGTCACATTCAAGTCAAAGAACACGTACAGTCAGTCCAAACCACGAATACACACTTCGCAGAATGAATGCCCACTGCAGATCAAGTTCAGAGGCCAACCGAGAGAAAGCTCAAGAAAAGCAATGACTACGAAAGAGCATTGATTGACCTCCGATCCGGTGAGAACGGGGAAAACACTGACTTGTGCCCACTCCTCCTACTGGCAGGCATAATTCAAAATCTAACCTTGGAAAAAATGTCTGAGATTGATGTTCAGATTCCAGTCGCCAAGTAGATTGAATCGCTTGTCAAGTCTCCTCCCGTCAGTGTGCCATCCACCGAGTCCGGTCTATGCGAAGGCTGGAGGTAATCCTCTGCTAAAGTACTGGTACATCGTGTCTGTTCTGTTCTTCGGCTTTGGAAAGTCCGACACGTTCGTAGCGAAGGGAAGACATTTTTCTGATTTCGTTGTCAGTGGGTGATGATGGATGTGGTTTTCTACCATATAAAATTGCACCGATGGATGTTTTCTGGCTCGATGACGTTCGTGCAATTGCCTGCTTGGACTTTAGCCAGTAGAAAAACGGAACGAAGTCGTCACCGACAGCGAGACATTCCGCTCCAAAAAGCCTCAGCAGAGACTCCAAGAAGACTCGGCAAGAATTTCTGTGATTTTGTTCTATTTCGATTTTCTGTGATCTCTCAGGCTAACGCACAGTGGGTGACTAAAAGGTTGTATCCTCTAGGCTTTACAGGCTTGAACATGCATGCAGACTGCGGCGAGAGAGGAAGCTTGAGGGTCGAATGGCTACCCCTGCTATCGTTGCAGGAGATGAAAATTTCAACAGATGAGCAGCTGCAGAAGCTTGCTGAGGAACCAAGCATTCTAGGCGGTAACGGTGAGATTGTTTGATACTTGTATCGACATACGAGCTTGTAACTGTCCTCTTCCTTCAACGCGGAAGGAATAGCTGTCCAGCGCTCTTCGACTACTCGACATCTGCAGAGAAGTGGACATCCTCAGAGTTTACTGACATCGATGATGCTGCTCTTCTCACTCTTATTGATTGGGACAAATATTGCACCTCGCTGTAACTGAATCCCATCATGACTTCAATCGCCATCATAAACTGCTCTGGTGTCTTATACAGCGCGATCGGCACTCGCAACAGTATCCTTCTCGCTAGCAGTCGCACCTTGACAGTTCTTGATGTCAGGAGTCCACATCGTCCCTCGAGAGACAACGATGAGATCAGTTTTCCGTCTTCTGAAACAGCCATGCAGGTACTGTTCGAAGGCCTGGTGCAACACGAAGAGCCTGAATCACACGAACTGTTGTGGATGGACAAGGCATTGGCAGATGTCATCCAAAGAGCCTTCTAGGCTGAACTAATCTCAATCAGTCGTTAGATAACTGTTGCATGTGGCGATGGGGGATTGGGAGATGCTTTGCCAATTCTATTGAACAACTGAAATCGAAGATGAAGATGGAACTCTGAAATGGAGAACAGCCCAACGTAGATGAGCTCAGGTCGATCGATGACTCTTTATGCAAGCTACCGATTACCAAGTCACAAACGAGACTCGACATCTCTTTTAGTTACATGTGGAGCAGAAGTCCTTGATACCATCTACGAACGAGTTAAGGCTACTAAGGGTAATGCAGGACTAGAGATTGACCTCGGACTGACCCTGCTTCTATACATATCTCTACAGTTCCATCGTGATGGAGAAGTCAGCCTCCACAATCCAAAGGCATGGGCTTCTACAAGCTTTTTGTGAACACCTGATTCTAACACCATAGCCATAGATATCAACTGGCTGATACGCAGGTTCCTCGGACGACTTATCTATGAGTAAGGGTCACAATTTACAAATGGAAGGACGAGCTTGCTATCGGAGCTCGGACGGGTTTGTAGCTCAATAGAATTATCTTCACTGTGAGCACCGAGTGCGGTCAAAAGGGTGTCACTGTCCGCAGGATATTCTCACAGAGCTGCTAACAAAATTGAAAAAATTGTAGAGGAGTCAGGAGCGATGGCATTGCTCGGTGCTTTGTGCCGGCCGGCCATCTCGCGAACGGAGGAGGGTCCAGCCAAAACGATGGCCTCGATGGGCATCAGATCGACACCCAAACCACGAGAGAGGGGCATCGTTCTTGAACAGCTTCGGATCCTGGTGTGCATTGGCCGTGGCATTCCTCCGCCTGGAGTGTGCGGAAGAGGCCCACTCCTCAAAAGTACTCACAGGGAGCAACAGGTGCTGCTAGTCCAGATCTCGCAGCAAGTTCGAGAACAGAGGTAGAGAATGCACGAGGCGAAGAAGACGACAATGTGCTCGACTACGAGCACACTCGGAACACTGTGAGTGAATCGAGACCTCAGAGACCACGAGCACTGCGAACAGTGTCGACCCTCAGCTGGACGTGACCTTGTCGGACCACGCGGAAGTCCGACCTGATCCCATGAACTCTAGAATTCCCACAAGAGCCTGCCGGACAGAATAGTCCGCGACATGGACGATGAATTCTTCCGCGTCCACGACCATCTGGGTGAAGTTTACGCATCCGTGGCCAAACAGCTCGAGGGCATCAGTCCGAAGCTGGAGAACATCGTATACCCAGAGAAAGGAAGAGCGCTCTCGACTCTGCTCTCCGTCATGTCAAAGCCACTCCGATTCACCACAGGAGGGTAAGGTCCCTCGGAGCAATGAGGACCGTGAGATTTGGATGAAAGCAGGAGTGCAAGTTCCCTGAGGGCATTCTCTGCTCTCCATCTCGTTCGTGTCGGAACGCACTTTAGCAATCGGAGACATTTTGCTGGACAACGTCAAGAGTCTGGACAGCGTTGCAGCATGGCTGTTCCTCGAGGATCGACTGCCTGCCTGATAAAACCAAATTTGCTGAGACTTTCGAGCTCCTCCTCGTGAAGCACGACTCAGAAATTGGGGCCGCGGACGAATCTTACTCTCACGCTTGGGTATGCCAGAACTGCATCAAGGAAGGCCTTTGCAATGCTGTGCTGCAGCAAGGACGAAGAGGACTGCGACCCCCTTGAACTTCGGAAGAAATGACTATACATACCGAAGTAGATCGCTGGCGTGGGAGTCGGGAGCTATCGAATTTACTCGCCACCGGTTTGTATTCGCTGGACCAGTTTTCCGAGACGTGAATCTAAGCGTTGTTGGAGATCGTGACATAGAGCACAAGAGAATGTCCAACTGGATGAGAACTTTTTAGACAAGTTGTGTGCTAAACTGGAACGTACCTCAACAACTTTGCTGTTGCTATTTCGTTAACACAAACTCCAACTTGATATTACTAAACCTACACCAAGACACTGGCCCCCAAGTAATGTACAGTACGATGGATCCAGATGGTTTCGAGCAACGAATCATTGGCACTGCAGAGAGTGTACACCGTAACGAGCATCACCTTACGGTGTCCACTGGCAGGAGGTGGGAGACATGAGAAGACCGGATGAACATCCAGACGAAGTTTTGGACTCCAGTCACTTAGCAGCTCCATACTTTCTGTTGATGTTATAGTCATTCGTGCTTATGAAAGTGTGTTATTTCGTAAGGTTGCGCCTCACGTTTCGGATTGGATAATTCAGCTTACTGTAGTTTCTGACGAGGATGATTGCACATCGAACCATGATGCGCATATTCGATGATATTCTATTATATCTGGAGCCGGATAGACCTTTTAATTCCATCCTTGTTCGGCATCACCGGTCTTCCGATCCATAAGAAGTCATCCGGTTGGCCCACATGTGCTTATTATCTCTGGCTCCTTCGATTAGGCAATTTTCCTACAGAGAGTCACGAAAAATGATAGCGACCCGTGTTTACTCGTGGGCAAGGAGTGTTCTCGATGGTTGGTAGTTTCTTACAACTGTCCCCCACTCGTCTGTTTCAAAAGTTACAGCATTTTTTTTCTATATCACTCAAGCACAGATGGCATGCAAATTAGGAGACACCAATGCGCCTTAGCCAGGATACTGGTGACTTCTACATCCCACTCATTGCATGGTCAACGATATTTCACGGCAGATTATGCAAAATCGCCTTTACTGGCACGTTCAGTGCTCGTTATGACTCCTATTCCTTGGTAACAGCTTGGGTAGAGACTTTCAATATTTCAAGCAACAACACTTTTTTGTCTCTTGCTGGAAAAGGACGCGGAAGTTGACTCAAACAAGTAAGCACCGTCTCCACGGTTTCGTCACTGAACTGGTATCTAATTATCTGAGATTTTTCTTCAATATCATTATAATTGATTCTGTTAGCTGTGCGGGCACTTTGACACTCAAATTTCAAATAAAAACTCCACTTCAAAGCGGTTAATCACTGCGGACGACGCAGCAATCTTACAGCAAATGGCAGCACTCAACCATGTAGGAAAAAGTATGTTCCTGAAGCTCATATGGGAAACTCTTTGGTCATTTTCTGACAACAAACACTTCTGTGATACTCCAGAAAGCAGTGAAAGAAGTATTGTTGGTACATACATACAAGGCTCTGTTGGCTCTAATGATTTTGTAGATTAAAACTGATTGAGATACAGCAACCACTTGCCTCCAGGGTAGAGAGAAGTAGCAAGAACCCGAATTACTAAAAATTATGCCGAAAACTGCACCCTCACTCACTGGCCTTCTGCTAAGGCAAATCATTACAAAGGGGCCATCAAACAACTTGAGACTTCCTCTCGTTGGTCTATTGAAAATGACCTACAGTAATGCCAAGCACGAATCAAAAGCTCGTGCCCAGACTGCCTAAAAAAGGACAACAGTACTGAAGCTTGCTTCCAATTATAAAGACACCAAAAAATTGCTCCTACTACTGCCACAGCACTAAGTTCGATAAGCCAGACTAGAATACATAAATTGGAATCAAGTTCAAGGAATCCAGAGCGATCAAGTTGATGTTATCTAAACAGAGGAGGTAAAACTTGATGCAGTTCCAAGTCCAACAGTTCTGGTGCCCTGCAAAATTCACAAGAGTTCATTATGACGAATATGCCGAATTCGCTATTTACGATGAAATCTCGACCATGGAGACAAGCTTACAAACATCTCTTGGTTTAAATCAAATTGTTGAATAAATACATGATGACAGCCTTTTAACCAAACAGGCAGCAGACGAATCAGAAAAATGATCAAATGTTTTTAAAGAACAAACGAAATTATGAGTGGCATATAGGACATACCTGCAAACATTCTGCCCTTTCTCAATAATGCTGGGTATAAACCATAATCTCCTCATCGCGGGACACTCGAACTGAACGAAAATACCGTTTGAATGGGTTCCTTTCCATGTTCTTGTACCTTCACCTTTCCATACCTGAAAAGTTAAGTGAATATCAAGAATGTAGTGCAATGTAAGTCGATAGACAGATGAGATAACAAACGGCCGGCACAACAACACTGAAAAGATTATCCTGCACAACATGTCATCACTAGTGCGTACAAAATTAGCAAGCACCGTGACAAGGTTGTACGGTAACAATGTCCTCAAGACATGTCTGTCACAGCTTACAGACAATACAGATGCCGCGCCTGGCTGACCGGTGCTAGTTTACAAAATTCAAGAAGTTGAGATCTTTTCATACAGATATCAATCAAAAGACCTTTAAATTGAACTAACACTTCACCTGGGGATAAGCAATACTTCTTTTCGGCACTACAAGACATGCTGCTTTTGCCTTCGATTCCACAGCATATTCTTGTAATGAGAAAACGCAATTGTGAAATGTGTCGGGTGATTCAAATGCCTGCGATAATCAAGCACCTTAGTCAGTTCTATAATTATGGCCAAGCGTATAGAGATGAGAAACCGTTAGAAGACAACAAACCATGTACTCGATGGAGTCCTGCGGAGAGGACTGCGACATATAAGGAATCACTCAGAAGTAAATAGACTGAAGATACGCAAGGATGATCAAAGGAATCAACGGTATCATTCTGAAATACCCTACACAACCTTTCCTTCCACGCACACAAAATAAAGTGGTGTCAAACTCTTACACCAATTCAATCAGCACAACTCCAGGAAAAAACAAATGAACGAAAAAAATCAAGAAACAAACGAATTTCGTAACATCCAAGAATACTGATTACATTGCACGTTTTCCATCCGAAATATATGGAGAGAGTTCGTAATGACAAGCTGGTTCTCTTTTGTCTTCGCTGATCAGACAGAAATAGGTGTGCTTTGCTATGAGTACAAAGAACTTACCTTCTCCACGGTCACGTGCACAAGCTCTGTGGAAGAAGTGGATCCTTTTGGAGTAAGAAACCGCACCGCTGGATCTAATTTTCCTCCGTTAGTGCTATCCCATGTTTGTACTGATGATTCGACTGTCTCTTTCAAAAACGTGAACAGTTCGTCGATGTTTTCGGGATTCTGGGGTCCTGAAGTCTGTAACAGTGAAGGACATACTGATTTAATAGCATACAATTAACCCAGTCTAGAATTTTATGAAGTAAAATATTCTTGTATCTTTATAAAATTGAACTACGATGTGAAGACTCAAGACCAGACGAATATCAAGGTGCACGTTGAAAGAAGAAAGATGAGCACAAACCAGATCCAACTTCAGCTGTTCAATGCCTGAGACTGGCTTTGAGCCATTCGATTTTGATGCTTTATCCTGGTGACGCTTCTTGTCTCTAAGCAATTGAGTCAGCTTCTTTATTTTGGTCGCAACCTCAGCACTCTGTGGGTTCTTTTCCGCCGCTTCCCTGTAGACAGCTAGGGCCTGTAAAGCACACGAATTTCTGATAAGCACACGAGTTTCTTTCCTCTTACCAGTTATCAATATGACTCATCTCAGGCTCAAATGTCACAGTCTCTAGGTGTACTGCTGAATTGAGAAACTTTTGACAGTCTGAATCAATCTCGTAAGACATCATGCTTCTGAGAAAAAAATTAATTCGATCTTCTTTAGAAATCTGTCCTCAGACTCAACCAAGAATTTCAACCTATTATTGCACCCTTCATTCTGTGCTTTACAACAATACATTGCTAAGCTTTGATAGACCGACTTGCAGAAAAACACCTCTTCGTGGCGCTCCGCTGCCTCCAGTGCACATCCCTTCCTGAAATAGCCCTAGCATAGCAAGACAGCACAACCCAAATGCTCCTGTTACCTCGTAAGTCTCTGCCATGTGAATGAACCCACAATAAGTGCAAGAACAATACTGTGATATATGGGAACACCTAAACAGCAGAATTATCATTGAAATATGGATGAAAGTTACTAAGATATGTAAATGCATATTACTGAACGAGTTACGACCTCAAACAGCAACTAATACCTTTTCCCACGTGGGGTTGAGTTTGACTGTCATTTCTGCATCTGCAAGAGCTTTCGTGACTTTCACCAGATTCAAAAACGCGGCTGACCTATTACTGTTACAATACAAAATCCATCTACCTTTCAGTCAACTCATTTTGACAAGAAAATATCACAAACATGACATTAATTACTTGCATGAAAAAACATTTAGCGCTCTGTGAAGCAATTTTTCTTTACTAGAAATGCACCAGTCAAAAGACAGAACGATATCTAGGAAACTAAAAACAGAAGAACCAGTCAAATACAGTTCATCAGAGCAAAATCTCTCGATAGTAGTAACATTGCACTACATGTTCAATGGGTGAGCAGCTAAAAGCCACCAAGGTCTAATTTGGACGAATCTGATTGTCAGATGATAAAAAAAAAGTTCAATGTTAAAAGGGTCAAGTTGGGCACTTGAAATTACAAGACAGAAATGCAGAACTCTTACAGGGAAGAACCCTCCGGAACTTTTCGCGGATATATCATAAACCTCACAGTCACACGTTCCTTTACCTCCACAACCCTAACCCCTAAAATACAGAGATTGCAGGAAGAGAAAACAACTCAGTGTAAATTGCTGATCTCGGTATTTGATTTGGCGGCAATAAAACTTGCAATCTGTCCATTGCAGCTCAAAGTCCACTTTTGTGTAATTGGGCAGAGTAAAGCCAGACTTTAACACATCATCAGAAGGGCCTTCAACATTCAGCCAATACGGGGATTTTCCTGGCCACACTTGTGATGAAACAATAGAATTGCAGCTTGATCGGCAGAACCTACTGGGGCTACGTTGATATCGACGAAAATCGCAACGGTCCAATTTCAAGACTTATCCAGCTCTTCTCGATGCCAATAAACTAAATGCTCAGAGTATGAGGAGATGAGGATGACGAAAAGACACCCCGTTTACCATATACAATGCCGATACCAACATGGACATCTCAGCATCTTGAAAATTCATTGAAAACCTCCAGAACCTGGGCAGTCCTTCAACCAGATAACGAAATGCAGAGAAACATAAGCAGGAGAGGTAACGAACCTGTACAGGGTAGCATTGGAAGGATCGGCCTTGATAGCTTGGGTATACACGGCGGCGGCCTTGAGAAAGTTTCCGCTTTTATAGTGCGCATTGCCCTCTTCTTTCAGAGCAGCAGCGGCCTCGGATCCTCCCTTCTTCTCCGCCATCTCAATAACACACAACCGATCGACCAAGTCTGGCAGCAGGAGACAGCCAGATTCCACGGACCAAAATGTGGTTCTGTTGTGCAGCGCAACAGAACCGGCAGCACTTCCTCGCTAAATCCGGAATCCGGAGCCTTTTTCAGACGACCACAACGAACTTTTCGTTCCGGCTGTCAAAGGATCGGCAAAAACCCATCGATTCTCGGGCTCGATGTGCACTCGCTCGTCGTTCGTGTGTACATTCGTTCCACCTTTCTTCGTTCCTTTCGATCCTCTCTCTCCCTCTCTCTGCTGCTCATCTTGTGTCTTTTTGCAGGTGGAGCGACAGGCTGCACCCGGTCGTACTGCTTTGTACCTTGATGATGATGATGTGAGCGACCGCGAACAGCCGGTCTTCCAGTTCGGGCTATATGCAATGTTGTTATGACCTCGTTGCGTATGTCATCTTTGTGGTAATCCGACGGAGCTTGTAATGTGGTGTTACATATCCATGTCGATTGCATTCTTATCATTAGTATATTCGTCGGATGACTACAGGGAATGAAATTTTGAGTCTATTGTATCATGGTAGCAGTCAAATGTGTTTTCCGGTTGTTGTGAAATAAAGTAACATTGACTGCTTTGCAAGTGGGGGTCATAATTATTAGGTTCTTCCTTCCACATCCATTTCAATGGAGGTCTACAATATGCCCATACTCTCAACAAGCTCTCAATTCTATTCACTCTTTGTGTGGATTTCGAAATTTGCTCAAATTCCACAATTTCCTTGTATAAACTGGATTAGTTTATTCTTTATCTTGGCACAAATGCATGACTTAAATTCTGGCATCCTTGTTGAAATTAGGTTTCCTACAACTCTCACTCTTCGTCAAATGTGTTGCTACATTCATGTAACAAGTGCTCACATGGAAATCTCGTCATTCAAGATGTATATTAGATTAGATCAATGATATAACTTTGAAATGTGAGGTTGAATATTCAATATGGAAAAAGCTATGGTATGTCATGCAATATACTAAGTTTTGTTTATATCTGTACTTGGTTTAAACTATTGCGTTATTGTTAAAAATGTGATGATTATAATTTTTTTACATGATTTCAAAGGGGTGATTATCCATGTCTAGATAAACTACAAGTGAAGCTATACAAATCAAACTCTCCAAATGTATTAATATGTTCGGAATCCATTTTTTGAAATTGCAGGCAGCCTTTAAGATTTATGAAGTTGCATTCCCCAAGTGGAACATGATTTTGAGGATTGAACTAGAGTCAATCATCTTGTACAAAAGCAATAGCACTTTCTTCAATATATTTTGTACTTTATTTTAGCCGATGTATTTCTACCGTTCTACAAATACAATTATTATATTTTAAGAATTATACTAGTTGATGAATCTTCATATCCTCATTAATATGCATAGTTCAGATTTGTTTGCTATGATGGATGATAGAATGCAATTCAAAGTTTATTCAAACGTGTATGAAGTCAATCATTTGGAATTTTCCCTGTTCGGCTTGATCTATTATTCTAACTTCCTCAAATATAATATAAATTTTGTATGTACTTGTATCTAATATATTTTAATGTAATGTATGAATTTTTGTTTTTATTTTTAAAATTAATCTCATGAAGAAACTTCACATTCATTTTATGCAGTACAGCATATTTTTGAAAAATATGCTGTACTGTATCAAGAATTAAAATTTTTTATGGAAGCCTATAAAATGAAAATAGTCATATCAACTACAAAACAAGTTACAACAAGTTCAACACGATGTATGATAATTAATTGCACATGTAAAAATTATCATGAAGTATCAATCATAAGTCAAGATCAATTTTTTATAAAAAATTGATTCTACTTTTTTAATCCACAAATTTATTATGGGAAAACTAACAAGTATAGTTTATGATTGTGATGAATTTTTTACGAGAAAGGAATAAGAAAATCATGCTTTTTTTAGAATTTAAAAAAGTATCATACATCCTTTCAGCTAGTAATTTTGTAAAAGAAATTCAAGTAATCAACTATAAATTAAGGAGTTTAGAAAATAAAGTTAACATATCAATCTAGAAAAATATGTAAAATATATTTTTAAAGTGAATTTTTTATATTTAGTATTTTTATACCTCAATTACTTAATTGCTATGACGTTAATAAAACTATATAATTATACAGAATTCATTCATACAACAATGCTAAACCTTCTTTCAATATTTAAATTTGCAGATATGAAAACATCATTAAGAAGAATTTTTTCAAAGAAATGAGTTAACTTAATTACTTTATAATAATGAAAAACGAGGATAAGATATACATCAATAATGATTTATGAAGATTACATTGATTGTAGATAGCATAATTTTATTGTTATTATTACGATGAAAAATATTATGCCATTCAAATAAGATATTGAGTGTAAAAGAAAATTAAACATATGAAATAGTGAAGAAATTTATGAATAAGATGTTGATCAAATGTGTTAATTTATATTCTTTGTTTAAATTATTATTTCAATGATAAGAGGAATAATATAAATTTTAATAAAATTATTTAAATAATTTTCCAATTTAATTTATATTCTATAAATATTATTTTATGATTAAAATTAAAATCTTTTAATTTGAAACATAGAGAGAATACCATGTGTCATTTTAAAGTCTAAAAAAAATCCGATGCATTTTCGTTTGATACCATATTTGTTGATTTGTGAAATTAAATTAGCCTTGGTTCTTAGGATTTGAACAGATTTTTAAAGTGAAATAAAAGATCTGCTTTGTTGTAGTTTTATCAAATGTCCATTTGTTTATAACCTTGGAGCCTTATTACGTCCACGGGGTTTTTTTTTTCTTTCCCAAAACGGTTTTTTCCACAAATATATCATATAATTTTTTTACTAGCAATACTTCACTTCACTTAGTATTGGATTAGTAGAGAAACAAAGGAAAAAAAAAACATTGATTCTTTTAATTATCTTATTTTTAGGTTGAAAGTAAATACTTTCTACTTCAATAAGAGAACTAATTTAAAAAAACTCGTTTTAATTGTTACAATTATTTTTATTAATGTTTTATTTTTTTGTAAATAATATTAAAAAATATGTTTAAATTTTTTGGTTAAGTAAAAAAAATAATGACATCAAATTTATATAATTTTGAGCTAATGTACGTAAGTGCATTGAGTATTGATATATTCTAAATTTTAAAAAATAAATAAAATTAAGTACTTTTTGAGTTTTTAAGTTTAATCATTTTTTATTTTTATTTTTTAATTCTTTGTTAATCACGAATATACCCTAGATTAATATAATAATTTAAAATAAATTTAAAAATATGACATTTAAAATAAATTTTTTAAATAAATTTTTTATTTAAGGTTAAATTAATTTAAAAAATGGTCAATGCAATAAAGTACATAACTTGTACTTGTCATGGTTCTTCGATAAACTTTACAGTGAATTTGCAATGGTATGAAAATTGATGGAATTATTTTTCACGGCTTAGATAATGATACATCACAGGAAGAAAATAAAAAAATGAACCTGTTTTTTTAAATATGGCCAAAAGTCTCATGCATAATTCACCAATGTTCTTTCAAAAGAATTATCTTTTGGCTGATTTTCAACCGTCGTGATCACAAGAATTAGTCTTATTTGTACTTACTAATGTCGAACCTAGATTTCAATTAACAATAACTGGGATTTTTAAAAATTTACATTTAAATTTTGCACTGAATTTATTTGATTAAAAAAAATTTAAAGCTTGATAAAATTACTGATTTATTCAAAGAATGATTTATTTGATTATATATTTCAGATTTTACTTTCAATTACGTTATTTATATTAGTATGTTTTTGGAGCTGAATGTTTTGTATATTAAAATTTCTAACCTAATGAGAAGTAAATTTATTTAAATAAAATATTTCAGAAATATAATAAAATAAACGAATCTAATCTATACAATCAATTATCATATATCTAAAAAATTCATTTTTACATGTCTAAGATTTCAATAAGGGAAAAAATTGCAATGATATTTTTTCTGTATTTAGGCCACATTATCTTTATATCAACAACATAATGAATATAAAATTAAGAAGAAATAATTTATTTGCATTCAATAAATATGAAAATTTTCATAACAATGCATGTAACAGAAAAAAACTAAAAGTTGCAAAAAATCATAATCTACTTTTTAGAATGTGAAAATTGAATATAGTATTCCATGAGTAAGAAACATAAATATGTTTGTAAATTTAATCTTGATTTTAGATTATGACAAAATATGTTTCATTAATGTCTAATTTTTTATGATAAAATTGGATGAATTTTTTGCTTTTAATAGTATTCCTATATGAATAATAATTATTCAAGACTTTTATTGATTTTTTTTGTAAAGTTGATCATAGATTATGAAAATGAAGACTTTATGTACACAAATGATCATAAATAAATTTGCATTTTTTTTGGAAATACTTATGTAGAAGAGATATTTTTCATATTTTTGTATGCACATTTTGTTTCAAAATATTATTTTATTAAAATTTTAAATTTTCATAGCCCATTCACATTTTTCTTAAGAAGATCAATTTAATGTTCAGCGTTGTAAAGAATAAAAATGCTTTTTACACTATATGAAACATCATGTATAATATTGATATTTTTAAGTCTTTGGATGCGTCATTGATATTCAAAATTCTATTGTAACTTGAGTATCAATATTAATTTAGTTATGGTATTTGATGGCTGGAGTTTAGTTCATACAGATTCAAATTTGAAATATTTTGTAGCAAAACTTACATGGGGATGAATCCGATTTATAATTCTATGCTTGATCACAGTGGAATCAGGCATTAAAATAATGGTGAGATTGACAAGTAGAGTGAAAGACGACACCTCACCATCAAGAATTATCTCTCATACAGTTTGGTCTTGCGTGATCTACTCTACTCAACACTTTGAAACACTCTCAACCACGTTGTCACCCCAAGGCTTCATTCGGACGTGGGATCCAGTATGCAATCCAAAGGAATGATGATGGAGAGGCTCAACTCTGCGGTTTAGAGAAGAGGTACAAGTTTATAGACCTCAGCCATGGGAGATAATTCAGATTATCAGACAGGAATGAGCGAGGCCGGCGTTGCATGATCCGGGTAAGGCTTGCGGATGTGCCCTCTTGAAATTGCCACGAGCTACACGAGCTTTAGTGAGGGTCAGTGGTGGGAGCTTTTTCTTGCGCCTGGGCGCATCTTCCCTGGCCCAGTTTTCCTCGTACGCTGCACGATTTTAAGGCTCCAGAGCAGATGGTCAAAGGCTCTAATGTGCCTGCAAGGGGCAGGCAGGCGAATGTGGTCGACCTGACAGAAACCATGGCCGAGTTGACGTTCACAGACGGAAGTTTCCGATATGCTGGATCTGGACCTGGGATGCCATACTGCACCGTATTTGCTCAGGCTCAGCTCAGTACGTCGTGGAGGTGGCGAATTAATGAATACAGACCTGATACGGTCGTGCCGGTGGCATGAAGATGCCGAGCGGTCGGTTGAAACCGGGTGCCGAGTCAATGGACGAGAGATCCGCACACCAACTGTTTTGCTGCCTGGGCACCATGTGACCTCGCAGCCCGTCAGTCTGGCCCACAAGTCAGAGGCTGGATTCGCGTACGCGGTATGAGGAAAGAAGCACATACTCTGGGCCGTGATTGGGCCACGTGGTGCGTCTCGATCTTAAAAGTCCTCGGCTTGACAGTTCATCTACGGGGGTACTCATTTTTGCGTATGTGAGAATTTTGGCGTCGAGTTTTCTACGTCAGTGCTCTTGCTTACTACGCCTTTCGGGTGTCAATGAAGAGCTCCCTTTCGAGACTGGCGTCTACGACTTGGAGGAGGTACCTCGGAGCTGATCAATGTCCATAAACGTCACAGGAGATCATGATGCGTCCGTTCTCTGTCTTAATCATGAATTACAATGCTCTGGGTGCACAATTATAATTGTGCACCCAATACGGTTACGCTCTCTTCTCTTCCATTTCGTCCCGCACCAACATTCTTTATCATAAGCGGACAAGCTGTCCAGTAGTTCTTCGATTTTTCCTCATCATGCCTGCTTTTTACTCGCCTACTCTGTCCTCATATGACACTCCTCCATCCAACACATGGCTCAGTGTTGGACTGATTTCCGAGCGTGAGAAATCTCTCCTCAGTAGCTCATTCTATTTATGCATAGGCTTCATGGGGACTTCTATCTCTTTCAGCGTTTGCATTTAAGTTGATCCACATCCGGTTGTGTCTCTCCTATTTAAAGAGAGAGCTGAAATACATTTGTGCGAAAAAACTCTTATATTGTTTTCAATCCATCTGCAGAGAATCTTATAAAAGAAGCGTGATCAATCCATCTTCAGGGGACTGCGGGCAATGCTGCGTCTGCATGATCTCGAGCAGCAGCCCTCTGAGGGTACCTAGACTGCTCTCCTTTCTCTTCTTCATCAACTTAGATTCGCAGCCGAGATTGGCCACCTTATTCAACTGATGCTAGAGCCCAACAAATTGGCGTACCACTCAGAAAAAACAACCTCTTCCTTGCCAGAAAAGTTAGTCACAAAATTCGAGAGGCAGATATAGTTCGCAGCTCGACAGCGGTTGCATTCGAGCACGCAGTCTCCAATGTGATTCGAGCTTTGCACATTCTAACAAACACTAACAAAGTTTCCGTCTAAGCTTACCACGCCTCGGAGCCTCAGGCTGATCTCGTCTCTGCAGCGCACAGGAGGACCGTCATCCGAAGCTCCGGTGACACGGTAGAATATGCAGCTCGTGCTGGTGGTCTGGATCTGCCCAGGCTTTGGACATCGTCGATCATGTCCGATAGTCAACAGAGCGAGCGCTGCTTTATTCTCACTTTCCTTCTCACTGTATGCTGTGGCCAACTCCACCATCCACCAGCTGGTTGTGGAGACGGGGCTCTCGGGGCCGGTGGGTTCTAACTCGTCACAAGGAGCGCTCATCAATGCTCCATGCTCAATGCGTACTGCGGAGTACGAACCCGGTACGAATGCCCGGCCGGTCATTGCCGGAGTCACTAGCATACGTTACCGCGAGGCACGTGTCCCCGGCCTGCCCAGAGTTTATAGAACAGAGGAGCGAGGATCTGCGACGGGGGAACATCTCATAGCCCCCCCTCCCCCGAAAGTCCATGCGCGAATCAGGAGGTCGTGTGGGCGAAGAAGCGCTCTCGTTCTCGGCTTGCCAGCTAGGACCAGCCCAGCAGCTCATGGGTTTATTGATTCTTTGGTTACATCTGACGGGCTCTCGTGGATTCCTGCCCCTGTGCAGGACTCCGTTCGAGTCGGCATTCGGATGGTCGGTCGAGTCCAGCAACAGCGAATTGCGTCATTCCGGGTCGGGGAAGTGGATCGTTTCAGATCGAGTCCACGAAGAAAACTGGCTCATCTGCGCGGAGTTCGAATCCGTGATGTATGAGAGAAACAGAGTGAGGAATTTTTCCGGGGTTCTCGATCGAGTCCTGAGGCATAAACGAGCTGAACAGCCCAACTATTCGATAAAATTCCCTCAAATGACGACGACTCGCGATCGCTGATCATCCATTCTCGCAAACGTCTTCGCCGCCGCGAGCGCAGAAAAGCGCTCGATCGTCACCGTGACTGAGCCCAGCAGCGCAACAATTATGGCCACCATCTCCCATCGTGCCGTGAGCTCTGCCCCCCAACATTCTGAACGCCATCGAAGCACCCTCTGACGCTGGGGGCTGGCTCCTGGGCGCCTCGTCTGGACGGATCGGACGGACGGACGGATGGACGGATGGATGGATGGATGGAGACGGCGGAGGATGGGGAATCGAGAAAAGTCTGCAACCGCGAGAGTGACAGAATGACATTTGGGGAAGCGGGGCCAGGAAGGGGGAAGAAGGGGAAGGAAAGGACGGGGAGGGAAGCTGTGGACGAAGCACGCGGAGGCTTCGTGGCTTAGTGGAAACAGGCCAGTTGCCGGTGGTTGGATCAGCCGGTCTCCGGTCAGAAGTTCTTGAAGCGCAAGCCCCGAGGAATATAAGGCTCATCGTGAGCCAGTACGATTCACTAAACCGCGGCTTACAGTGCTCTTCAAAAGAAAGTCAACCTGCTCCGTCACCTCCACCCCTACCACGGCCGCTTGACCTGACCGGAGGAGAGTACGAGATGGGCCTGGGTATTGCTCGAGCTTGCAGTTGGGGCGCTCATCACGACATGTCACAGCCAATGATCAATTTAATTGTTGCTGTTGCTGTCGTTGTGTGATAGATACCTGGTACTGCGTTAGGTGGACTCCGTTGTAGCACACGGTCAGTAGTTTGGTCAAAAATGCGACGGGCAATAATTGTGGTCTAGATATGGGGCGAAGTCCAGTTCCATGTCCGGCCATTTTTGCTCTGAGCTCTTTCTGCACTCGCCGATGCAGCGAGCGAGCGAGCGAGTGAGTGACGTGGAGTGGGCTTCTCTCTTTCGAAGAGCTGAACTGGTGAGTCGACGAGACACACAGAAAGTTTTGGTCCCGTATGTTCTGTTCCATCCTTCTTTTAGCCCGAAAAGTATGTGGGTCGAAGACTGATTCAGCGTCTGCGCCATCGACAAGAAATCATTTCATGCGCTCGAATAACTTTTGTGGAACTCGCGAATCAGAGTATACACATGCAAGTACCTGCTTCAACCACCGAAGCACAGAAAGTTTCCTTGCGAGTGACAACTTGGTAAATGTTCCCCAGTGTGGGTACGTGGTTTCGTTGATCTAGTCTGCAAAGACCTTTATAAAAATCACGGTCAAGCTTGCCAAATATTCATTCGGAGCACGTTTCCTCCTCTTCCAAAGAGGTTTTTTTTGTCTAGACCGAAAGTAGTATTCGAATCGAGGCGATCCAGCAGCAGAGAACTGAAGGACATCTGTTTTTGCATCCTGGACGAGGATTTGGTGATCATCAAGGTGGTTAAGAATTATTGCAAACGCAAAGATAGTTTTGATTGCATAAGTATGCCCGCATTCTTTGTGTCCACAGTCCAAACATGTAACAGCCCCACCAACCGAAGCACAGTTCAGAGTGCAGGAAAAGTCGGGCTATCATGCCTTCATAAAAATTACAGGGCTGAGTCCTGCTTGCGTCGTTCGGCTGGTTCTCCATGTCCTTATGTGGTACGATTCCGGTGTACTCTCGCCATCACGAGAAAACAGACAAGGAGCAAGTTTGAGTCTACGAGTAGGAGATTCTGAAGTACAAAGACCTCGTTCTCTTCTGCTGAACATGTAAAGTGGAGATGCGCTGATGCTCCTAGGCAGTATGGTAAACGAAGCTGCTGATGCTGATGCGAGCCGGAAATTCAGGTGCTCTTTGCACTTTTACATCCTCCGAATTTTTAATCCAGCAGAAGCCCAATTGCAATGTTTTGGCTTTCTTCTGTCGACATAAGATCAGTGGCCCATCGTCACGCAGGGACAGACTCAGGACGGATTAATATCAACCTTGAGATAAAAAAACAACTGTTTGCTAGTGACAGTTGTGTAACCTTGGACACAAACAAACAACATGTTCCTACCAAATCGATTCCCATTGGCGTTGATTAAGTCTTGCCATCTTTTGCACTCTCTCCTTTTGCCAAAGCTCGTGAATTTAACATCCTCTCAGCGTGACAAAGCATCAACTTGCGATTTATCTGGCTTGTCTTGCATGACCGAATTCACGTTCCTTGTCGAGATGTCAAACAGCAAAAAGCAAGCGAAATTTGATATTCTTTTGACCACACTATACCATGTACGAGAGATGGCTACGGAAAAGAGACTCCAATGAGTGCAGAAGAAGGGTTCAGAAGATGCAAATCAGCCCAAGTGTGCAGTTCGTGCGCTCAATTTTGCGAGAAAAAGCATATGCTTGTGCTCTATGGTTTGTCTCTCATGACAGGAACCAGATCCTCCCCGTAGATGTCGGATCCCACAGAGCAAGCCAAGATATGATTTAGATGTCCATACGACCCCAGGTACGAGAAACATGTACGAAAAGACAGCCCGGCGAGTCGACACCAAGGTTTTAGGAGACGCTAATCAGTTGATCTACCAACCAAGACTCGGAGCCCAAGGGATCTACCGATTTCCGTTGACTCTGCATGCTCGCGTTGGAACGGGTTTCCCAAAGAAGGAATCTAGAGCCGCAGAGAGCAACACTCCCCCTCTGAGGTGAGAGAGTATCTCCGCCAGAAAGCGCAGTCCCTGCTTCTAACAAGCCAAGCTATTGTGGGGACACCACAATAGTTCTACGGACGTGGACGAGTTTCATAACGAAACAGTGACAGTTGTTCAGGGGATGCGTGAGCACACGAGGAATCATTATTATAATCGAGAGGATTAGCATTTGGGACCTGCAAGCCTGGATTTATAAAATCGGGGAGGCGGGATCCAGAGAATTATGGTATAGACTTTCGCAGATTTCCTGGGCTATCATATATTTTCCGAAGGCGGGTGCGAGAACGATTCACGGACAGATGCCTATCCTGTTTATGGGCCCGGGAGTTTGAAATATTCCGGACGAAATAGTTCAGACGAGTAAGAAGCTCGGGCATTTTACAAGTCACGCTGCGGTCAGAGTGGGAGCCATCCAATCGGAGAGGAAGAGTAAAGGCAGGGGGGAAAAGGAGTTCGAGGAGAGATGAAAAAGGGGCAATTCTGTGTGAAACCTCAAGGAGGGCGTGGGACTGCGCGTCGGGGAAAGTCGCCCTGCGTGGAGCTTCTAGAAGACATAGCCTGCTGGGCATGCCGCATATAGACATTCTGGCAGTTTCAAATGAAGAGAATTTGGAGATCCAGCGCAAAGTCTTTGCTTTTCTTTCCACGAGGGCTTGAAACCACGTTGTTGTTTCCCAAAGTTAGTAAAGCCTCGTCCTGCTTACCACAGCGAGCTCAGGGAGCGGTCAACCCACAGGTTTGAACTTTGTTGCACATTCGGATATTCGGATATTTGGCCTCAGAGAGCTTGGAGGTGATGGTCGTTCTCGCAAAATCTGTCTTTTGTCTTCATGTTTGGCATGAAGTCAACACCATCCCATCCGCTCATTATTCGGCACAGTCCAGGGACCACTTGAGATGCTGAAAATTTCCAAAATTGAAGATTCACCCGCACTTCTAGAAGCCAGATTTTGTAGGCGAGCTCTATCCCTCCCTCCCTCCCTCCCTCCCTCCATCCCTTTGCAAACAAACCATGCACGGGTGCTGGTGTGGCTCCCTCCACCTGAAGATGTGCGGTCAAAATCAGTAGCCGGGCAGCAGAAGCATGGCGGATTGGAGCTCCAAATTCCCTCCCTCCCTCCACCCCTCCCTCCCTTTGAATCCTGAAAGCTAGAAAGGCGTGTTACAATATTACATCCATAGCTGCCTGCGAACCTTGCGGACTGACTGATTGCAGGGATGAAGCTCTCGGAGCTGGCGGTGATCGACGACGTCGACTGGCACCCTGAGGACTTCTTCCAGTGACTACAGTAGGTACGAGCAACTGCTGCACTGGGTAACTGAGTTCGCAGTGGGGGGCTGATACGGTACAGCAGAGGGGTGAGGTGGGCTGGAGTGGAGTGGAGTACAGAAGTCTAGTCTTGGACACTCGGAAAGCACATCGAGCATTGTTCAAAGAATCCGAAACGGAACATGCCTCAGATCTGGAAGTTTGACTATTCAAAGGTTTGAGCGCCCAGTACAGTAATCTCATCACATAAGTCACTCCTGATGGGGCTGAGTTTGTGGGTGGGTGGCTGGCTGATGACATACATCCTCGACATGATGAGCAGGGTAGTCAGTTTGTCAAACCTGCAGCTTCTCTGTGGATCGTGATAGCGAGTTTTTAGTATCTCCAGGCACAAAGTTGCAAGCGGCGAATGATGAACACGGCGGTCAACAATCGATGTTTTCATGCTGGAAAAGTCCAATCCCTCTGCATCTTTGACCCGGTACCGAAAGAACCTCCTGCTTTTGGAAACCCAGTCCGCGACGCCCAGTTCGCTCGTAATTATATGATTTCACAACACGGGGACAAGTTAATATTCACAAATTCTGATCGATATTAGACTCGTTTGGACAGTTCTCCTTCGATCTTTGGAGAAAGTCCCACCTGTTTGTGAATATCGACAAACCTCCACAAAAGACCTCCAAAAAGTTTAAGGAAACCACACTTTTATGAAATCTGCTCCGACCAAAAAGCCGAAGGCATGATCAGTATACATTTACAATGAGAAGTCGCACTAAAATATGAACACTTTGAGCATGTTGGCAAAGGTGGGCGTGCTTTTGAACTTGTGTATAAGCATGAATGACTTCGCCCACTTTGTCCGACTCAGTCAGTGGATCGCCCTCGAAACGCAAGCTCTCGAATGCACTACAAGTTTGATTCTTCACCTTGTTGCCTACTCAATGGAAGGTCTCTCCGAAGGACCATAACTCGTTTTCTCAACGGTGGTGACGATGGCTAAAGAGTACTGCTTTTCTTCTGTGTATTCATAAACCATAGACAAACCGTTCCATGCTGTAGGCAAGGAGCGGTACCTGCAGCTCAAGACTGTTCTCCGTAGATCCTCATCATCATCCGTCACCTCGGCACCGCAGAGCACCAAGAAAAGACGATTCGGATAATTAAAATAACTCGAGAAACCTTTGCTTTCTGCATGGCAGTTCACAAGTTGTGTTTATGATCGTTATCCGAAGGAGGAATCCGTTACTTGACCGATCATCCATTGTATATTTAAATATGAGTAAAGAAGCAAATGAATTGTGTGACGAAGTGGTGCAATGCTTGATGGAATATTTATTCATCAATCTCATAGTTTGTGCAGACTTTAGAGTGGTTCACCCCATACGAGACGGTGACGAGTTCACAAACGAGTTCAATCGCTTTGCGCCTTTTGGACTGTACTCCAAAGTTGTATAAATAGAATGAGGAGCACTTGGACTCATAATTGAGAATAGAGAATCACCGTCTCTGACTGTAATCAGATCTAAATGCCCAACGTTAACGTTCTTCTATTGTATCAAAAGCATTCACATATCTAAAGTTAATTTGCTATGTGGTCTTCTTATGTCCATTCCAGACTTCTTCGGAGATGGTATTTTTAGTTTGTTATTGGGGAAAGAAATACACTATTTCTTTCCTAGAATGCTTATTGAAAACCTCTCCATCAATAAGAATATCTAAACTGCGGCTGCATTGAATGAGGGTCCAAACATAATTTAAAAGACAAGTGCAGAAATAAACAGGAAAACCCTTGAGTTCGAAATTTGCGTTTGTTAAAAAATTGAGATAGGAGCAAGTAAAGTCGCACGTTCTTATAACATGAAGATGTGAAAACTAAAAAAAGAGCTGATCAATGGGCATGGATTACAAAACAATCCAAACTATCCAAAAGCGAATAATCTCATAGTTTTCCATACGTTCTGGTTGTTTACACCAACGACAAGTCATGGCCTCCTCGTCGTGCTGATACCGACCCTAAATATTTGAATATACTTTTGCAATGCTAGATTATTTTCTCGATACCGGAAGTAAGTAGAGTGTCTTGTTCAACAATCACTTCCCAACCTTTCTAATGGGAAGCATCCAAACATCCTCACATAGAAGGCCAGAGAGTCGAATATGTCAGGCTGGGGAAGTTCGTCCAGGTTCAGCAAATATCATCCCTCGTATCAAAAGCTGAACACTTTTTCGCCTAATACTCCTCGTAGATTAGAGGCTCGAGATGGACTCTGGACGAATTTATCAACCACGTTGTGCACACCAAATTGTGACATGGTCAAACTCAGAAACTCAACCATCCAAGGAGCAAAATGATGTGCCTACGGTCGTACTAGATACTGCCAAGTTGACTAAGCAAGACTCTCTTGTAAAGCAAGTACGAGGACCAATGTCCTCGCTGTGCCACGGAAAAGAAGCAAACGTCTTACACCAAAATCTCCTTTACGGAGAGCGAATCGATTGTCAGACATGGAGTGACTTGGATTTTAGTTAAGTTCTCTTCCTGCTGCTATTTATACATGCAGAATATATCCTTGAGATTAAATTTCAAATTAGACGAGATTACCACCACAAATATTAAGGATGAACGCAAGGACTTCAGATCCACCAAGTGAGACAAAGTTGCTATGCAATAAATGAAGCATGGAATTCTAGAGCACCGGTAAAACGATAATGAGCTTCTATCACCTTCTTATTGCACGTCATGCGAGGAAGGTCATTCGACTTGAGTACATCGAACTCAAGTTTCAAAGCTAATTAGAAAGGAAACAAAAATGTATTGTCCTAGATGGGGGAAGGTTTTGTGTTATATCTTCGATTGCATAGGCTGGAAGAAAGGCTTTCGTACATATCAAACTGTTATGAATGACACTGGAAGAAGCAGTGCTCTGTAGTCTAGATCGACTGTATGGAGAAAATGTCAACCTTCGTCCGCGTTGAAGAAAATAGCTACAGCACTTGGTTGAAGGAACTCATACGGCAGAAAGGATCGTTGTCAAATGTGAAGAAAATTGTCAACCTCTGTACGCGTTGGGGTACATAGCTACAGCACTTGTTGAAGGAACACATACGCCACAAAGGATCGTCGTCAAATGTGACGGGGACAGAATGATAAATTTTGGATGCTTTGATTCCCAGCTTTCTCAATAACTTTCGAGGTTTCGAAAGGTTACATCTGACTTTTCGTAGAAAGGTTCTTTGAAGAAACGCTTTGAGCTTGTGCATGTGTTCGGTAAGTAGGGAGAATCACCAGAAGCCCAATCGCAGATGAGAACAAAGTGGTACGTTTCTTCCCAACAAAGCGAGGAGGGCGTAGATGCATGAAGACGTATAAACATGCAACAAAAATCTTGGGGTCTCGGAATATGTTTGAAACTGTAATGGAGGGAACAAAAGTCAGAAAGACCTTTCGTCCAAATTATCAAATGAATGAGGAAGCAGTCACACAATACCCGTAGCAAATGAAGGAAGAAGTAAGTTCATGACTCCATGCTAGTATTTGGGTATTTGCTGGCAGTCACGTGGGTTTGGAGGAGTTATCGGAGGAGGCTGTAGGAGGTCTGAGCCGAAACTTAAAGAGCTTCAGTTCTTCAGATGGAAGATCCAAAATACTCCCCACGAGAGAGGGCTAGGGAACCAAACATTCAGCCATCGATGGCTGAGCTGGCAAGCAATACGTACCATAACTCAGAACTTAATACAGAACCAGAAGTAGACCAGCATATGGAAATTCTGAACTACGAAAGTGTGAACAAGACGTCGCACTGTCTACACTGTCTATCGCACTACCATCAAACTTGGCAACGACGGCACTGCGGAAGAGCCTGACATTGGTGTCGCTTTCTAGACTGTTTGCCTGACGTGATAATGCTGCTCGACGGTTTGGTGTGTGGGATCGCCAAATCGGAACCGTCGGATTTCCTAGAAAATCAGAGCATTCTAAACTCTTCCCTTGTTTGATACTTTCATCATTAGTTTGGAAAGAAATAAATACATTTCAATAGGTTGTAAAGGGGTGTGAGTATGATTCTTGGTGATTTTTCTTTCTGCACGCAACTCCTAATCTGGATTTGAGATTTTGGTACCGCGTGTGCACACAAGATTCGTAATTTCCATCAGTTTGGAAAGAAATAAATACATTTCAATAGGTTGTAAAGGGAAGTAAGTTTGATTCTTGGTGATTTTTTTTTCTGCACGCAACTCCTAATCTGGATTTGAGATTTTGGTACCGCATGTGCACACAAGATTCGTAATTTTCATCAGTTTGGAAAGAAATAAATACATTTCAAGAGGTTGTAAAGGGATGTAAGTATGATTCTTGGCGATTTTTCTCTCTGCACGAAACTTCTAATCTGGATTTGAGAACTTGGTAACACAAGATTCGTAATTTTCCTTAGCGTGAACAAAGAAATCAGTATATTAAGAAAAATATTTTGCAATGTTACATTCAAGGATGATGTTTATTTTAATCCAGACCAAATTTTGGACGTTTTGGTAGAGGGTTCATTTTCAGAGTTCTCATTTAACTCCCTATTGTAAATGCGTAGACTCGATTAGATTATCGAGGGAATAAATTTCCTTTTCACGATAAAACCACACCAAAGTCATGATACACAGAAACTTGTCGTATTTGTGATCGGTACAGCCGACATTGCAAAGTGATCATGATGTTTCGCGTAGTTGTTATTGGAATCGTTGCGAGCATGGGGAATATCCGTACGTGTGCATACAAATTAAACAAACAAATAGAAAAATAATTAAGTTAACCTGTCGAAACATTTCCCATTGTGGAGATGCAATATATATTATGATTATCGGTCTCTTCAATTTGATCTTACATGGTGACGAATGGGCCTAGTCGGAAGCGCAGCTCTGCTTCTGTGCTGTACTTTCTAGATTAGCGTAGTCAAAATCTGTTGACCATGTCACCAGTGTTGTGAAAGGATCGGAAACTGCGTCCCAGACAAAGAGTGGTCACAGTTCGTATATTTCTAGCCAAGCTGACAAGGTTGGGTCATGGCACTCATGCTGCCGCCATGATGCAGTTATCTGAAGATTAGCCCAGCCGGATTTACTGTGATAATAATGATTACTTAATGCCGAATGTCCAATTTGGATTTCATTGCGTTCGGATTTTACCAAATAAAGAGGAGGCATGTAAAATAAAGGCATCATTATGGCGTGTCTGAGAGCACGTGCACGAGTAGCGCCAAGTCTGACGTCCGCCTCCAGTTCCCTTGGACGGAGACCCGGGCTCGAACGATCTGAGACGGACGGATATCGCAACACGAGCAAACACGTGGCCGGCTCCCCGCGTTTTGACTGCAGAGCAAAAGAAAGCGCTTGCTCGTGAACGTCGAGATTGCGATCGGGGGCAGGGATGCAAGCTCCCGGTCTGCCGGTGGCTTGGCTTGCCTCCAGATTAGCGGTCTCAAAGACGAGAAAACAGGAAAATATTGGATTGTAGGAAGCAGCGAAAGATGCGCATGGTCAGTGCGGGCAGGCGGGCAGGCCATGCCAGACAGACAGACGGGACGAAGGGGTTCCCGGGGAGCGAAACGGAAGGGCTGGAGACTGGAGCTGGGCCACCGGAGAGGACGAGGCGATGGGGCGAATCGGCCTGGCCGTGTTTGCACTGCGCTTGGAACAGAAGCTTGGGGGCTGGCTAGAGGTGGTTGGCTGCGCAGCGCTGGCGATGGGGATGGGGAGGGGTGCAGGGGCGGGAGCGGAAGCACTGTTGGGGATGGCTGGAAATGGGGCGTGGGTTTCATGAAGGACCGGGCGGGGGCTGCCCCGGGGGAGGACCGAGTCCGACGGCCATTGAACGAGTCGCTGGAAGGAATAGCGAGGAAACATTCCAAATCCGAGGTCGGGTTAAAATAAGGGAGGGAGGGCACTGTTGATTGTCCGAGGGGCAAGCGAGTCGTTGATTGCGCCTGCGGGCTAGCTCGTTTGATCCGGTCAGAACTGGGTCTGGGGCCTGGGCTGACTGCGACGAGGACTGACTCGTTCGCTGACGACTGGAGTGTGTGGGATCTGTTGCTCGCTCGCCCCAGCCTGCCAGCCACCCAGCCAGCAGCAGCTGCCACTGCTGCGCTTCTGCTTTCTGGCAGCTCCAGCAAGCGAGCGAGTGAAAGTGAGTGAAAGTGAGTGAACGATCACCAGGAGGGAGAGACGGATGATGGAGTGACCGAGTGAGTTACTGCATGGAGGGGGTACTTTTTCCGGTTCGTAGCGGAGTGGAGGAGGAGGAGGTCCAGGAGCGAGAGGAGGAGGAGAAGGGGCCCCTCACGAAGTTGGGAGAAAAGGTGAAGGCACTACGTCCCCGATTGCTGCTGTCCATCGCGTTGCTCGGTGGCACCCTAGCAGCAGCAGCAGCAGTGGTAGAAGTGGAAGGAGGAGTAACTTCTGGTTGAGTGAGTCAGGTCGTCTACGGCGGGTGCTTCTGCTGTTGCTTTACTGTTCCTACGTACGTGGACACAGGGTGGTTGACTCGCAGGCGAATTCCGGTGTGCAGCGCTGCTGCTTCCCAGGCGGAGGCGAGTTAGGCGGGAGAGCGAAGAGCGCAAGCAAGCAAGAGGATGCGCTACTGCTGAACCGAGCGAGGGAGAGTGAGACAGAGAGCGACAGAGAGGAGGAGGAGGAAGAGGAGGAGGAGGAGGAGGAGGAAGGTCTGGGGGGCGGGGGGGGGGGGGGGGGAAGGGAAAGGGGTCGAGGGGCGGAGGAGGACCGGGCATGGGGACCGTTGACGAGCAACAACAGAAGAGAGGAGGCCGCGGCTCATCCGCTTCGTCAGTTCGGTGCATTGCGGGCCTTGATTTCCTTCGCTCGCTCGGTCGCTGTGTCTGTATCCCCCTCCCCGTGTGGTGATGTGATGAGGTGGTTCTCGCATGGTCTGAGCAGAACTGGCCCCGGGCCCGAGCCTAGCAGCTTTCGTGGAGAGACGGAGAAGGGCACGGGAGGAGGAAGAGGAGGAGAAGGAGGAGGACTAGGTCTAGGATTCCCAGTCCTCAGTCATTCGTGGGCATTCCATTTGTTTTCGTCGTCCAGCAGGAGGGTGAGGGTGTGGCTAGCTTCTTCAGCTTCAGCTCCAGCTCCAGGAGCAGCAGCGGCAGCTGCTGCTTCCAGTTTCTCCACAGCATCAAAGGGACCCCCCTCTCCCCCTCCCCCTCCCTCTCCCTGATCCCCTGTTCCACCCCGTCTTCCCTCCCTCCCTCCCTCTCTCCGCGTCTTGACCTTCTCTCCTCTCTGCCACCTCCTCGCTCGAGGTGGCGCATCCGAAACAAAAAGTCTTCTTCTTCTTTATATTTTTTCCTACCACCATTCCCCCCTCGCGAAGCACAGCATAGCCCAGCCCGGCACTGCGCTGCCGGGTCCTGCATTGTGCTCGCTCGGCTCATTCTTCTCGGCGACGACGAGGTCTTCGCTGCAACCGTGAGTGGAGAGAGCTGACGGATTCAGAGCCCGAGCAAGAAAGGAAGGGAGGGGCAGCAGTATCGTCGTGGTGGTTATAGTAATACTAGTAGCGACAGCAGCAGCAGAGCATCGATAGTACAGTAGTAGTAGTAGTATTGGTGGTGGTGGTAGTATCGGTGAAGGAGTCCGAGATCCATGAGCGAATGGACGACATACGAAGGACAGCGGATTCGTGTTTCCGCCGCATTCGATAGATTGTGTGCCAGGTATGTGAAGAGTTTGGGTTGCTAGACAGTGGCGAGCTCGGAGCTCGCGGGCAGGTCAGAAGAGGACAGCAGCAGCAGCAGCGGCCTGGGTGCGCTCGCTCGATGAGGGAGACACGGAGGTGAAGGAGAGGAGCCATGGGAGTGCAAGAGCTGCGACATTGTTCGAATCCGACCCGCCCAGCCATGGGGTGGAGTAGGAGCGGCCTCGTGCAGGATTTGAGCCAGCAATGCAGATTGAGCTCGAGCATCAGCAGCGGCGAGCGCGTTCGTGACGATGCCGCAGCGGGACGTGGCAAGGAGATGAGGATCGTGTTGCTGCAAGTGGTGGCGCTGGTGGGTGGTGGTGGTGGAGGAGGTGGTGGCGGCGTTGGTGTTAGACTAGCGAGTAGCGGTCAGTCCGGTAGGCAATAATAATCAGAACAATAATAATAATAAGAACTCGATGACGACGAAGCGCTGGGGCGATTCGCGAGTGCTTCAGCCCGGCAACAACATGAGGAGCGCGCTCCTCTCTCTGGCGGTGGCATTTCTGGTTCTGAGCTCGTGCTGCGTCGCGGCCTTCCCACGGAACATCGGCGTCCCCGTGCCTTACGGTGAGCCCTGCGCATTCTCGCACCTGTACCCCAAGCCCAAAGGCCTGTCGGTACACGCCGAATGCCCCTCTCCTTGCGCGTTTCGCTGGAAGGACCCTGTCGCCGCCGGCGCCCAGGACATTAGCAGTAGCAATAACGATTTGGGCCAGCTGCACCTCTCGAACGGAGCAGCAGCTGAAGTAGTAGTGCAGCACGAAGTAGAGTCGGAGTTTGATCGCAGCCCCCCGCAGACACAGACACAGGTACAGGTTCAGATAGAAACACAGAAACAGAGCAGCAGCAGCAGCAGCAGGGAAGCAGAGGGCGATGGAGCTTTGGAGCAGCAGCAGCGGCTGGAGCGAGAGGCAGGAGGAGGAGGAGGAGGAGGAGGAGAATGGGGGCCGGCTCGAAGGAGGCTGCTGCTGCGGGGGGAGGAAGACTGCACGAATTCTCGGGGGAGCGAGTGCGGGGGCGCATTGCGGAGGCACCTGGCGCAGTACGGCGGGGGCTACGACGCTTACAGCCCCGATCCGTCGGCGAGCCAGTACCTGCCCTACGACACATCGTCGAGCGCCGAGGCGCAGATTCTCATGAGCCTCAAGAGCGGGCTCAACGACGCCGCATCGAACGCGCTGGCCAACTGGAACTTCACGGTGCAGCCGCAGTTCTGCAACTGGACCGGCATCGTGTGCGACCTGAGCAACCAGCACGTGGTGTCCATCAACCTCGCGGGCCGCAAGCTCGGGGGCTACATCAGCGCGGGCCTGTCGGGGCTGCCTCTGCTCGCCACGCTCGACATGTCCTACAACCGCCTCGAGAGCAGCATTCCCGCCGACCTCGTGAACGCGTCGGTCCTCGTGGCCCTGGATCTGAGCTACAACATGCTCACGGGCAGCGTGCCGGCATTCGGCCGCAGCACTCCGATTCTGGGCTCGCTGAACCTGATGAAGAACAAGCTGAGCGGCGGCATTCCTGCGTCGCTCGGCGAGTGCCTGGAGCTGACGAGCCTCGACCTGCGGCGCAACCGGCTTCGTGGCACCATTCCTTACGATCTGGGCGCTCTGACCAAGCTGCAGCTTCTGTATCTGAACAACAATAAATTGGACGGCGCAATGCCGGTCTCGCTGGCCTACTGCACCTCGCTGCTGGCCCTCGACATCGGCTGGAACCAGATCACCGGCTTCATCCCGGACGACTTCAAGGCCCTGACGAATCTCGAAGGCCTCTACCTCTACGGGAATTTCATGACCGGGCCCCTGCCCGACTGGCTGGCCTCGCTCCCCAGGCTCTCGTACCTGCACTTGTACGCCAATGAGTTCTCCGGGCGCATCCCGTCCGACCTTGGCACGTCCAAGGTTCTGCAGTCGATCAACCTCTCGAATAACAGCCTGACTGGGCCCGTACCGGCGTTTCTCAGCAGTAGCCCCGATTTGTACGAGATCGATCTGTCGGTGAACAATCTCACCGGATCCATTCCTGCCGACTACGGGACTCTGACCAAGCTCCGCGAGCTGCGCCTTGAGAGCAACCAGCTGGACGGCGAGATCCCGGCCTCGCTGAGCGGCTGCCCCGAGCTCGTCACGGTCGCTCTCTCGGGCAACAATCTCACGGGGCCAATCTTCGAGCTGGACCAGCTCGTGAACCTGAGGAGGCTGAGCTTGGAGGAGAATTTCCTGACGGGCTCCATTCCGGACTCGGTGACGTTCTGCACCAATCTTTCGGAATTGAACCTCTCGAGAAATTCGCTCACGGGGTCCATCCCGGCGGAATTGGGCAATCTCAGGAACCTGTCCACTCTCGGGCTCTCGCACAACAATTTGAGCGGGCTCGTGCCCGCCTCCTTGGTCCAGTGCACGGCGCTCGAATGGCTGGGGCTCGCCGACAACAACCTCACGGGCCAGCTGCCGGAGGATCTGGGTTTGCTGCAATCTCTGATGTACATAGACTTGAGCCGCAACTCGTTCGAAGGGAGCCTGCCCCAAGATCTGGGCAATTTGACAAATCTGCAGTACCTGAATCTGGAGCGGAACTCGTTCGAGGGCCCCATTCCGGAATCGCTCGGCAATCTCCTGCAGCTGCAGGTCCTGTCCCTGGGGTACAACGAGCTGGAAGGAGCCATTCCTTCGCAGCTCTCTGCGCTCAGCGGCCTTCAGTCGCTCACCCTCAACGACAACAGCCTGAATGGCTCGATTCCGGGCGGTTTGGGGATGCTGCAGAGCCTGAGCGTGCTGTATCTGCAGGGCAACAGGCTGTCGGGGTCCATCCCGCTGAGCCTGAGCAACCTCACGAGCCTGCAGGACCTGGCCCTGGGCGACAACGAGCTCGAAGGGGGCATTCCTGCGGCGCTTCTGCGGGGGCTGGCCGGGCTCGTGGCCAACTTCTCGCTCGGCCAGAACCGGCTGAGCGGCCCCATCCCGGACGAGATTGGTCTGCTGTCCATGGTGAAGTCGATCAATCTGGCGAGAAACGAGCTGAACGAGAGCATCCCCGAGAGCATCGGCAATTGCTCGGCTCTCCTGCGGCTGGACCTGTCGTCTAACAGGCTGAGCGGAGCTCTGCCCTCGTCCCTGGGCAACCTGTCGAAATTAGAAGTCCTGAATGTGTCGCACAACGAGATCGACGGCGACATCCCGTCGGAATTGGGCAAGCTCGGGTCCCTAGTGGACTTGGACCTGTCTGTGAACAACGTGTCGGGCCCCATTCCTCAGTCTCTGACCAGCCTCCAGAACCTGGCCTTCCTCAATGTGTCGGACAACAACCTGTCGGGCGAGGTGATGATGCTGGGCGCATTCCAGCACCTCTCGGCAGCTTCCTTCTTGGGAAATCCGGGGCTCTGTGGGGCCATCTTACAGAGGAAGTGCAACGAAGCGCCTGCTCCGTATGGATCGTCCGGGGGCAAGAGTGTAAGTATGTGGATTTACATTGGTGTAGCAATCGGTGCATTCATCATTTTAGCCATATTGGCAGTAGCTTTATTTCTTTGGTGTAGATCGCCATACCCCATGGGCCAACCGCAGGGCCACAACAGAGGAAGCATCATAGCCAGAAGCGAGCTGTTCTACCCTCAGCTCAGATTCACGGCCCAAGATCTGAAGCTGGCCACGGAGAATTTCTCGGAAGTCAATATTCTCGGAGTCGGATGCATGAGCCAGGTTTACCGAGGTGTGCTTCCGGAGCTCGTGCTGGTGGCCATCAAGAAGTTGAAGATTCCCAGTGGCAAGGACATCCCGTCGGGCTTCGTACACGAGCTCGATGAGCTGGGCAGGTTGAGACACAAGCACTTGGTGGCTGTGCTGGGCTACTGCTTCGACTCGGATCTCAACGCTCTGGTGGTGCAGTTCATGTCCAACGGGAGCTTGGAAGAGCACCTCCATCGAGGGAAGACGTGTGATCTGGATTGGGCTGCACGAGTAAAAATTGCGGTTGGGGTGGCCAAAGCCTTGACTTACTTACATCATGAGTGTGGCTCTACTATTGTACACTGCGACCTCAAACCCAGTAATATCCTCCTGGATGCCGAGTTTGAACCTCACCTCGAAGACTTCGGATTGTCGAGACTAATTTTCGCCCACAAGCTGATCGATATGTCCGACTCATCTTTGGGCAACTCCGTGGGCTATTTTCCCCCAGGTATGTTCATCTTTCCTCGTACATCGCTCTTGGACATCTTCTCCTGCACTGGTCTCGGTCTCGGTCTCGTTCTGCCCATTGAAGTGCTTGCTAAGCAATCAAGATGGTTCAGCGTCGACAGCGACGGGGGTTCTATTTGTTTGTGGAAGTGAAGAGATGGTTTTTTTTTTTTGGTGGCTGCGTGTTGATTGATGCGTCTGAGTGAGGAACCTTTAGTGCCCGTGTGCATGACTTCATCCGTGTGACGTGCATCACCATTCCTCGATGGGTCTTTGTCGCATCGTCAAAGCAAATCCCAGATCGCTGTGGAGAGAAAGAGGCTGGAACCTAACCCATCATTTTTTTTGATGATGAACTCTATAGAGATGTGGAGTCCATCAGAGTCATCTTCGGATATCGCAGCTGCATCTGAGCAGTTCAAAAGTATGAACCGAACCTTCTTTCATACTCTGCGCGTACTTCCGCTTCCTAATCTTCCTCCGTCTCCCAAGTCTAGTTTGCTGCTCTGTATATACGGATATACATATATTGGTGGCTATGTCTAATCTAAGCCTACCGCACTCTTGGCTTCTCATCTCTACATGCCTATCATATGTTTGTCGAACCAGATGCCGACACCTTGTGCACAAAACAGCATAATCCTAAGCTCTATGTCCTCCAGCTGTAGATGTGCAAAGGATGGATGGCAATTTGGTGACCTGTTCGAATTTCCCATGATTTCATCACCATGCGCCCGAATGTTGCAACTCTGTCGTGTCGTTTGATCCTGAGCTTTCCTGACGCGGCGTTCCACTTGCTCGAGTAAATTATTTGACCTCGGACTGTATAAGGAGCGAGTGGCTAACGAGAGACAATGTCTCGGTGATCTGTGTGCCCGTGTGTGCAGAATACGGCTTTTCAGCAACAGTGTCTCCCAAAGGAGATGTGTACAGTTACGGTATAACTCTACTGGAGATGCTGACGGGAAAGAGGCCATCAGGTGACATGTTCGGGAATGAGATGACAATCAGGAAGTGGTGTCAAGCGTCGTATCCTGAGAGGACGCAGGACATCTTAGACCCGAACCTTCTGGCACCGAAGGTGGGAACATCGGGGTCCGGTCTGACAGGCTCGAACTTGAAGCAGATCAATCTGTTCATGAAAGTGGCTCTCATGTGCACGAGGGAGATCCCAGAGGAGCGCCCGACCATGAGACATGTGGTGGACATGCTGAGGTGAGAAGCCGTGGTCACCTCCCGTTCACTTTCACTCGGGCTGCTGCCACTTCTCACGACGACCCTGCCTCTGCTCCACTCCACATCCACCGAGAAGCGAACGGAAGCTCTTCTCTTGCACGGCCTGAGTGCGACCGGTGGGAGCCCTTTGATGATGTCACACTCCCTCGATTTCCTTCGTAGTGTCTTCGTTCATCATCGAGGTGTCAGGTGGGGGGTTCGTTCCGGAAGAAGTGCCTAGTCTCACCATATTGTCCGTGAGCCCGGCAATCCAGAGCTCAATCTAGCGAGTGTGTGCTTGCGGGCAGCGTGCTGTACATGAACAAGAAGAAGAGGAAGGGATGGGCCGCACTCTTAAAATGGTTTTTTGTTCCTTGGTTTGGTTTACTACCAAGTTAAAGACACAGAAGGGGTTGAAGTGCTATCACCCCACGGTCTCACCACCAAAGGGAGATTGAGAGCGAGAGTGATATGGAGAGGTGGAGAGAGTGAGAGAGAGAGCGAGAGAGAGAGAGAGAGATTGGACCTTATGTGTATTTGTAACAGAAATAATGGCCTCCAAAAATGTGATGGAGGGTGAAAATTGACGGCTTGATTAAGCTAATTCTTCCTAGGAGAGGATCAGCGAGACAAGTTTGTAAGCCTTGGTTGCTGTCATCAGAAGAACGAGGGCGCTCTGTTTTACAAAATGGTTAAGGGAACTCAGTTTGTGAGATTACATCTAGACAGGTCTGTAATTATGATAGACAGTTTTGCCTCCTGAATTCGGGAGGGTGAAAGTTGCAAAGGTTCGATTGAGCCCATTAGTGATTTGTAAAGTGATTCATGCTTAGGAGATTCAACGAGAGACCTTAAATTATTTAGCCAAGAGTGGTTACTATTTTTCCCCACTCGGCCTGAGAAGAGGAACTGTGTCGGTGCAATCTCTTGTCTTGCATTCGCCTGGTTCTTCCACGTAGCTGCCGAAACCGAGTCAGGGGCCCCCTCGTCTTTGCATCTCGCCCTCGCTGCAAGCCATTCTGGGGCAACGAGGGGAACTGAACACAAACCACCACAAATTCGGCGTGCGGTAGCGCAATTGTCCACGGCCATTTCCTTGAGGTTGTCTAGCAGAATGATGGAAAGTGTATGAAAAGTACCAAATTTATAGAAAGGGCTCAAACACGCCAATGCCTGTCTCTGTATTTTTCATTGTAAATTACGTCTTCAAAGTAGCAAATATTCTGACGTTCAAAGCATTAAGGACCATATCTCAAAAGTCCATCTCGGCCCAAACCAATGATATCAACCAAGTATGCTAACTTGGAGACTTCATTGGAGTCAAACGCATGCTAATGTAGAGACTTCAGTAAGGTTGTTGCAGTCTACTGTCCAAGTGCATACCCACGTTCTCCTCTGCTGTGAAGCCGCCACCAGGCGACTACACCCTTGTGGAAGAGGGAAACTCTCGACGTTGCGGGTCATCTGAGACATAACACTGTTTCGATTCTTTCATGTACAGCGAATATCTTCGTGTTTACTCCAGCCGAATCTACTGGCAATGATGCCCTGGTGAATACATCTAACCATGTCGTAGTGCAGAACTCACCAAAGTGGGTCAGCTGTACACTAGGCCTGTCATAGTGAGGCTTGTGCGGAAAATGGGAGACTGAACTACGATTACAATGGTCATGAAATGAACTGACATCGTCATAGCGCGACTAAGACTGAAACTCGGCAGATCTAATTTAATTTGCTCTGTGAACTACATATAATTTGATTTGCCACTCTGTTGATACTACTAAGACCTGGTGACAGTGAGATCCTACATCAAGATGAGCTTGAGAACACCAACTTGGAGGTTGTTGGGTGTCTTCGAGGGACGTAAGCACATTTTTCTCGTTAAGACCCTCCCTCGACCTGCGCGTTTTGCATTGGAGACACTTGATTTCCACTTCAGCAGTTTCGATTCAAAAGACAACAGTGTCCAGCATAGTTCCAAGAGTCTGCACGATGTTGGATGACATGAGATTGGACACGTGCTCCTCCAAATGCTTCTTGGCATCCTGCCGTCCCACGTTGGCGATGGCGAGCTTTTCCGGTGATAGTTGATCCTCTTCTTGAACTGCTTTGTTGTATTTCACAGCTAGTTCCAGCATTTCCTGCACCACCGAAATATTTAAGCATGCAAGAATTCCTCAGACCAAACAGGACGTCTCTCGACCACCTTTACAGGCCATTTAGGGATGTCAAAGATAGCACGAAGTCGAAAGCAAGTTCTTTGACCCACCATGAAAAACACCAAAAGCTTGGCTCTTCCTCAAACCCAACAATGAACCTAACTCGGCAGTCAAACGCTTACCTGCACAGTCGATTCATTGGTCTTGGCATGATCGTCAAACCGATGAAGTGTCAGACCATCCGTCCACTTCTTTTTGTGCAGATTCAGTAGCATTTTCTCCTCTAGCTCATTCTTCCGGTAGTTGATGCCAATCGAGTAGTAATGTCGATTTAAACCATGAATAAGTGCCTGCATCCAAGCCCTCCTCAAGTTAGTAGCCGACGCCTTCAATGAAAGACATGAATCTTCACCCACACAAAATGGCGTCCTTTTGACGCAGAGCCAAGTCAGTTTATACCTGGATAGATGGCTTATTCAGGTGACCAAGATTAGACGTTGTCTGCCGAGGTTCTTGCCCCAACATCATCGTCTGAGGGTTGATCAGGCGAAAAGCATCGATCACCACTTTGCCTTTCACACTTTGAATAGGATCCACGACAACAGCTACTGATCTTTGATTTAGGGCTTCAAAACTCTGCAAAACAACGAGACAGACACTATATATTGAGGTTCCGAGGGCACTTTAATGAGTGGCCAAATTTGAGCCTGTGAAGTTGAACATGAATCCTCAATTCGATTACAATCAAATAGTAATATGCTTCTGAGATTCAGGAACTCCTCACCTGCTGGGTATTGATGTCCACACCCGAGAGCCAGCAACCAAAACCAGGATGGGAATGATACCAGCCAACTACCATCTCAGGTCTGCAGACAGTCACATGTGATCAGGAACGGTTAGAAAATAGGGTAATATAAGGATCAAATGAGACTGCTGAAAATCACAGTGTCGTATTCGAGGAGTTCAGATTCAAAGTTCGCTTTATTCAGCTTGAAATGAGATCCACCTTACATACCAAATTACAATGCAATCTAACCTTAACAATTCACAGACAATTAAGCTCTGAAGTTCTTCAAAGGATAGAAAGCCTGCAAGCAGACAAGTTTTGTTGCAAAGTCAGTACGGTATGGAAACAGGTTCAGGAAACGCAGGGACAGATGCCAGGACAAAAGATGCTCCTACCTGCCGGTCTGTTTCAACATGTCGAGCATATTGGTCTGAAAGACGGGGTCCACAGCCTCCACACTCACTCCAGTTCCGCTTTGCGGCATGGCGAATACGTCGACGACACGAACGGTGTACTCATCCACAAACTCTCCCAGCATTAATCCCATAACTTCCATCGGGACTCCAGCTCGTCCTGAACAGCAGCAACATTCACTGTCATTCAACACCGAAATCTGAACTCGGACTCAATTCGCAAGTCCGTTGAAAACCCCAGAAAGCCAGTTTCGTTGTAGAAAGACAGAAAAAGAGCCGATCGTCAATGAATCGTCGATGGCTTCGACTATCGCAACTCCGGAGCTAGAGAAAATTCTCCGAATGGTCAGCTCCCAGCATCAAGCGCAGTCATGAGCCAAAAAGCCGCCCACTCACCGTGCTTCAGCATCTTGAGAAGCGCCAGCGAAGAAATGTACACCTGCTCCGACGAGTCCACCAAAGGGGCATCGGGGTGAGGGCCCCCCATGCCTCCACCCCCTCCTCCCACACCAGAGAAGATCCGCTGCAACCTGTCCATCTCTCTCTCTGCCTCTCTCGATCCCACACAACCAGAATTCCGCTGACAACCCCAACCTGCGAATTGACCCAGCAATTCAAATCGCCACAAACGCGACGGGCTCGAGCGCAGAGCAAGAAACGCAACAGAGCACGACCTCGAACAGGACAGACAGACGAACTGAGCTCTCCAGCGACAGCGACATCGACGGACGGAGGAACACTCCAGCACTCACAACCAAAAACCGAGTCCCATGCACAAGCCCAGCCCAGCCCAGCCCATGCCAACCCAACCCTAGTCTAACCCAGGTTTGCTAGCCGCCCCCTGGTCATGCGGGTTACAGGCGAGTCGTGACGAGGAGTCTGTTACAGAGTATGAGTACACAGAGTAGTGTCCGACAGGGGGCAGGGGGACGGGGGTTCCGGCAGACGGTGGACGAGAAGCAGCTGAACGAGGAGCCCGTTGCAACTATAAACTAACTGCTGCTGCGACTGCGGTCGGCGTCTCTCTCTCGGTTCTGCTCTTCTCTTCTCCCTTGTCTGCTAATCGAATTCTTGCTCGACCGGTCCCGATCCTTCCTTCCTTCAATGTCGGGGCCGTTCGGACCAGGCGAGTCAGGAGCACCGATCGAGCTTCCTTCCATTCTGCTGTTCTTGCCCGGCCTCGCGAATTTCTCTGACCAAATTTCGGCCTCGTGCTCGCTCGAACGATTTGCGCCAGTTCACCGATTTTCCGGACTCTGACAAGGGAAACGATGGACTCTGGACTCTGGACTCGGATCATCCGGAGCCTGACGAAATACTGAGGTGTAAACAAACGAACGCACGTGAGGGGATGGGTGGGTGAATGAGTCGAGGCAGAATCGTTCAGCAGGACACGATGCGCTTGGAGCCTCGCCTTTGATGGGAAGTCTCCAAAGATCGATCAATTGTGAGATTTCGCGAGCGCCTGCCCGATCGCTCGTGAGCAGTTCCCACCGAGTTAGAGATCGAGATGTTTGAGATCGTGGAACGACTTCTGAGCATGCTTCTCAGTTCGCTTCTCTGGCCCGTGTCTGTCAAGGACAGATGAAACTGCCGTGGGTTCCTCTGAGCGTCATGAAGGGCGTGGCAGGTCTCGCTGCCGCCGTCGAGTGCACCTCCAACCGCCCCTACAGAGCATGCGGAAGTCACCTGGACTGCTGCAGGATGCCCTTGCATTAACGAACTCTGCCCTCGCTTCCGAAATCCTCATCGCCCGTCTTCGTGCACGAGTGTCTGCGAGGCAAGATTCCAGAGCTGCAAAGTCCAGTGGCTCGGATTTGCAGACCAGCTGCAACTGAAATGGCTCGAACGGGAGAAGCGAGCATTGATCTCTACGAAGCTGATTTGGAGAATTGCTGGAAGATCGACGGCAGCGAACTGAGTCTGGACAAATCACCGAGTCTCAGAAAGGGAGTGGACGCACTGCCTGCATTGGCCATAACAGCCCATCATGAACTGGAAGATCCGACTGCGTCGCTTCCCACTTCTACCAGCGATCTGGACGAATGTTGTGGAGTTGGCGAGGCATTGACAGTGGCTGAATTCGAGTCCCTTGACCAACACGGGAAGCGAGACAGCGGGCTCGGGGCGTGCGAGCGCGACAAGGAAAGTGGGGCAGCTGCCGATGAGAAAATCCACCAGGTTTCCTTTTACAGGCTCTTCTCATTTGCCGATGGTGTGGACTACTTGCTCATGGGCTTCGGGACGCTCGGAGCTTGCACTCATGGAGTGGCTGTTCCTGTCTTCTTCATTTTCTTCGGCAGGCTCATCGACGCATTCGGAGCCAACTACAACAATCCCTTCCGAATGGGCCATGAGGTTTCCAAGGTCACATTCTTCTTCGAACCTCATTCCACCTGCTACCAGTCCACTGGCATATTTTCCAGGGGTGTTTTGCCACAGCAGTCACCTGCCGATTCTGACAACGCCATGAACAGTTCCAGATGTAGCTGCAGAGTTCATGAACTTAAAATTATATGATCTGATGACATTGATATTCTGTCAGGGCCTCATTATTCTCGAGAAATATGGTGACCACGTTTTCTTTCTTAGATGCAAGGAGAACGCTGTATTATTCTACGAAGTCCAAACCATTCTCTCCTATGCACGTAACAACACTGATCACTTGGTTTCAATCCAGTATCGATGCTTACATATGGCGCCTGTCAACTCCTGCAGTACTCTTTGTACCTGTTCTACTTGGGACTCGTCGTCATGGGCGCATCCTGGCTAGGTACGAGGACGTTTCCTGTTTGAACGGATAGCAATGTGAGTCCATGCTGAATGCAGTCATCGAAAGGTTTAATAAGTCCTGTAACAAAGTCTCTGAAGTTCATGAACACGAGACGTGATGAGATGGAGAACAGAGAGCTTTGAGCATAGAATAAAACAAAGCTATTTTCACGTTGGATTTGCTCTGTTTTGCTTTGCGCTTCGAGTGAAGGCTGGATTATGAGTTCAAACGTCGGGGACACGCAGAGGTGTGGTGCTGGATGCAGACAGGCGAGAGACAATCAGCTCGGATGCGAAGCATGTACTTGAAAGCGGTTCTCAGTCAGAATATGACCTACTTTGACACAAGAGGAACGACGAATGAAATCGCCACTCGCATAGCAAATGACACTGCCCTCGTGCAGGATGCCATCAGTGAAAAGGTTCTCTGAGCTGCGCTTGCCTTCAAATTCATCGTGAAGAACTACAACTTTCAAACACAATCACTTTGTGGACTTAGCTCTGCTACTTCTACTACTTCTTCTAAATCTTCTGCTTCCAGTACTGCACTGCTTTCGAGTCGTCTGACAACCACGTAAAATCTGAAAATGAACTGTTGTGGTTTAGGCAGGGAACTTCCTGCACTTCACGGCGAAATTCATAGTGGCCTTCGCAGTGGGCTTCTGCTCAGTTTGGCAACTCTCACTGATCACTCTGGCAGTAGTGCCTGCCATTGTGATGTCCGGTGCTGCTTACACTGTGATAATGACTGGACATGCGACCAAGGGACAGAAGGCGTACGAAGAGGCTGGGAAGGTGGCAGAACAGGTAAGAAAAAGTGCTACTCCTACTTCCGTCGAGGCTCATAGGAAACTGGCCGGGGAATCCAGTAGAAACAGAACCCGTTGTTTCACCGAAGAAGCACCAAAACCATTCACCAAGTCAAACGCAAAACTATGAATCACCCGCACAAAGACTGCCAAGCATCTGGTTCCAAGTGTTCTCCATTCAGATTGACAGAACGAACTAGAAGCAATACTGAACTGATTGTGTCTAAAAACTCTACCTTGGACAGCTCTGCCTTCTACATTATAATACTGGAAGTGAGAAGATCTATTAAAAGCACAAAGCCCCTAAGAAGGTCATTGACCGTCTAGCTCCCCCGATTCAATACGTCTTGCGTCCACGCAGATAAAACAGTAAAGCATTTACTCTGTGAATCATCAGATCGTCATTCTCGAACGTATTCCAGAAGGGTGTTGATGAAAGCAAAAGGGTCCAGGCCACATGATTGCACTAAGCTCTCGGAAGAATATCCTTTGAGGGATGGTATGGAAGGATGATTCTGAGCCCTAACAATGTCCATTTTAGGTGATAGCTCAAGTGCGGACAGTTTACTCCTTCGTTGGAGAGGCAAGGGCTGTCAAGGATTACTCGACTGCACTTCAGACGACGTTGATCCTCGGCAAGAAATGCGGAATGACCAAAGGTGTGGGCCTAGGAGTCACATACGGTCTGTGCGTGGGAGCATGGGCTCTGCTGCTCTGGTACTCCGGTGTCTTGGTCCGTCACGGAACGACTAATGGTGGCAAGGCATTCACCACCATTCTCAACGTCATCGTGGGTGGAATGTAAGACTCTGACCTCTTTCCAACACTTCCTGCGGTATCGTCTGGCATGGCTCGTCATTCTCATTCGATCCTCTGCAAGTCCTGGTAATCGAGCAATGTCACTTGCTTTTCTGTGGCATGCAGAGCTCTGGGTCAAGCCGCCCCAAATTTGACCGCCTTCTCGAAAGGAAGGGCAGCAGCGTACAACATCCTGGAAATTCTCAAAAGGGGGCCGCCTCAAGACGAGCAGGCGGAAGACGAGGGCCTGACTCTGGAGAACGTCGAGGGCCGTATCGAGTTTCGGAATGTTTGCTTCAACTATCCATCTCGACCCACTATGCCTGTGTTTCAGAACTTCTGCTTGCAACTTCCAGCCGGGAAGACTGTGGCCCTTGTGGGCACCAGTGGCTGCGGCAAGAGCACCGTGGTCTCACTCCTCGAACGCTTCTATGATCCGAACTCAGGTGTGCTCTGCGGATGGTTCTCTCGTGATTTCTCCCTTCAACTTGAGAGAAGTGTGAGCTGCTAACTCGACTTCTGCTTACCCCCACCACACATCTCTGGTCTGATGCATTCACCGATGTTCCATTGGTTGCACTGACGAGTTCCACCACGGCATTCCACTTCGCCCGCGTCACATTCAAACATTTGTCCATAGAGCCAAGATATTCGACCTTCTGCCGAAGTTTGTGAGAGTGTTTACCTTCGGATATGATCTTTGAAACTGACAAATCAGTTCTGAAACTTCTGAAGCTTAAGAAGGACGAAGATAGATATGAATTTCTACATTACACACTCGAAAGATAATCCCTAGCGTCTAAATATAAAAATGCGAATTCAGAGTAGCATGAGTCGTCCACGAACTACTCCCGTACGAACCTTACGATGATAAATAAACCTGCGGCTTTTCAAGCTTCTGCGAACCTACTACTTGATCCACCTGCAGGGGAAGTTTTGCTCGATGGTCACAACCTCAAGACTTTGCGACTCAAATGGCTTAGAGCTCAAATAGGACTCGTGAATCAGGAGCCCGCGCTCTTCGCAACATCGATCAGAGAAAACCTGCTGTATGGTAAGAACGATGCAACCGCCGAAGAGATCGTCGAAGCTGCCAAAGCCTCGAATTCCCATTCCTTCATCAGTCAGCTGCCTTTCGGTTATGACACACAAGTAAGTTGCATCCATCCAGTCCGCAAGGAAGCCCTGTAGGCAGATGGTTGACAAACTGGCATGGACAAGCATGAGCACCTCATGTCTCATGTCGCTGGCAAGAGGCCGACTATGAAGTTCATGAAGCTCCATGCGGAGATAACCGATAAAGGCTTCCAAGTTTGAGAACAAGTCCAGTTTTGAGTCTCAGCTCTAACCTGAAATAAGATAATTGCCTCGACAACAAAGCTGAATCTGCACTCAAGAAGAAAATGCCGCCTCGAGCAGGTCGGAGAGAGAGGCATTCAGCTATCAGGAGGGGAGAAGCAACGCTTGGCTATCGCCCGAGCGATGCTGCGGAATCCCAAAATTTTGCTGCTGGATGAGGCCACGAGTGCGCTCGATCCGGATTCCGAGCAGGTCGTTCAAGAAGCACTGGACCGCCTCATTGTCGGTCGTTCCACTATCGTCATAGCACACCAGCTTTCCACCATCCGAAATGCGGATTCCATTTCGGTGATAAGACAAGGGAAAGTCATCGAGACAGGAACCCACAATGCACTCATGAGCAAAGGAGAACGAGGAGTGTACGCCTTGCTCGCCAGGTTGCAGGAGGCGGGGCACCAACGAGGCCATGCTGGGCAGACACAGGCGACACAGTCCACGTATGTTCACATAAGATTGCCAACCCTGACCTTGTTGTTGAGTTGCCCTATCAAGCGAATGCTGAGACTCTGGACTTTGCTGCAAGCACGATCACACAGAGTGCACTGATCAAAATCTTTCGATGCATGTGCAGTCAGAGAACTTCAAATTCTCGAGAAGTCCCGTCAGTGGAGAGGAGAACCTCTTTCAATGAGTCGGAAATCAACCTCGAAGTGCAAGAGAAGAAGCCAGCCGATGTGGGATGTTCCCAGCCAGCACTGTGGCGAATGCTACGTCTGAATAAACCCGAGTGGCACTATGGCGTCCTGGGAGCCATTGGAGCAGTTTTGGCTGGGTGTGAATTTCCTCTGGTTGCTCTCACGATCGGCCAACTCTTAGTGACCTTTTATGTTCCGGACAAAGTGTACATGGAACAGCAGGTGCACAGATACACGCTGTTCTTCACGGGCGCGATCGGTGTTGTGGTGATCGCCAACATTCTGCAGCACTATTTCTTCGCTGCCATGGGAGAATGCCTCACCAAGCGCATCAGAGAGATGATGTTTACAGGTGCGTGTTCTCCTCCTCGTCTACGAAGATTCGGAGAGCGAAAAGGTCATGACGACCGAACATGGCTGAATATGTCCTCATTTCCGCAATTCCTTTTTCCCGTGGAGAGAAAGTGAACTAACGCTGGGGGATGGTGCAGGAATACTACGCAATGAAATCGGATGGTTCGACAAAGATCAGAGCAACAGCTGCATGCTGGCCTCACGACTGTCCGTAGACGCAGCCTCGGTCCGGGCTGGCATCGGAGATCGCATCTGCACCGTGATGCAAAACATGTCGTTGGTCATCACAGCTTTCGTCATCGCCTTCATCCTCGAGTGGCGAGTGGCATCGGTCATGGTTGCCACATTTCCTCTACTCATAGTCGCCTTGGTCGGCGAGGTGAGCACTCCCCCAGCAGCCTGAAGCCTCACAACCTCTCTCTCTCTCATTGCATTCAGAAAGTAAGTAAGTAGGCTAGGCATTGCACGAAATTCAAGCACGGCCGCTGACAGTTTAACCGATTCAAGCACGAATTTCAAGCAATTCAAGCACGAAATTCAAGCATGACAGTCGAGTCCGGGTGTGGGGTGTGCAGAACTTCTTCCTGAAGGGATTCGGGGGAGATTTGCCCAAGGCGTACGCGAGAGCAGGGATGGTGGTGGGCGAGGCGGTGGGCAACATCCGCACGGTGGCGGCGTTCTGCGCCGAGGAGAAGGTGCTGGAGCTGTTCGAGAGGGAGCTGCAGGTGCCGAGGAAGAAGACCTTCGTCAAGGCGCAGGTGTCGGGGCTCGGCTACGGCATCTCGCAGTTCTTCATGTACAGCTCGTACGCGCTGGCGCTCTGGTACTCGTCCACGCTCGTGAAGAAGGGCGAGACGGCGTTCGGCAACGCCATCAAGATCATCATGGTGCTCATCTTCGCCGCCTTCGGCGTGGCCGAGACCATCGCCATGGCGCCAGACTTCGTCAAGGCCGGCCAGGCGCTGGGCTCCATCTTCCAGATCCTCGACCGCGAGACGGAGATCAACCCCGACGACCCCGAGTCCGAGATGGTGACCGAGGTGCTGGGCGAGATCGAGTTTCGCCATGTCGCCTTCAGCTACCCGATGCGCCCCGAGGTGTCGGTGTTCAAGGACTTCAACCTGCGCGTGCGCGCGGGCAAGAGCTTGGCGCTCGTGGGCGCCAGTGGCTCCGGCAAGAGCTCGGTGGTGGCGCTAATCCAGCGCTTCTACGACCCGTCCTGGGGCCGTGTGCTGATCGACGGCAAGGACATAAAAAAGCTCAACCTGCGAGCTCTGCGCCGGCACATCGGCTACGTGCAGCAGGAGCCGCCGCTCTTCGCCAGCAGCATCTACGACAACATCGTGTATGGCAAGGAGGAGGCGACCGAGGGCGAGGTCGTGCAGGCCTCGAAGACGGCCAATGCGCACAATTTCATCAGCGCTCTGCCCGAGGGCTACCGAACCGAGGTGGGCGACCGGGGCGTGCAGCTGAGCGGCGGCCAGAAGCAGCGAGTGGCCATCGCCCGAGCCGTGATCAAGAACCCCGAGATTCTGCTGCTGGACGAGGCCACCAGCGCTCTGGACGCGCAGTCCGAGCGCCTGATCCAAGAAGCTCTGGACCGCATCGTGTCCAACCGCACCACGGTCGTCATCGCGCACCGCCTCAGCACCATTCGGCACGCCGATGTGATCGCCGTGATGAAGGACGGGCAGATCATCGAGCAGGGCACTCACCGTGAGCTCCTGAACATGAGTTGCGTCTATGCCAATCTGATTCAGTTACAACAGCACCGCCACAGCCAACAGATTGTCGACATGTCCCTCGACACGTAGCGCGGCTGTCCTCTCCATCATCCTCCTTCTGCCATGAGACGTTTGTACTTGTACCTTCTGCCGACCCAGCCCTCACCTTCGCGTTCCTCCATTTCTCAGCTGCAACTCTCCAATGCTGGTCAATAAATTCTGAATCCAATTTTCACCTCCCAATCAACGCTCCGTCAATTCGCTTCCTCGTGCAAGTTACGTGAATGCCACAGACATCCGACCCTTATGATGAGCTCCCAACCGAAGCACACGAGAATCTGCGGCGTGTGCCAGGCCAAAGGACCACGTCTCCGTTCAGTTCAACCATGCTCAACATCGTCGCTGGTCTGTCACAGCCACTCACCCAAAAGCACACGTCTCGTGCTCGTGCCGAATTACAACTCGAGCGTGACGTTTGACCATGTCATGAGACGGACAAACGACGACTGCGAAATGTTCTCGTTCTCAGACGAGGCTCGACAGAAAAAATCAATGTTGGAAACAGCGAAATCACATCCAACTGAGGCTGAAACGAGCTGCAACTGATCTCAGTGTGAAAACGAAAGGACATACTCTGGACACATCTGGACCGATCTCTGCGGTGAACCTCACACAAAGACTGCTGCTTCTGAACAGCTCAGTGACAGACCTCCTCAGAGGGGAAAGAGAGAGAGAGCCATGGGTAAATGTATCTTCGAGATATGACAAATCCGGTTTGGAATGGAGCTAAGAAAAATTCGTGCACGACGGATATCGAGCTTGCTCATTACCGGAACCAGGGGTACGACTTTGAGATTGTACAAACTTCCTTCATCCAGAACACATTCTGAAAATTCATCGAGGAAATAGTTCCCCTCTGTTATTTTAGGTGGTGTTGTTTACTCGAATTTCAGGTCAGGCCATGCATCAGCAGTGAGAATCTTCGAAGTGAAGTCTACTTGAGCGCAATTCTTGTCAAACAATACTTCAAAGAGAACAGTAAACTTTGTTTGTTGGACGAATTTGTCCTCGCTCTGTGGTCTTTGCTGGTTGAATGCGACAAGCAGCCAAAATTCCAACCATTTAAGACATCCACCTTCATTCCAAGATGTAAAGATTGCTACAAGCATCTTCGTATGAAGATTTAGTTTACATGGAATTTGGACATATCTGTACATTCGAGAAGAATAAAACCGCTTAATGAAAGAGCTTGGCTCAAGCATTATTGGAAGCGTTCTTAAATTTATAATTCAGTTTCGGTTTTTAATACGGATTTTTCGTTACCACTAATGTCTTTCTTTGTCCGTTTGATCACATCTTTCCGACGTGACTAATTGATAACATCAAACATCAATCGGATTGATGTTGGCTAAATGTCAATGTTGCTTCGAATATAAATTTGATTGCGTCTTCTAATGAAACTTGTTTCATTTTCATTTTTATTACCTCTCATCGCTAAACATTCCTCATTTGAAATTTTAGGGACGAAATTTTTTTATCAAACAGATTTGATATAAATAAATTCTTGTTGAATTTATTTATTCATATCATTTAGCATCGATCGACTATTTGAACCGTGGAGTGATTCAGCGGTACAAAGTCGAAGATATGTGATTTAGACCAACATCGACAATATCTAGATTCGCAGCAAGATGTGGGCTTAAGGAATGCGGCAATTGCAGTACTTTGGTCCAGATTGGCCTGTACCAGATTGATGGATTTGCTTGTCTGAGCTCACATCATTTCCGCGGAATAGCACACTGAGTTCTTCATAATCATGTTCAAGTAGCTTTTTTGGCGTGCTCGATTCCTCCCAAGCGCTGATGCATGAACTATCTCCATGGCGGCGCTGGTGGAGCATCTTGCAGATCCGTCGCGATCCTTGTCGGGAGATCTAGCCATTGACTACGGAGAGACAGAGACAGTTAGCACTGTCTGTGAACTATGCAGAAATGGCAATAACAGGTTACATGTAAAGTTCAGCGGGAAACTGAGACAGAGTTCAGTTGTCGGACATTCTCAGTTCACGTTTCTCGATCATGGCCCTTCTGGCGGAGTGACTTCAGGGATGAAGTCAGATGCCTGTTCACCCAGTGAAGTTAAAAGTCTGGAGTGCACGCCTTCCGATGAACTGGGATTGACCGTAACAAGACCTTGAAATCTTTAAAGTAGTGAGACTATGTGGAACGACTCCGAGGTGGGACGAATCTCTGGATTCTGTAGACCTGGACTGAGTATGGCCTGGGTGTCTGCTTTTTGATGCATAGTCTCAGAGACTAAGATGCAAGTCCCTTGTGGTGAAGGTGGGCTTCTGACGATCATCAGAAAGAGGCTTCTGCCTCAACTCTTGGCGGGTTACCAACCATCCCCACGTTCAGATTGCATTTCTCCCAGCACAAATGGAGTTGGAGAAACCTGTGCCCTCTACGCAAGCGGATCGTGCGACGAATTAGAACAGTCCCCTGAGCCTCTCCGCTTCCTTCGCGATTCTTGCTCCTGGAAGTTGCAGTTGTTCAAATTGCATGAGGAAGGAATTTAGGCCTGAAGCCTGCTCGCGAGGTACGCCAAAACGACGTGTAAGGATGCACGGGATCTCACGTCTGCGCCAGGATGAGTCACGTCCATGTCATCTGTATTGCCAAGGGCATATATGTCGAGCTCCACCGCCATGCCTGTGCATGTTCAGCATCTGAACGTGAGATGCAGACAAAGCATGCTTTAGGAGAGGCCAGTAGGAAATCACACAGTATCACTCCCGTGGAAACCTGCGAGTGGATTTATGCTAATTTCATAGCTGGATATCGATTTGATTGCCGAGTGCACCACAGAAACGACTGCTTTACGGAAGAGGTATAATTTGAATATTTTCTACGAAAGCGCCTGTCTCCTCTCAATATGCACCGGCTGTCCATTAAAATCATGTCGACACTGACCATAAGACACAGAAATCTCACTCGCATGGATAATCGACTCGAATACGCCAGATCGCGTACCTATGGTGGCCGGAAACAAAAGATTTTGGTACCATCAGATGGTTCGAGTTTATTCAACATGTCTTCTGCTGCTTAACAGCAAATCGGTTGGTTTGTATGGAGCGTCCCACTCTTCCGTCTACCCAGAGCGTTGATATCCATAGTGGAGAATTCACAGCTCCTTTTTCACCGTTTCTTGCTAGCCAGGAGCAAGAGCATGAGCATGATACAAGGACGACTTCTCCGGAGGGACAGCTTGTAGCACCATCGCTATCTTGTCCGAGCCTGATCCTGGACTTCCTCTTCTTCTGGTAGTGAACTTGTCTTCAATGGAACGTAGTGTGTCTATAACATGGTCTCGGGAATACGCTAACGATAATCCAGTAAATTTGCCGTCTGATGCCTACCCATTGTTCGTTGCTCATCATGTCACCTCCTTCACATATCTGCAAAAGCAGATGAGTCAAGCCTGCAATTTGAAAGAACAACAAAAGATCAGATGTATCCTAGCGCATGTACTGATTGTTTACCTATGGAAGGCAGGGTGCAAGGTAATGGATTAAGAATTCTGGAAGTTATGTGTTTTTAAAGGGCTCGAGGTTAGAGTTCTCTGTCTAGAACACAGTCCTCGAGCGAAACAAGAGGCGACTATGAGCATCTGAATCGAGATTATATCAAATTCAGCGACTCTATTTGCAGACCCATATTCTCAGTTCCTTGGCTTCTTATACCTTAGTGGGCTGGATATCGATAACCTGCTAGCCTGTCCAGTCTAAGATGAAGGGCTCTCATCTCTATCAATGGTCGCTAACCACCAGCTATGGATGTAAATGTGACATTCAAAACCTACTCCGTCTGGATAAACTTGATTTCTATATAAGCTATAGACAATCGCAAATACAAGCCGTTCCCAGTAGCTCGAGCCTTCTGATGGATCTGTACTGCAGTCTCAAGTCTTGGCTGGGCTGCCACACGTTTTGATTCCCTTGTATTAACGTGTGACTGAATGTATTGTAAATTTTTGTATGATGCATAGATGTTGGATTTTTGGACGTAGTGTCCTTCACAAGTGGATGGCCCAGTAGAACACCGAGAGAGTCTTCCAACCTAGGACGTGTTTTCAAATTTCAAGTCCTGCCTTGGCTCCAAAGTTTACTGTGTCATTAGTTAGAACATATGGCTGAATATACTGCAAAAGCATCTACGATGTGGGGTGCTGACGTTCAGGATCTAGTCGTGTTGCAGGTTCAAGTCCTTCCTGGGCTGCAAGTCTGCAAGTCTTCTATGTGAGTATCGTGTTAACATGTGACTGAATGTACCGGAAATTTATAGACAGTGCGTTGATGCTGGAAACGGATTCGTTGTAATAATATCTCGCCTCTCCAGATGTACCCTCCGAGTAGCTCAACGCATGAGCCTTTCAACCCAAGGATCTGTGTTGCAGGTTTTACTCTTGCCCGGGCTACACTTCTCTACATAATTTGTAAGAACATGTGACTGGATGTACAGGAACGTCATCTACAGTGCAGTAACGCTGGAATTGAATTGAATGGTATAAATTTCTCGCCCAGTAGCGCATCACATGAGCCCTCCAACCTCAGGAGCTGAGAAGCAGGTTAAAGCCTCCCCTGGAACACAACTTTTACGCATGGTTTGCTCGAACAGATCACTGGATGTACTGTAAATTCATTTCAGGTGCATAGTTGTTGGAATAAATTTCTCGTCTCTCCATGTGTACACACCTGGTAGCTCAACGCACCAGCCTTGAAATCTACGGATCTGTAATAGTGGTCTCATATCTAGTTGCAACGATTCCTTCCGACGTAAATTGCCATTGAATTGACGTAACCACCCTTGTCAGATCTGCAGTTCAAACAGTATCATTGAACGATTAATCATCAATTTATTTTTTTCCGTTTGCGTCCTTATTCTGAATGGTCCAGTCGCTGGATTAACGAAATACGTGAATGGATGTAGAGCAACGTAATCAGTAGTGCTATTATTATTATTATTATCATTATTTGAAATTGTACACATTAAATATCTCATTGACATATGCAATATAAACTTAGATTATTTTTTTCAAAAAACTATTTTATCATCAAATATTTTTAAATACAACATCTTAAAATTTATTATAAAAAATTTGAAAACATAAATTAAAAAAATATAAGAAAAATGTGTTTGAAAAAATTTTAAAATTTTCTGTGCACCAAGAAATTTAATAAATCCTTAAATACAAATCAAAATTATTATTATCATTCGAGTCAAAACTATTTATGTGCAAATGACATGAACAGATGTGAACACACAAATAAACTTGATGGAATATTTGACATCTTAGAAAAGTTTAACTTCAATTTTAATAACATGCACCAATCAAGATTTTTGATTCTAGATTGTAAATTATTTTTATAACCAAAGAAGAGAACATCAAAGTTGGTTTTTATTTAGAATGTATGAATTATTTCAACTTACATTATAATCAATCAGATTTTGTCACCCATGTGTGCAATTTTAAGTTTTGATGAATGAATCATGTATGAAGATTAGTCAATACCTTTTGACTGCAAATTTACTAAAATCTTGAATCGTGAAACAAAAATGAAGTTATTCATTGCGGTATACTCTTGGTGGAATTTCATCGTAGATTGTCTTTAGTTCGTTGACATGAGCAAAGAGCAAAGTGAAAATTTTACTGCTGTTGAGTAAACATGTCTTACTATTAATAAATAGTAATGATAGTTGGATTATATCTTCCTGCGCTGAGCGCTCTATGGTTGGAGGCCAATTGGTAAAAAAGGACGGTGGCATAATGGCGTTAAGCAGCTCAAAAACTAATCATTAGATAGTGAGTCGAAGTTCAAATGATGAAGGGAACTCAACGCGCATCTGAAAATTCATATAAGTTGAAAACTCCAAATTAACAATTTTATTGACTTCTCAATCCTTGGCAGTACATGGCACATCATTTGGATTGTCTACTATACATTAGCTTACCTTATTACGTATTGCACTGAAGTGGAGGTGGATAATCGATTGAAATCCAACAATTCATTACCACGATATTGAGAATTATTCAAAATTATTCGATCGTTAACTTCTTAGCAAGGTCAGAATGCATACATTGAAGTGGAGCATACATTCACCATAGAGCAGTATACTTTATTTATAAAATATAAACTATATATTTATAAAAAATATAAACCCCAAAAAGAGCACCATTTATCTTGCTCTAAATGGTTTCATTCTCCTTATATTATGTGAACATGATTTAAAGGGGAGTCCAGTAACACAAAAAAAAAAGAGGTTCAATGTAGGAGATGAGGAATGGCCTTATTAACTAAGAATATCAAAATCATAGATTCTCGAAAAATTTGATAGCCACGAGAACTCAACCGTAGTGATAAGAGGTGGACTATCTCTTGGAAAGGACGGCAGAACCGACCGAAGGAGACAAAGAACAAAGTCCGACACAGGACAATGAATGCCTGAGCACATTCACAGGGGAGACTGCGTACGAGGAAAACTGTGCAGCTCCGATACACAGTTCACCGAGCAGTACGGCCTGAACTGTGTATGGGACTGGGAATCGGACTAACTACGTCGATCGAGTCTCAGGAGGAGCACTGGTGCTGCGTTCGGACTTCTCACATTTGGCCTGCCTTGAAAAAATCGTCGTCTTCTGTCATCAAATTGGAAGAACCCGGCGGATGAGAGATTTAGCGCAAATTGTGACAGGAGGCGAGAGAACGAGCAATCTGTATTCCGCCGAGAGAAAATTGGGAATTTTGGCCATCTTCTGATTCGAAAATCAAGAGGAGCGTGGGAGTCGGTGCACGAAATGTTGTTTGCCGCCGTCATGCGTAGTGGATGAATCGCTCCGTCCCTACGATTTCGGACGCTGAGGTATGGCTTTTCCTCGAGGTTTTCCTAACGTCTCTGAGTGCTAGCGTCCGCTTGATTCAGAGCAGCAGTTTTTTTTTGGGGTTTCATGTGCGTCTTCGGGAAAATATTTTTCAAATGCCGCGACGATGATTTGAGCATGGTTTCACATTCGAGCGAAGTTTGAATTCTTGGCGCCAGTCATGAAGCAGGAGGCCAACTCCGTCTTTCTGCCAACTCAATTGCTCGGAAATTTCTGCAGATCATGATGCCAGATTTGATGTTATTTTCTTTGGAGGGCGAGACATATAGGATATAGGGTTGACACTTGCTGCTCGCAAAGAAAAATTTCGATTCGACATTCGGAGCTCAAGATGCCTTCATACGGCGGAAGTAGGTTATATCACTTTCGTACAGATGTAAAGAAGGAGTAGTTTCAAATGACTCGAACAGTGGCAGGACAACTCGGTCTGGAGCTCGAGAAATGAGGCCTTCCGAAAAATCCTTCCGCATAGTCATTTCTTCGCGATCTGAAGCAGGACGGTCGTGAATCTCAGGCCCACATTTACTTGGTATCAAGAGAAACAATGAGGTCAAAGATATCATTTCCCTGTGGGAGTGGATATTCATGGAGGAATGGTTTGAGCTCTCCTTTATCACGGTACACTGTACTTCTACTATTCTTCTTCTGGTCTACTCTGTGTTGTGGACTGCAATCTGTGCCTGAGATTGAAGATTCCATGTATCAAAGTGTGGATGGGACAGCATGTGTTCGTCTTCTGAGTCTCGATGGAGAAGTGGGGTGCGCTGGGCCGGACAGGAGAGCCGTCCTAGCTCCTCTGCAACACTTTAGCGATGCTAATATACAGTTGAGTACCAAAACTACCGTAGTGCTGCCCTTATCAGCACTACACCAGTTTCTAAACAGGACTGTCAATGAACGGTCGCTTGCAAAGCATGTGGCAGGGGTGCTTGTTGAGCATGGTGGTGCGGATGGGCAAAATCTTAGCAGAGGTTTCTCACCGGATACAAGGTTTCCTCAGGCAGAATTTGCTCCATACAAGGCTGAGTACGTCTGGAATCCTCCAGGATCCGGTGTGTTACAGCAACGATTTGAGTTTCCAGTGTTTCTTCTTACGCCAGAAAGTACGGCAGCTGTACGAGAGCTCACCGCAGGAAATGAGAAGCGTAATTTCAAGTACCCACTGCATGTGGCAGAGTTCGACTTCGTAATGCAGTCTACGAAGTCCGGGACTCATGACTCGGAATCATGTCTGAAGGAATGGGCTTGCTTGCCTTTGGGGGGCTACAGCGTGTGGTCATCACTACCAGCAATAAACGTCACTTCTCCCGTTGAGAATCCTATTGTGTTGGTCATGGCTGCAATGGACTCTGCTTCTTTCTTTCGTGATGCAACTCCAGGTGCAGACTCGCCTCTATCAGGTTTGATAGCTATGTTAGCTGCAGCCGATGCTCTGTCGAGGGTTCCCGATGTCGATGAGTTTCAAAAGCAGATTGTGTTCCTTGCCCTCACAGGTGAAGCTTGGGGTTATTTGGGAAGCCGGAGGTTTATATCGGAGCTAGCTGGTGGAAATCCGGCTTTATCTGGTTTGAGCTTGTCCCGCATACATCAAGTACTCGAGATTGGCTCAGTAGGTAAAGCGGTGGATGCCGGTCGAGCCACTTTATATGTCCACAAACAGAAGGATCAGGTTTCCAGTGCCACCAATGAGATGGTGGAAGCTTTACAGTTGTCAGCGACGTCATTGGCTGGAGCGCAGCATGTAGGTGCCGTAGAAGTCAAGATGGCGAGCAAGCTGAATCCTGGCGTTCCGCCTTCGTCTCTCATGTCTTTTATCCAAAAGAATTCCTCAACGGCTGCTATTGTTCTGGAGGAGTTCGATGAGGTCTTTAAGAATACCTTATATCACAGCCATTTGGATGATGCAAATAATATTGACAAGAATTCCATAGCAGGCACAGCAGCATTGATAGCCAGGACGGTGTACCTCTTAGGTGATAGTGCTGCCAACGCTACCCAGCTTCAATCTATTGAAGTGAACAGTTCTTTAGTCAGTGAGCTTGTAGACTGTCTCTTAAGACAAAGTCCAGGTATGGTTTGTGATTTGGTGAAGGGCTTAATCACACCCACCCAGCAGTATGCTAACCATTATGTTGGTGTCCTTTTGGGCGAGCCATCATTTTCTCCCTACCTGGAAAACGTCGATGACATTTCACGATTCGTGTGGAATTTTCTAGCCTCGCGTACAGGAATAGTCAGAAATCAGCAGGTAAAAGATGGAGTTGCAGCGGGCATAAAACGGGCCTCTGCATCATCGTTCGAGGAGTGTGCACAAAAGTGTAGCAATATCGATGAGATTTGTGTCGGTGCAACTGGAGAGCACAAAGGACGCTGCATAATGTCAACGACGAGATTCGTTCCTGCATATTCACCTCGACTGCAATTTGAGGCTGCAAGCTGGAAAGTCGTTGCTGCGGAGCCTGGTGATATTATGAGTGAGATGGATCCGGTTTGGACTGAGAGCTTTTGGAAGTCTATAAGCGTGCGTCTTTTTTTAAGAGAAAGTTCATCACAAGATGAACTAATGCTGGGTGTTGGGGCGGCATTGACTGTTGGATCATTCTTTGCCGTATTCTTTACCAAGGCTGTCTTTCACAAGCGTCTAAAACGGGCTTGAGACAGCTTTGGACAAAGTTTTGACATAGGGGGAAGGTGTTACCATCATATGCTGGCCACTTTTTGATCTAGTTCTCGTGTACATTAGAAAGGTAGAAGACTAGGTCGGGACCTGAGCTCACGAAGAAGGGATGGCTTTGGTTTGCGGAAAGTCTCTCTTTCACAATCATTTAGAAGTCAAGGTTAGGCACACATTGCGGTTTATGGTCACGTCCATTTATAATTCGGTATCCAGTTCTGCAAAAGATTTCTTTGACCTGTAAGTTATCAGGTCAATAATATAAGGGCCTGTTTTGTCGTTCCACGATTATTATCAGTGCTTATACCTTCACAATACATCACTGTCCATAGGTAGGTCCTGCGTGTTTGTCCGAAATTGGGCATTCCCTGGCTGCCGTGTTGTTAGTGTTCAGATATGGTACTTTGCTGTTTTTAGATGTCTCTTGAACCTTCCTGTGCCTGCAACATCCGTTGTGAAAGAGGTAGAATTTTGGGATGCTAAAAATTTCAGGTCGGTTATATCTTTTTGACTCACATGAACGGTTTAATCCACTTGAGGCTGTTATATGTAGATGGAGATACAGTTGGGGCAGCTAAAAAGTTTTCACCATGTTGGACATCGAGCTGTGAGCTGTGAGTTTTTTAAGTTTATTGTATGTGTACTGACATATATCTTGAAAGCTTTTTTCAAGATATATATATTGTTAGAAATCAGATCAAAATCAAATTTTGGCAGAAATGCAGATAATGGTAATGAGAGAATATCCAATAGGAAGTGGTCCAGATGGAAATGGTATCTGAAGAGGATATTCCAAGAACATAATTTTTGTATGACCAGTACAAAACCACAACAGTGAAGATATGATGATGTCAAGGAGACAAGTCTATGATATTTAAATTAAAGTATGTAAAGCGCATCAATTTCCAAATCTAAAAATCTACAAACTTTCATAACATTTGTTGGTTTCCAACAATACGATGAATTCTATTGAAATAATACACGAGAATGATATTGGATATTGATAAAATATAGGATCTGACTTCATTCACAAAAGCTTCGCTCTCGCGGTTGGGGTACTCTACACCCACCTAGTAGACGCAAACCAACCCCGAGTTGAAATTTAACCAAACCAGGTATCAGTGGGTCGTGTCTGTCGGACTTTGGGTGGCCGGTAACCGGTCAAGGAACCACGTGTGACCGGGTTCTGCCAGTGCCCACGCGAGAGCACTTGGATTCGGATTTCCAGTTGTGGGAACGAGAAGCAGCGGGAGGAGGAGAGACGGAGACACGCGCAGAGTTGCAGCGCTGAATTCCCTCGGTACGAATCCGGAAAGAATTTCGAGCGATCGACACGATCTTGGAGCTATGGCTGCCAGAGGAGCATTGCTGCGCTCGTTTCGAAGATCCACTTGCCAGATGACTCGAACTGTTGCTTCTTCTTCCGCGACAACCCGTTCTCACTTGGCTCAAGTCTTGAAGCATGATGTTGCTCTTCCACTCGCTCCATCGTTCTCTGCTACAGACCATCTACCCTATGTCGGATATCCCCCTGCTTTTCGTCCTCGACTTTTCTCGTCCCATGCTGGTTAGTCGATCGCTTTTCTCCTGTAATCTACCGCTGCTGTGGTTCTTCTGTATTTTCACTGCTGAATGTAGTGTGCTCGATTAGCGTGGAAACCGGGAATGTGAAGCCGGTTTTTTTTACCCTCTTACGATTCAATTGGTTCTACTGATTCTTTTCATCAGAGGATGAATGTTTCTCTTTGTTTGCCATGCCTTTTTATAGTTTATTTATCTGTACTGAGTGGCTGAATGGGTTCTCTCTTGCAGCTGGTTCCTCATCCAATGTTGTCTTAGTGAGCGATGACGCACATTTTCAACAGTCGCTTAAAGAAGTTGAAAGTAAGTCAGTGATGTCATTTCCAGCTTCATCTTTTTGTATATACCAGTTCCAGTTTACTTTTACATGAGGAGCAATCTACATCTGACTGCAAATTTGATTTGGCATTCCGCACCTTGCTTGGTTCGTCAAAGTCGTCTGAACGTTAATATAAAGATTCGAAATTATGAGTCATTATCCTGGATAAGTCATCATTTTCGGCTGTAAGTGAAGATGCTCAGGTATTGAGGTTTAGGTCTTATTTTAGAGAGTCTATTATGTTTGACTCGCGGACTCATTTCAAACTGAAGGAATCTCAAACATGTGTGAGCTCCAAACGAGTTTCAAACAAAACAAATAGTGGAAGTTTTTGTTAGAAAAGTTCGTTTTGTGGACTCACTTTTCATACAAGCACTTGGTAGTTAGGAAGTTAATAAGGCAGTTGATAGTCATCTACATTACTAAAGGATTTGAGTTGCTATGATATATACCTTTTAGGCTACCTTATATTAGTTTATTATACTTTCCATACTACTAACATAAGGTTTATATTTACATCAGGGAACTAATTGTCAGTACTGAGAAGTTTAGGTTCAAGTTAGGATATTCATGATCACTTCAGACATTTCTTTGAAGAACCCCATTGAATGACGTTAATTTGAAAGAATCTGCGCTTCCTTTGTCGAAAGAGAATAAAGAACTGATCAATCCAGAAGCATCATCATCATAACCTTGCCTTTATCCATCTGGTGTGGTACAGATCAGAGGTTTTAGACTCTCTCTGCTGACTTGTTAGAATTTTTCAAATATCTGGCAGGTTCTAAGTCCCTTGGTGTTGTCTACTTCACCGCACAATGGTGTGGCCCATGTATGTAAATTCTTTCATCACGCTTCTGTTGTTTGCTGCAGGTCAAATTCTTCGTGTTGTTTCAGGCATTAAATTATACCGTTCCAATTTATGCGCACATCAAGCTGTTCTTACCAGGACCTGTCTAAAGTTTTTAGTTTGAAAATAGTGGATCTTTACAGCTGCATAAACGACTGATTTTTGAACATGAAATCATGTTTTGCTTATATTTTACAGGCAAACAGATAGCTCCATACATCGATGAGCTGAGCCGAGAGTTTGATGACGTTACTTTTCTGAAAATTGATGTCGATAACGTATGACATCCATTCACGCACCTTCTGTTTCCACACGGGAAAAAGTTTACAAGGACAAATTACCGATTTTCAGTGGAAGTTACTACTTGAGACAGGGAGAACTATAACTGGAATCTTAAGGAAAGAGTAGCAGCACATTACTTTGAAAGTTCCCTGTATATTGCTAGAAATTTTCCTGTGACTTGATGAATGGTGGCTCAAATGGTGGCTGTTAACTCTGTGTATCTGGTAAACACTGATAGGTTATTTGAACGGCCCTATTTGTGTGTAGTTGAAGTTGGAGGAAACGATGAAAGACTCAAGAATAGGAGTTGTGGTAAGTCATTATGCGCCGTGCTTTCGAATATATTCTGTATCTAATATATTCTGTATCTGACCAGTTCAGGATATTTTAGTAGGTCTGAGAAGTTCATTTTATATTGGTCCACTTCACACTTTGTATTTGATAATGGATCTGGGCGTTACACCTCTTAGTTCAAAGTTCCACATGAATTTCCATAATAAACCAGAGGAACCACAGTTGAAGGTTCTTAATCCAGTTACCGTGCCCCATGTTGTTTCCCACGTATCCAATTGGTCGAAGCTGAGTGTTCAATTCGCTGGTGGACAGAAATGTGTTTGCATTTCTCTCAAGGACCTAGATCAGCAAACTGCCACCTTGCTCTCATATTCTCACAGCACAGTATAACACGCGATTTCTAGGGCTGAATTTCGACATCATCTAGAAAGACGGTCATACTAGATTATCGCGTTATTGGTCTATTCAAATCAGGTAGGCAGAACATTCGTCCACATATGTGTGGGATCTCTTTTCTGAGCCCACCACATACTGCTTGACGCATAGAGATTGATCTGTCAGCAGCACTTTCTCTTCTCTTTTCTTTTCTAATCTCCTACAATCACTTTCCATATCTTGGTGGTAGTGAATTTGGTTTTGATTATCTGCTCTTTCACTGTCGCTGGATACACTGTAGTTTACATGCTTGCTGCTGATTAATTCTTCCCTGCATCCGTGCTTTGTACATGGTTTTTTATCTCTCTAGTAATACAGTCTGCTAGCTTTCAGCTGAGATAGATCTGTGCAGGCTAGCCCTGGCTTACCTATACATGGCATTCGCTGGCCCTACCTGGTAGCCTGCGGATGATGCAATCTGCAGTCCTACCTCGCCCGATTAGGGTTATCGGCCTCGAACAGCATCTCCCGCAGCAGCCTAAACCGCACATATGTTTATCCAAATTCGTGCTTGGCTATGTTTCATTTGCGGATAAGTTCATTCCTGCTTGGCGATTATGACATACAGTTGTTTGTCATTTATTTAATTGAGATTCCCCTTTGTTTTGAACCCATACTTTTCCCTCAAGTGATCGTTGCTTGTCGTGGATCGTATATTCAAAGGTGTGTGCTGTGTGGAATTGACGGAGACGATCGGGTCTTTTTTTGCAGCCGACTTTCCAATTCCACAAAGGAGGCAAACTTGTTGGTGAACTGACAGGAGCTGTGAAGGATAAATTAAAAAACCTCGTTTCTACGTTAAGGTATGGTTCAAAATATGCACTAGCTTATAATGTTTGTTTCTTCTATTTGTGAAAAATGCACTATTGCAAGTTGAATATCTTGTTCTGTGCCTGCTGTAGATGAGAGCCACGTTAGGTATGAATTTTAAGGCTAACTCTTAGTCGCTTTCTATGTAGGGCTAAACCGCAATGACGAAGTAGATCATGGACGCACACAACTGAAATTGACAATGTCAGTTTGTGTAGGTCAGTTTATTTAGAATTATGAATGATGACAGCAACTTGGGTGACAAAAGCTTCCTATCTAGGGCCCCTTAGAAATACACAGTCAACTCTAATGGAAACTCTAACTGACGTGTAGACTGCAGCTCTGCGCTTGCGATTAAAATGTTGCTAACACCGTCTATCTCTGGTACTGCAAGTGCTTGCGAAGGCATTTCAGTTCTGTTTTTAGAGAGAAGTCTGAAATAGAATCTGGTTGATACAAAGAAACTTTGTTCATATAACCAGAATGTTGGTTGCTGCTTAATGCTCCAAGAAAAATCTCAAATTCACTTGATAAACAATCTCAAAAAACAAATGCACTGCATTTGATGGCCCTTGATGCAAATTGGTTTTGTTACTTTTCGGCTATGGTGATTAATATCTGTAAAATATTAGTGTTTACTTAAAACACACAATTTGTAAGCCTAAGAAGGGGTTCAAAACTTTACCACCGACTTAATCGATCATCACGTTGGGGTTCACATTGTTTCTTTCAGATGCAATCGATCAATGGCTCCTCGTAATTTTTTGCCCTCTCATTCAACGACAACTTGGCTTTAGTGGTCCGTAATCACCAAGCCTTCAAAACTAGATGCCCTCCAAAAGGGGTGACCCTCGATTCTAACTGGAAATTAGTGAGTTTTGTGAGACAATCCATCGTCGGATACCTGTCAGATAATGCGTCGCCTCCGACGTCGCTCAATGGATGGCATTCATAAAATGCTGGGAACCCCAGAAACATCGACCAAACGAGCCTACTTTACTAGGGGCGAAACTACGTTAGCAGGGTATAGATATGACCACAATAATGAGAGTGACCCCGATCTGAGTCGATTGTGACGAAACTACTTTTGCTGGGTAAAGATAGGACCACAATCTTCAATCAACCCAAATTAGTCGATTAAATGGCCAGTCATCTTTTGGTTTGTTATAATTTGCCTTTCCGCTGTGTTATCTGAGATGGGAGTCTGGGTTTTGGCGACGGCGGCGAACTCTGGTAGACTTAGGCAATCAAAGAATCGAAGTGCACGTGGTCAGGAGTGAGAGTATAAGATTTTGTCAGAAGACGACTTCTGATCTAATGATGGCGATGATGCTCACTTTCTTGGACGGGTCCAAAGTATCGAACTTGAAGCAATGGTGCCTCGTGAGCCACGGATTATTTACTGTACCACCCCACCTACCAAGGCAGTGGGGAGTGTAGTGGGCAGGAGATTGTGGCATGAATTGAAATTCCTTGAGAGATGAATAGGACACAACGAAGCTACGGAAATGGCCCCTCATGTTGCAAGAGACTCGGGTTCAGGGCTCTTCTCAACTTGTTGGGAACTCGATAATTTTTGACAAAGAAATCAAGACAACGTTCTCTGCGAGAGGGTGGTGGGCGAGATGACGGGCGCTCCGATTTTCTTTTGATCCGGAGCTACTTTCGATGAAAACTCATAAGAGCCGAAGAAGTTGTAAGAGGAGTATGTAATCAATGAACGGATCACTTGGGTGAAAGGTCCTCAATCAACATCGTGTGATACTGAGAGCTTTACAAGGAAATCCGAAATTGTCACTCGACATTTTATGCCATTCTGGAGGGAGAGGATTCGTTGTTTGTCTGGCTTGTATGTGTGTACTCCTCCTGCGATGAAAGCCTTCAAACTCGAGGCGGCATAACACTGCTGCTGACATCGATCCCATCGAAAGTAACTCCGGATCAAAAGAAAATCGGAGCGCCCGTCATCATATATTGTACTTATGAGCACCGACTCAAAACAATGAGTAAATTGCGACTCAAATCGGCGTCGCTCTCAAGGTTGTGGTCCTATCATTACACTGCGAAAAGATATTTGTTGGGTCGATGTTTCACACATCAGATATGGCGTAAGTTGAGCAAAGCCGGAGACGAAGCGTGATCTCACGTGTCGCAGAAGAGCCCTCCCAGAGCCTCCTCCGCATGCGCTTGGCTAGGATGAGCAAAGGCTTACAACAAGGTGCGTCATCTAGAAACCACGGGCGCAGTCAGGGTCGCATGAGCGCACTCTTCCAGAATTGCAGGGCCGGGTCTGACGAATTCAAGCTATGGAGTTAGTTATCAACTGGTGAACAGACGGTGGACATTTTCACCGAGTAAAACCTGCATTTCTTTTTCTCGCCTCTGAAATATGCCCACTTCAAGTTTTCGATATCACTATTTGCCACTTTTCTCTCCTGTCTCCGAGGAAGACTTTTGTCAAGCAGGACCACTTCATGAGAACGAGCATTTCGGCACTTCTTGAATCTTCTTTTCAGTCAGCTTTCCATAAAGCGGAGCATGTCTCCATGTGCAAAAGTTTTACAGAGTTTGGCCACTTTCCTCACGTAGTAACAAAAGTCGAAGCTCCATTGACGACGACCCATGAAACCTTCAGCAATCACTAGACACTTCTTAATACGCGGACATGAGCATGGCTTCCACCCCCATAGACGATGTATTGAGTACCTTAGAAGAATGTCAAATGGGACCTGGTACGTGGAAGCATCTTGATCGTTTCCAGGTTAGATATTGGATGGAACAAAAGTGGAAGAACACATACTGGCCTGGCTCATGGCGGTAATACTTTCCAGTCGCCGTATCGCCCTAGCCCACAAACACGCAAAAGACTTCTGCTCTCACGAGCAATATTAAGACTTGTAATTGAATTATTCTGTTATCACAAGCACTCTTTAACACTTGAAAATGAATTTTTCTTGTCCAGCAGATCTGGCTAACGGCTAGCCAGATCTGAGAGAACTTCAACATCTATTGCTGAGGTTAGCCGCTAATCTCAGCAGTAGGGCATTGCCACGTGAGACCCAATTTTAGTGGAAAGTCCCTCAATCTTAAGGCGATAACGTATTTGCAATCATATTAAGGATAAAATGCGGGATACAGACTAATAATTTAGATCCAAACCTGACTTCTGATTGGAAAAGATGGGTATACTTCATAGTTATTATTCCTCAGTGACCAAAGCTTCAGAAAAGGTTCTTGGTACAATTGGACGCAAACAGACAATATTTCATCAATCTATCATAAGTGACTGAGGAGATCTGAATAGTCGGCCAACCTTTCCACTTCTTATTGTGTATCTTATCTCTCCAACGCTCCACGAGTTATTAGTCTCTGTTGCACTAATTATCAATAAGATAGTTGTGTTACTATACATATAAACTTTGAGGCATTTTAATCATATGGTGCAAAGTCACAGTTTCAAAATCCGATCTTTGCGTGTTCGAATTACACCTTTGACAACAATATATTATAATTTTAACATGAAAAGGTCAACAATTATAGGCAAGACTTACGGTTGACACCAAGATTTTGAGTTTAAAAAACTACCAGACGACTAGACTCATTGAGACTAGAGTCTAGTCCTTTTTCGTAGAAGTCTTTTCAAGAAATATCTTGGAAAGTAATAAAAAATAAATCATTTCGAGAAATATGTAGTTCTATATTTAGCCAGATTAAAAAATACCCATATGTGAAAGGGATCCGTATTGGTTTTTCAGGTCGACTAAATGGTGCAGAAGTAGCTAAAACTGAGTAACTTTTCTGTAGTATTTGCAATTTTGGTGAAACTAAATATAGTTGACAATTTCCCTTTTATCAAAACATGAGTAAACATCTCGTACCTAGTTGATTTCTTTTTGCTACGATTGTTTCAATAGATCTCATATTCACCTCATGATTAGTATATCTAAATATCACTACCCTGTAGTCTGATACTCTATCTCAACGTTTTCATGCTACATTCAATGCTTAGTTAATAAACAAACAGATGGTAGACATATCAAAAATAGATTGTATTTTAATTGTATAATTATCTCTTAATTTTGAATAACATGTATTTTAATTCCAAGTGATGGTTACGATGTCGCAAAAGAAAATAAAAATCAATGAAATACATTGACTTTGATTATAGTTAAATTTTTGTAAGGTCAAAATGATTTAATTTAGTGAAACACGATTTTATCAAATGTTTAGAAACTAAAAGAATAATTATAAAATATATTTTAATCAATATTCATCATCACTTGAAATCAATCTTTCAAAGATATTTACATATAGATATGCAAAAAATTGAAAAATAAAACTGGAGTGAATGATCGAGATGAGATTTTCTCCAATTTTTGTTGTGTTAGTTGTGAATGACGTATAACACATGCTTTTTTTAGGATCATTCATCATATTATCGATCAACAAAAAATGGGATGAATGATGCAGATGTATATTAAAATTTTGAATAGCTGTTAAGAAAATAAATAAAAAGAATATGAAGTTTTGTATAGCCTTTATCATCATTAGGGTTTGAATTTTACTTTTTTTTTATATTACCTTTTCTTTGCAAGTGTTACAATTAAGCAACATAGATGAAATTCTTTTAATCATAAGTTGTTTTAGATTTGAATTTAGTCTTATTTTTAATATTGATGCAAATCAAAATTTATAATTCTAGGAAAATATATCACAAAATTGATAAAAATCATAAATTTTTTTTATCCAATTGATTGCAGATAACTTAGCTCAAAGCTTAACACTATTATAGAACCTCATTCATCTTATATACCTTCTGATTTTATATGACTCATAAAACCTTGATCAATAGTTTCTACTGATTAAAAGATTCATATTTGCTAGACACATAACATAAAAATTGAGGCTAAGAAATCATATGTAAATAAAATAATAACAAAAATTAAGTTTCAAATTTATTGATTTTATACATTTCTAGTATAATTTTCTTACATAAATTATAAAATTTTTATTTCAATTTTTATCAAAAATTATCATAGTTATATGATTTTTATTAATCCTATCACATCTAATAAAATTATAAACACAATTCTAAATCTAATTCTTTACTTTTCATACAAGTACTTGAACGTTGAAATATTTTAGAAATAAAATATAGATAGTCTTAGGTTTTATTGATAAATATCATATTTTATTTACATATATATAACATATCAATTTTTTTTTAAAACATAGTTTTACCTTATTTTAAAACTGGAGATCTAATAAAACTTTAACATTTTTTAATGTAATTTTCATTCTTTTTATGTTTCTTATACTTGGCATGTTCTATAGATTCAATAATTTCTTGGTCTTCGTCTACTTACCTACCATCTGAACGCAACCTTTTCTGTACATGAATTGGTCACGAGAGTTTATTAGCAGTGTGCGTGATATATACCTAGATTATGGCTTACCTTCTGACCTAGTGTAATTTAACCAGCCACGTTGACCATATCAAAATATCGTGCTGAATGCTCTCTGTCAGCACGTACAGTGATAAATAGGAATCTTATGATAGTGCTGTTGTAT